GCTGAAGCAGGAGAATTGCTTGAACCCAGGAAGCAGAGGTTGCAATGAGCCAAGATTGCACCACTGCACTCCAACCTGGGTGACAGAGCGAGACTCTGTCTCAATAAATAAATAAATAAAAGTTGTGGGGATGGAAAGCACAAATTCAGAAAGTGGGAGTGATGATGAAACAGGCTAATTCTATGATCATCCCTTCATTTCCAGCCACTTGAAGATACAATAGCATATATTGGCCACTGGTTCCATACGTAAGTTACATCCTGGTGGACAGCACCCAACATTCTCAGGGTGTCATTCCAAAACTTCTACCTTAGCTGAGCCTATATCTTATTTCTATCAGACTTGCTGCTTTAGGCTGATGCCTTGTATGGTAGGATTAATTGATCTCATACAGCAGCGGTCCCCAAACTTTGTGTCACCAGGGATCAGTTTCATGGAAGACAGTTTTTTCCATGGTTGGGGTTGGGAGGCATTAGATTCTCATAAGGAGTGTGCAACGTAGATCCCACATGTGTGAGTTCACAATAGGGTTCCCGCTCCCATGAGAGTCTAATACCACCACTCATCAGACAGGAGGCAGAGCTCAGGCGGTAGCGCTCACTTACCTGCTGCTCACCTATTGCTGTGCACCTGGTTCTTAACTTTGTTGGGATAGAGATCTTGGGTCTTGGAGATGGTGGACAGTTCCACTGGAAACAATGATGAACAAATGTCTTAACCTTTAGCCCCCAAAAAACAATTTTGGGAGCATTCCATATGCTTCTCAGATTTCCTCGGGGTTGGGAACCACTGCCATAGAAGATCAAATCCAGCATCTATTAAGAAAATATAACCTTGCACTACAATAAAAGATTACACATGAGCAATTAAATCTCTCACTGAATTAAAAAACTAGTAATACTACTAATTATTATTTTAAAAAATTTATGCTAGCTTTTGAACTTCTTAGTTGCTCAATGCAGCAGAAAGCTTTTTCTGAAATGGCTTCCAGTGACCCACCTCTCCTGGTATTTATGCCCTTGTGCCATCCCCTCCTCTTGAGTGTGGGCTACACATAATGACTTCTAACCCACAAAATACAGCAGAAGTGCTGGCACATCAATTCTGAGGTTGGGGTTTTCGAGACCATGGCTTTCCTCTCTCTCTTTCTTTTTCATTTGTTCTGATGAAACAAGCTGCTGTGTTGTGAGCTGCCCTATGGAGAGGCTCAGGTGGCAAGGGTCCGAATCCTGCCAACAGCCATGAAAGTGTGCATGGAAGCTGATATTTCTGAGCTGGCCTTGAAATGAGTGTGGTCATGACTGACACCTTGATTGCAGAGAGACCCGACAAGCCAGAGAACCCATCTAAACAGTGCCCAGATTCCTTACCATGAGAAAATGTGAGATCATAAATGATGTTGTTTTAAGCCATTAATCTTTGGGGCAATTTGTTACACAGCAATATATAACTAACACAAGAACACTGTAAATAAATCTGAAATGATGTATCAAAAACAGAACGCATATCACCTGTTATCTTCCTTCCAGAAGTGAAGGAAGGAAACTATGCCCATGTTTAGGATTCTGTTTTTAATAAACATATAGTGATTTTTGGTAACACTGTTTTAGAGCCTCAATTGTTTTTTATATGGCAATGAAAATAAGATAGAAAAACATTCTCTTTTACAACAGCAGCATAACATTTGAAAATGTCTAAACTCGAATTAATAGAAATATATTTTGTTTTCTTCAAGAATTGAAAATTTTGCATTTTTGGTAAAATTTTTGTTAAAATAGTGGCAAATTTTGGTATTTTCTTTGCTTTTTTTTGTTTGTTGCTCTAAACAGAGTATTTAAAATAGATCCAGAAAATCTTAGAAAAAGCAGATTAATGTTAATATGTATGACATTTCTTTAATTTTAAAGTAGATAAATGCTGGTTCCTTGCAGGAACACGTATAGACAAGAGGTATGTAAGATTTAGATGGCATTGCAAATCAGTGGGCAAAAGTGATGTTTACAATAAATCATATTAAGACAAGTAGTTATATCTGAAAAAATATGAAAATTATATTGTAATTCAAATATTATATCAAATAAATTTAAAATGGCCACTTACATTCTACCTTCACCTTCACACTGTTGGTAGACATTTAGGTAGACATCCTCCCACCTTTTAAAAAATTATTATGATTGGCTGGGTGCCATGGCTCATGCCTGTAATCCCAGCACTTTGGGAGGCTGAGGCGGGCCGATCACTTGAGGTCAGGGTTTCCCAATACGGTGAAGCCCCGTCTCTACCAAAAATACAAAAATTAGCCTGATGTGGTGGCGGGCGCCTGCAATCCCAGCTTTTCGGGAGGCTGAGGCAGGAGAATCACTTGAACCCAGGAGGTGGAGGGTTACAGTGAGCCGAGATTGCACCACTGCACTCCAGCCTGGGCATCACAGCAAGACTCTGTTAAAAAAAAAAAATTATGATGATTAAAAACCTTATGAGGAACATTCTTGATATGCTTCTTTTTGTACTGACTTAATTATTTCATTAAGATGTTTCTAGAAGCTGAATTGCTGGAATAAAGGGCATGCAATCTTCAATTTGGGTACAGAATGTCTGGTAGAAATGTCATAGGAATTATACTCCCACCCAACCTGTCTGGGAAAGTGTATTTTTCAAATTCATGCCAATACTTTATTATTCCATTTAATCTTTGCCAAATTAGTCTGCCAAAAAGTATGTAATCAAAAACTTTTTGCATTTCTTTCCTTTAGAGTAGTATTGGCCATTACCTCATATATATAGTTATGGCTCTTTTATGGTTCTATACTAATTGCCTTGTTCATGTTCTTTATTCATTTTTTTTAAAAAATTTGAATTCTCATCTTTACTGTTTCTAAAAGAGCTGTTAATAAATAGTCTATTTCAACCCTTCTCATATATATGAAACCACTTTATTTTCTCCATTTATTTCTTTTTAAATCTATTTTTTTTCTGAAGCAAGAGTTTTTCCATTTGTTATAGCCAGACTGATCAATCATTTCCTCCAGTGTTATGTTTACATGGCAGTGAAAATAAGAGACTACTTAACTTGAATGAATAGAAATACATTCAATTTTCTTGATGACTAGGAAACTTTGTTTTAATAAAATTTCAATTAAAAAACTTCTCTAGCAAGTAATGCAAAAAAATCACTTATGCCAAGTGTTTGCTTTTAACATTTCAAATTACATATCTATATGAAATACAATGGCTATAACATGTGAGATGGGAATTAAACCTTAGTTTTTTACTCCAAATGGCTAGTGAGTTGTCCCACATCACTTTTTCAATAATCTATTTAACAATAAGCCTTTCTCATTGATTTGAAAGGGCAGCTTTTCATATAATATTCTTGGAAATCATCTTTTGTTGGTGTTCAGATAGCTATTGCTGCATAACAAACCACCCAAAACTTAGAGGCTTAAAACAACAAAATTTATTACTTCTTGTAGTCTGTACGTTTACTGGGATTAGCTATATGTCATTTCCTAAGGAGCTGAAGTCTTCCAGGAACTTCACTGGCCTGGAATGTTCACTCATATTTATGATGTCTAGGCAAGGATGACTGGAAGGCTGGGATGGCTGCGTTGCTAGGAAAGATGAGACTCTCTTTTTCCATGTGGTCTCAGGGCCTCTCACTTCCTACTTCTCTTGGTTTCTCCACTTCGTCTAACAGGTTAGCTGGATTTCTTACATAGCATCTAAGGATTCTTCAAAGGGCAAAGTGAAAGCTGCCACGACTTTGTATGGCTTACTTTCTGGAACTGGCACAGTGTCACTTCTGATACATTCTTTTGGTTAAAGAGAATCACAGAGTCAGCCAAATTCAATATGGGAGGGAAATATACAAACCTGGAATACTGGGAAGTGTAGGTCATTGGGTGCCATCTTTGAAGACTAGCTACCACCAGTTGCTGTTTTTTCTGGAATTGAATAATAATACATCATAACTTTGTCAGCAACTTTCATGCCTTCCAATGAGTAAAGTGTTATAAAATTCCATTTATTCCGTATATATACAATACATATACAGTCATGTGTGACATAAGAATGTTCCAGTCGACAATGTACTGCATATACAACTGTGGTCTCATAAGATTGTAATACTGAATGCGTACTGTGCCTTTCCTATGTTTAGATATGTTTGCATACACAAATACCATTGTGTTGCCATTACATATGGTATTTAGGACAATAACATGCTACACAGGCCTGTAGCCTAGGAAAAATAGGCTACACCATACAGCCTAGGTGTGTAGTAGACTATTTCATCTAGATTTATGTAAGAACACTCCATGATAATCATACAAAGGTGAGATTGCCTAAAGACACATTTCTCAGAACATAGTCCCCCTGTTAAGCCATGCATGACTGTATGTATTTTCCTTGTGGATGTAAAGCTATTTTCTATATTACTCACATAGAGTAATATAATTTGTGGCATTAAAGTATATTAACTATGTTGCTGATTAAAATAATAACAAATTATTAGACCCATATGAGTTCCTCTTTACAAAACCGTCAGAAGAATGTGCACCTAAAGTTAAACTTGGGTATCTCTGGGAATTGGGGTTATGGCTAATAGATCATTTTTTTTAGAGATACTCTGATTTATCTTCAGCTTTCACGTATTAAAAGCCAGGAATGATTCTGCATCCTGTTTGGGAGAAATTCTGCAGGTCGTTAGTATTATTCCCTTAATATTCTACTGAAATATCTTTCGCAGTCATTTTCATTTCGCAGAATTTTCCTTTCTCATCTATAGCCTTCGGTGAAACGGGTATGAAACTTTACTTTTCGTATTGATGATTCACAGTAGTCACCCAAGCCCTGTAGTTAAAGCAGAAGCTCTTCAAAGGTCCCTCATAGCAGGGCGGTGGCCGCGACGCCTTCTGGGGACTGTGGTCCCGAAAGCTGGCGCGGGTCTCGCGAGAGTCCCGGGAAAGCTGGCCTGGAGGCCTTTCTGCGCATGTGCCGTTCCTGTTCTTGTACCGGAACGCGCTTCCAGTTTGCCAGGCTCTTCCGGGTGAGAGTCTTGCTGTTTGTGGATCCGTGGTCCCACCGTCACTGTACCTGGTGCGAACTGGAGGCGAAGCAGGTGCACCTACAAGCTATAGAAAGGGCTGGCAGCAAGCTCCGAGCGAGCACTCGGGCGTCGAAAGGAACGGTGGGGCTGGGCGGAACTGGCCTCGGGTCCGTCGAGGGTGGACGCGCTCTCCCCGTCTCTGGAGGGAGGGTTTCTTGTGCGCGGGAGGCTAGGCAGCCGGGGCAGGATTGGGGTCCTCACCTGCAGGCCTCGGGGCGGGCTCTCTCTAGGGCCCTGATTTGCCTTAAGAAGGTGCTTGGTGAAGGTGAAACGTTTGCACATCCAAGTAGCTAGAGCCTCTTTCCAGAACTGCTGATGCACTTAGTCCTGCAGCCATTGATTACTATAGCTGAGCAAATTTCAATTCAACTTTTAGAAGAAGGATGTGAGTTGCAATTGAAGAGAGTGGGCGGGGTCCAGATTTGACAGGAAAAGACACTTCTCTGGCGGTATCTGAGAGTCCTTGGTTGGAGGGAAGGCTTACTGGTTATAACTAAGAAAATGATTTCTTCGTTACTTCCTAAACACATTCATGTCATTCCCTACCATCTCCACCCTTTGTTTATTCTGAGCTGCACAAACCATGTTCATCACCTCCCCTGGAATTTACTGAGTTTACCCCTTACGGAGCCACACAATAGGGGTAAAAAAAAAAAGACTAAAAACTAACTTATTTTAAAATTGCGACTTAGTAAATATTCAGTAATGCAGTTTGCTAGTAACAGAGCCAATAATTGAATTATAGTCTCTTGAGTACCAGGTCATCTACCACATTTAAGTTATCTACCACAAGTTTCTCAGTAAAAGGTCCTCTTGTGAAACTGCAGCTAAGGTAGACCAAACTGTCAAAAAGACAAACATCTTAAAGCACTTTCATTCATCCTTTCTGGATTCTCTCATCTCAAGTGGCTAAACACATTAGTAGAAAAATAGGTAAATGATATAATATCATTTTCCTATTCCAATAGATCTTTTAATCCTATAACCTGTTTTAATGCCAAAGTAGTGTTCCCGGCTTTGTATATACTAACTTTCATTGACCTAGTCTCCTATTAATTGGACTCAGAGTTTTCAGTTTTTTTCCAAAGGAGGCATAAATTGACAGTAATAAAGTAGAAAACATTTGTTGCATTCACTCAGTAAGAAAAGCTCTATGTGACAATTCTAGAACTATAAATGGACAAGTGAACATTTCCTCAAGTTGTTGCTTCCTGAACCAGACTGGTCAAAATGCCATGTTTTTAAACGGATGCGTGGTTGTCTTTGTGGGTAATTGTAGAGCTGCTGTGTGACCCAGATTGCTCATGATTCCATTCCCCATTCTTCCTTACCCAGCTCTGCTTTTAACACTCTTGGCCCTTTCTCAAGAGAACCCGAAAATGAACAAATTTCAGGTAAGTTGCTCAGTGATTTACTTCCCACCTTACACAGTGAATTTCAAGAGGTTTAGAGTAGTTTGCAGGTGAAATTGAAATGTATTTCAGCATCAGAGAAGAGTATCTGATCAATACTGGATAAGTGGACATAGATATACAGAAAAGTCATATATTTCTATAGACTTATTCAAATGGTTCCAGAAAGGCCCAGAAGATATGAGGTAGGCCTTACACTGGCATTTTATGTGGTTTTCCCATCATTTATATCTAAACATTTTCTTAGATGATCTTTGAGTAAGTGAAATAGAGGCAGCTTTGCCAAAAAACAGCTGGGAAAGAAATGCTGTTGGTTTCTTGTGACTTCTATACCCAAGCAGAGCATAGTGATTACAGGGAACCAACTCAGTGTCATCTGAGCAGGCAGCATTCTGATGGTTCTCTCTGATGTCTGTGATCCAGTGATAAGACCTAGAATAAGTGGATAAAACCTGCAGTAAATGGAATAATGTTCCCCAAATAATGCCCTATAACTATTTATTACAGCCATTCTATTAAAGCAAGTTCTAGGGAGAACAGTGTGATATGCTTCACGTGCCTGTCTCATTTCAACCCACTTGATACAGTCTTGTGACTGCCCCCACCACTCAGATGGATTTGTTCTGGAAAAATTTAGTAGTAACCTAAATGTTTTCAAACCTAATGAGTCTTTTCCGGTTCATACTTTACCAAACTCTTCGTTGCATTTGACAGTATGACTGCCCCTCCCTAATATGCACCTGTGATAATTTCTGTGGTATCACTCGCATGATGCTCTTTGCAGCTCTGTAATCATGTCTTTTCTTTTTTAATTGAGACGAGGCCTCACTATGTTGCCCAGGCTTGTCTCAAACTCCTGGGCTCAAGTGATCCTCCCACTTTGGCCTCCCAGAGTGCTGTGATTACAATTGTGAGCTGCCACACTCAGCCTGTAATCATATCTTTTTTATATCTTTTATAAAATCTTCTTCTCTTGTTTCATGAACATTGCTATTTCATTGTTAGCCCATTATTCTTTCTGATTTTTTTTCATGCCCTTTGTGGTTTTAACTTGTGACTCTATGCTCTGAAATATCTCTACCCCTGAGAACCTCAGCTCGAGATTCTTGCTGGACATCTCTATAAGGCACTTGGAGTCCTCGTAACCAAAACAGAAATAATATTTACAACTTGCTCAGTGTGCTGCTTCTTTATTCCCTATCAGTGCTGCTTCCATCAGGCCAGTGAGGCAAGCTGGAAAAGGAAGTCCATCTTCATCTCTCCTTTTCCTCATCTCCTACTGTATCTGTTTGTCAAGCTTGCTAATGTCTCATAAACCTTTCTTGAATTTGTCCTTTCACTTCCATTCCTACTTCTGCCTGAGTTCATGGGTCGACATAATATTAATAGCTTTCTCAGTAGTCTGCTTGGCCCCTTCCTCCCTTCCTATCCCCACCTCAAGGCTGTTGTTCACACTGACCAATTCCTCCAAAATGCCAATGTGATCATGTCTTAATACAGAAATGACTTAAGAGGTTCCATGCCACTTACAGAGTACAAGTTCAGCATCCTTGGTACGACCTATAAGGCTGTTTGTGTCATGACCATTTCCTGCCTCTTCTTAATTCCTACCACTCTAGACCTTTCATTCAACAACTGTATATTGATCAAACAGTTGTGTGTCATACACTATGCTAGATGGTCTACATTCAGCTTGAATGAAGGAGATACTGTCTTTGTCATGGAGCTCACATTCTAGTGAAGGAGAAAGATGTTACAGAAACAATACAAACTGTGCTGAGGTGGTTCTCAACTCTGCCAGACCCATATCCATTTACAGAACATACTTTTTCACAAGCTATATTGGGATGCAAACCTTCCATAGTCAGCCATCTCCTTTATCTCTCTTGGTTAATGCCACCCACTCACACCAGGCTGCCTCCTCTTTTAGACTTGGATGAAACCACACACCATAAGGTGTGGTACCAGCTTCCTGAGGGGCCAGATGGTGGAGCCAGATGATGCAACCTGCAAGTGTGGGCAAGTTAACTCACTGTGGGTGAACCTTGAATGAAGGGAAATGGAAAATGAGAAAGAGGTGGGCAGATGAATTCCCCACCCTTTCTGTCTTCTGTGCACTGAGTTCAGTTCTTCCTGGTGGTCCACCTGGAGATGTCCCACGTGCTGAGCCCATGCTCCTTCTAAGGAAACTTGCCTCTCTTTGGGGCTTGTAGTGAAGTGGTGGGCAGCATGCTGATGCCCCTTGTGTCTCATTGTTTACATCCTTTCTTTCTTCCCTTCCTTACTTCCCTTACCCTCTCTGTTCTGGCTTGGAGTTCCCAGATGAAATGATACAGCCTGAGTCCTTGCCTTAGGCTCTGTTTTCTAGAAGTCTCAACTAAAAGCCATCCTCTCTTTTGAAAATTACACAAATAGGCTATTTTAAATTACAAAATAGCCTATTTTGGAGATCCTAAATAATGTAACCTACTTGTGTAATTTTAAAAAAATCAATAGAATTCGAATATAGAGGAGAAATAAATACAGTAATTAAAAATAATATGTATCTTAATATAGACTTGTCCAGATAAAACTATAGTAAGTCATAAAAGTAGTTTGATGTTTATACAGACTTCTTTTAGGTTAAATCACTATGAATATGATAATTACAAGTTTATATTGATACAGGAGTGATGTCATAATTTGAGTACCGTACATAGCATTGCCATTAGTGGGATTTTTCAGGAGTGAAAATCCCTAAATGTTCCAGTTCAAATCAAATACAAACTGCCCTTGATGTGTCCACTATTACACTGAAGAAAATTTAATATGGATAAAAATACTGTGTATTTTTATATTCCAGTGCCAAATGGAGTAAGGTTCTAGGCTCGGATGATTATAAACAGATTTTTCATTTATATGAATATTTAAGATTAGAAAGCTATACAGGATTTGGGGCATTTCTTTCCTGTAGGAGAAGATCCTGCATGTTGCAGTGTCTCTACCATCTCTCCTTCCCTCTCCCTCCACCAAATGCCAACAGCATCCCACAGAACCTTGACGGCCAAAAAGGTCTCCACAGATGTGCCAAATGCCCCCAGTGGAAGGGACCACTCACACTCAGCCCCTCTGAAGAGTGATGGTGGTCTGCATTTAGTTTCCTGAACATGCCCCAAATTTTACATTCCTGCTTTGAACCGTGTTTCCACTATTTGCTCCTTGACTTTCTACCCCTTTCCTATCTACATTGTGTCCATAGCCAGGAGCCATCTCATCACAGGACCCATTCCTGCCCCCATCTTCTGTGTCCACAGACTGTGCTTACAGAGCAATGGTGGCTGTCTTCATCTCTGCATTACGTGTAGGGTCTGGTCATTATCTGTCTACCTTACAAGTAAGACTGTTAGCCTTTAAAGATGTAGGAACATGTCCTCAGTAGCCATATGCCTGCTCATAGTAGTGTTCATCATTTCTTTTTTGTGGATAATCTTGTTTTGTATGAATCTATGAACTCTCCTTTGCTCCGAATGGATCATCGCTCTACTTACAGCGTTGCTTGCAGAGTGGACGTGAGTCACCAGGAGAATTGAGTTTCTTTTTCTTTTGTCATAAGCACCTTTCAGTTTCTCACAAAGTGAACACATTCACTGTTCTTACTTTGCACCTTCTGCTATGAAGTGTACTGGGTCTGCCTCAGTGAGTACAGAACTTTCTAGTGAGGGCTCTCCAATTCTCTAGCACTCTTTGTTCCTGGCTTTTTGTTTTTAATATTTTTGCCAGTCATTCTTTCTAGTCATTAAGACCTTATATGTCTATTGTTGTGCATGTAATTATAAGATACTCTTTATCTTCAGGAAGCTTGTAGGTCCTTTGGAGGAAGTAATTTATGGAGGAAATAAAATGGATAATATAACTCTCTAGTTTATGTGTAAGAGACAGTTAAGTGGTGGTAGCAGGAAAGGCCTCACTAAATTACCTAATAAAGTGTGTCAGTAGGAAGATATATAGCAGCTCAAAGAAAAGAAAGACTGGGGTGACCTAGGACAGTCATGTGAGTGAGGTGAGACGAACAGCAGGCCAAAGCCCAGGTGTCTGCAGAGGTGGAGGCAGCACTACTATTTTTTACTGCTTTATTTTGAAATATAAAGAATGAGAAAAATCGTACACAAAGTGCCTGTGTCTCCTTCACCTCACTTCCCCCACCTTTCAAAACTGTATTATAGTGATGAAAACCACATGAATACAGTACTATTATCTTACCTTACTCAAATTCTGCTGATGATTTTCCATGAATATCCCTTTTCACTTCAAGGATCCAACCTAGGAACCCAAGTTGCATTAAATGTCCTGTCTCCTTAGCCTCTTGCAACCCACGACGGTCCTTTTTCACTTAGAACCTTGATACTTTGCCGGTTAGTTATTTTGCAGGGTTCATCCTATACTTCTCTTTCTTTCCCCTTCCCCTTTCCTTTCCCTTTCTCTTGTTTTTCTTTTCCTTTTCTTTCCTCCCTCTTCTTTCATTTCTCCTTTCTTTTCCTTTCCTCTTTCTTTTCTTTCTTTCCTTTTTACTTACTTATTTAACTTACTTAATTTTTGAGACTGAGTTTTGCTCTGTCACCCAGGCTTGAGTGCAGTGGTACAATCATAGCTCATTAAAGCCTTGCCCACCTCAGCTCAATCAATTCTCCTGCCTTAGCTTCCCAAGTAGTTGGGACTGCAGACATGCGCCACTACTCCTGGCACAAAAAAAAAAAAAAAAAAAAATTGAGTGATGGGGTCTCACTATGTTGCCTAGGCTGGTCTTGAACTCCTGAGTTTAAGCGATCCTCCCACCTCAGCCTCCCAAAGCGCTGTGATTACAGGCATGAGGCACCACACCTGGCCTACGGTAGTTCTAAAAATCAAAACTGTACAGAAAGATATTTTAGAGAAGTGTCAGTCCTTCTCATCTCTTCTACCCTGTTCCCATCCTTCCATTCTTTCCATCTGACTCCACCTCTCCCCTGAAGGCAACCAGTTTCATGAGTTTCTGGGGTATCCTTTCCATAACTTTTTTGTACACATTGTGATTATATATGGTGAGTTTTTTTTGTTTTTGTTTTTGTTTGAGATGAGGTCTTGCACTGTTACCCAGGCTGCTGGAGTGCAGTGGCACAGTCTAAGCCTACTACAGTCTCTGCCTCCCAGGCTCAAGTGATCCTCTTATCGCAGGCTCCCGAGCAGCACACGCCACTGTGCCCAGCTAATATTTTTTGTAGAGAAAGAGGTTTTGTCATGTTGCCCAGACTGGTCTCAAACTTGTTAGCTCCAGCGATCCATCCACCTCGACCTCTCAAAGTGCTGGGATTACAGGTATGAGCCACCACACCCTGACATGTGTGTTTTCTTACATCTCCTTTCTTACATAAAAGATAGACTATTATAGATATTCTTTAATACTTTGCTTTTGTCACTTCATATCAGTTCATAGAGACCTTCCTCATTATTTATGCTTTCAAATATTGCTTCTGATCACTGTGCTGTCTCTCCTCTGAGCTCCAGAACCATGTATCCAACTACCGGCTAGACATTTCTACTTCTTTACTCAACAGACACTTCAAGCACAGCATGGTAAAGATCAGTGCTTTCATTTCCTATGCTCTGTTCTCTTTTTTGTTTTGTTTTCCTATTCTCCATAGATGCTACTAGCATCAGCCTAGCTGATGATGCGGAATAATCTGCACATTACATCGACTGCACATCAACTAGAGGTCAACTCCCCTTGCCTCTCATTATGTAGGACTGATTCTTTCCTTCCCATTTCCCAGGAACTACCTGTGGTCATGTCCTGCAGCGGTGTCTTAGCTTTCTTCCCCTCTAATTTGACCTTTAAGCCAGTTTCCATTTTTCTAGAGTAGGGGACAGCAGATGTTTTCTTTAGAGGACAAGGTCAATATTTTTGACTTTGCTGGCCACGTGGACCCTGTCGGATTTACTCAGCACAGCTGTTGAGGCATGAAAGCAGTCATAGAGCATGTGTAAGCAAATTTTAACATGACCGTATTTGGCTCCCAGTAGCCTAGATTTTGCCCACGGGTTGTAGTTTGCTAACCCCTATACTCTAGAGCATTGTTTCAAAATACGTATTTGGTCACAAATCTTCAGTCCTTGCTTACAAATACCTTTTTATGGATTTCCATCATTCACAACAGTGGTCTGCAAAGTGGAGGATAGGGAGCACCCCAGCAATCCACTGGACTTCTATTCTTATTGGTATTTCAGCCAAAAGAATCAAAAAATAATTAAGTTTTATTGATATTAATGTATAGCTTGAAGTAACTTGGAAATATACTACAATTTCTAAGTAAATGTATATTAGTTGTGCAAGAATGTTTTGCTAATGTGCTATACTATCTAGATTTCAAGACTACTAATTAGAGAAAAGAGTTCCTTTATTCTCTGGGTTCTGTCCCACCTCTTACTATCCTTTCATATGGAGAGATTTGTAATTCTCAAACTCCCCATGTGTGTTTTGTGTCCATGTATCTTCTTAACGGCTACCTACAATCCTATAAAACATACTATTTATATTTCAGGACTAAAAATGTTATCCCCTCGAAGGAATAACACAAAACGGAGCAAACTTTCTTCTTTTTTGATCACCCTTTATCTTGTGTGTATGTCCAGCATTGCTCTTTAAAGATGTACATTTCTGCTTTTGTCACCCTGTCAGAATGTATGCTCCTTGAAAGCAACATTAGTATTTTATGTGATTAGTAATCCAGGCAATTGGAATAGTGCGAGGCATGGTATAAGCTCCGTACATTTTTAAATTTTATTTTAAAATGAACACAGTGACAGATTTTTAATTTTCTGCCCTCCCACAATTATATCTCTTTATAGCTACTCTATTAGCCATGGCAGTGGTCTGCTTATATTTTGTTACCATACATTTTATAACACTCAATTCTGATCACTCAAGATCAAACATTTTCTTTCAGAGATCAGTTTCATTCCAGGACCTAACTGTGAACTTCACCCAAGAGGAATGGCAGCAACTGGACCCTGCTCAGAGGCTCCTGTACAGGGATGTGATGCTGGAGAACTACAGCAACTTGGTCTCTGTGGGTAAAGACAGTTTCCCTGTACAACTCTCAAGAGCATACATTTCTTCTGTGTTACAAAAATATGTTGATTTCTAGAATTTAATTATTTAGCCTTGAGCATCAGGGGAGCAAGATGATTAAACTCTTTTAGAGAGTAGAAGTATGTGTGTGTATTCACTGCCTGTCCCTTACTCTTTGCCAAAATGTTCTAGCTTTACTGAGCCATTGCTGGGCATCTTCATTGCACAGCTTCTGAAGCTGTACTTTCTTCATTCTTCAGAGTCCCTGATGTCCAAAGATCTTGGTCCAAGTTCTGTAATTTCCCATTAACAGGATATCATGTTAGCAAACCAGATGTGATTTTCAAATTGGAGCAAGGAGAAGAACCGTGGATAGTGGAGGAATTCTCAAATCAGAACTACCCAGGTAAGTAAATGATAACTGCAGGCGGAACCAATTGAAATGAGTGATCCGTGGTGGTCAGTGACAATAGTTGGCATCTTTGTAATATTTTTTTATGAATTTCTTTTTTTGACCCCAGACCTTTGGAAGTGATTGAGGTTGATTAACTGTCTTACTGTTAACATCTGAAATGTTCTCCCCAATAACTAATTGAAATTTATAAAGATTTTGCCACCAAGTTACCTATCCCCAGAATTCAAGTCCTCTTTTTTCACACCTTAAACTTTATTTCTATAACATCCTCTGTTGCCTCCCTTGCCCCATCCACTGTTGTCATAGATTTAGTTTATATTTCAGACATTCAGAGATCTGTCATGATCTTTTTAGTTGCCTTCCATTTTTCTATAACTCAACTGAGAAATAACATGGTTTCCCTTTCCATTATGAGTTTCCCCAGGATCCAGAGTAGGGTGAGGCAAACAAAGTGCCTAGCATGCAAAATTTAAGAAGACACTCAATTATCAGGATTGTACAGGTGTCCTTGATATCCTGCTTGCCTTCCTCTAGTCCCAGCCCTGCTCAGCCCACAATCTTACTTTCCATTCCCCTTTGCGTTGTACAAATTTGAGAGTTTCATGTTACTGCAAAAATTTAAGGTTTACCCTTTCTTCTTGTGTGTTTAGATAACAGACTCTGTTTTACCTGATCTCACTGTATCAGTCTTTCTCTAAGTGCTTACTTGACTCTTGTGTGTTTTATTTAATACTCCATCAGCACACTTCCAGCTTTGTGTACTATTCCGTGTGACTATTTACTTTTTCCACCCAAGTTTAGTAGTATTTGTAAAGTGTCAAAAGTACTTGTATTCTTTGCTAGTTTCTTCTTCCTTTCCCCCTCTTAAATATTGGCTTATATGGATGGATTTGCTTTTTTTGTATTTTTTGCTTTTCTTCAAATCAACCAAGTAGGAGATGTTTGCACTTGAAATTTGTTTAATCTTGGTAGTCTGGGCCTAAAGTCTAACCCCTAAAACGATGCATTTCTAAGGAATTCTTATTGCATAGAAAATATATAAAGACTCACCAATTATTGTTAATTGTCTTCCTTTTTCTAGAAGTTGATGATGCCTTAGAGAAGAACAAGGAAATCCAAACTGTATTCTTCAGCAACAAAACACTGATTACAGAAAGAGAGAATGTATTTGGGACAACATTTAATCTGGGTATGAATAGTGTTCCCTCAAGAAAAATGCCCTATAAATGTAATCCAGGAGGAAACAATTTGAAAATGAATTCAGAAATAATTGTTGCAAAGAAAAGTAAAGAAAACAGAAAGATTCCTGATGAGTACAGTGGATTTGGGAAGCCATTATTCCATAATAAGCATGAGCAAAGTCATTTGGGAATGAAAAAATACAGATATAATCCAATGAGGAAAGCCAGCAATGAAAATGAAAATCTTATTCTGCATCAGAACATTCAGATTTTGAAGCATCCTTTTGACTATAATAAATGTGAGAAAACTTTCTTCAAGCAGGCAATTCTCATTACACAGAAGGAGAGACAGACTGAAAGGAAACTAAATGAATGTAATGAATGTAGGAAAACCTTTTCTAGGAGATCTACCCTCATTGTACATCAGAGAATTCATACAGGGGAGAAACCCTATGTTTGTAATGATTGTAGGAAAACTTTTCGTGTGAAGGCAAGCCTTACTCGACACCAAAGAATTCATACTGGAGAGAGACCCTATGAATGCAGTGAATGTGCGAAAACTTTCGTGGACAAATCTGCCCTCATTGTACACCAGAAAATTCATAGAGGGGAGAAATCCTATGAGTGTAATGAATGTGGAAAGACCTTCTTTCGGAAGTCAGCCCTGGCTGAACATTTCAGGTCACACACAGGGGAGAAGCCTTATGAATGCAAGGAATGTGGAAATGCCTTCAGCAAGAAATCTTATCTTATTGTACATCAAAGAACTCACAAGGGAGAGAAGCCAAATGAATGTAAGGAATGTGGGAAAACCTTCTTCTGTCAGTCGGCCCTTACTGCACATCAGAGAATTCACACGGGGGAAAAACCCTATGAATGTCACGAATGTGAGAAAACCTTCTTTTGTCAGTCTGCTCTCAATGTGCATCGAAGAAGTCATACAGGAGAGAAGCCCTATGAATGCAGTCAATGCAGAAAATTTTTATGTACAAAATCAGCCCTCATTGCACATCAAATAACTCATAGAGGAAAGAAGTCTTATGAATGTAATGAATGTGGGAAATTTTTCTGCCATAAGTCAACACTCACTATACATCAGAGAACACACACAGGAGAGAAACATGGTGTGTTTAATAAATGTGGTAGAATATCCATTGTGAAGTCAAACTGCAGTCAGTATGAGAGAATGAACACAAAGGAGAATCTTTATGAGTGTAGTGAACGTGGGCATGCCATCAGTAAAAACTCACACCTCATTGTACATCAGAGAACTATATGGGAGAGACCATATGAATGCAACGAATGTGGGAGAACCTACTGCAGGAAGTCAGCCCTCACTCACCATCAGAGAACACACACAGGAGAGAGACCCTATGAATGTAATGAATGTGGAAAAACCTTCTGTCAGAAGTTCTCCTTTGTTGAACATCAGCGAACTCACAGTGGGGAGAAACCGTATGAATGTGATGAATGTGGGAAATCCTTCTGCCACAAGTCAACCTTCAGAGTCCATAGAAGAATTCACACAGGAGAGAAACCATATGACTGTAATCAATGTGGAAAAACCTACCGTCGACTGTGGACTCTCACTGAACATCAGAAAATACACACAGGAGAGAAACCTTATGAATGTAACAAATGTGAGAAAACATTTCGCCACAAATCAAACTTTCTTTTACATCAGAAGACACACAAGGAATAAGTTCCAACAAAGTAATAAGTTCCAACAAAGCAACAAATCAAAAAACTTACACAATGCTAAACTATGAATATGTGTAGAGGAGCAAAATCTTACGAATGTAATGAATATGGAAAGTTTTCTGTCACTATTCAATCCTCACTATACCATCAGAAATCATGTGGGAAAGAAATAGTTTAATAAATGTATTCATTGTGAATTATGAAAATATTCAACAGTAATTCAAAGGTTATGTCAAATGTCCCTCCCTTTCAAGATAATGAAACAAACATTATTTAAGTTAAATTGTTACTTGGTTCCTCCACACAGTGTTACTTGGTAATATATGTTATGAGGTGTGAGGATCTGACCTTCATTTCAAATCAATACCATTGTTCCCGTGATAGTTGAGTAATTCAGTTTCTTAATTTATGGTGTATTTTCAGATTAGGCAGCTTTTTTATTGTCTGCTAACTCCATAGTCTTCTAGTAGCAGACTAGCATACTATATAGCTTTATCTGCAAAGGTGACAACTAAGGAGAACTAACCATGGTACTTCATGCACCCATGGTAATTATACCACAGATGAGCATTTGGTAAAGCTGAGCCAATAAAAGCTGTTCCTAAGACCTTTCCAATGGAAGAGAGGCACAGGATAGCTAGTTTGTGATACTGAAGCTTTCAGCCACGTCAAGAAAACAGCAATTGCAGTAGGAAAAACATGCAGACGTCAGCATTCTTGAGCAACAAAAATAATTCTGATGACGGTGGAATCCAAAAAGTGTTCATTTCTCTGGTTTTAGTGTTCTCTTAATATCCATTCAACCCCATCTACCGGTGGTTTATGTCAATTAGTATGTTTTCAAAGATCTCTTGTATTGCCTAAATATTTTCATTAGAGGTGTTCTTTAGAAGTCACTTATCAAATTCTGAGAACAGAACGCCCCTGTGAAGCCGGTTAGGATTACATTGTATGGATATATGTGATGAGATAGGATTGCCACTCATACGGGGTTATTGGGAAATGTTTACCTTTCAAGTCCTGCTTTCTGTGAGTGGGGTTTTCCCTCTGCCCATTTCTAGCTTCTCTGCTGCATTATGCATTCTGCCTCAGGGAAGATGAAGGGGGCTTATCTAATTGCTAAGAGTGATGGGTAACTGGGTTTGCTCAGCTGAATTCCCACTTCATTGTGGGCTGTCCTGCAAGTACAATTTCTTGTTACAGGTATTGCCTACGATTGGTAAATTCGTCTAATTCTGTCATTCAGCTAAAAGGTCACACTGAGTTGCATCCTCCAACTCAATTTGATCAGCAATAAAAATTTCATCTTGACCCCTGTCTGCTGTTTGTTTTGTTATTGTTTAAATGGAGGTAAAATGGTGAACCCAATATGAACATGATTGATTTATCCATTTATTCAGTTCTTATGTCCTTCAGTAGGATGGATAAATGTGTGTGTACACACATATGCATGTATTAACATTTATAAGTGTATACGTATGTATGTGCGTATACTGATCTGGCTCTTTTCCTGTGAAAGGTATTCATAGTCACTTAAAAGATTTGGTTGCTACTGTGCTATTGTGAATTAAGTTACCTTTCACTTTAAAACTAATGTAGTAAAGAAAAACAAAAATACCTAATTTTTGTGCCAAATTTGTCTAAATGTATCCTTTAATGTTGGAACCATTTTTTTCAAATCTTAGGAAAATGTAAATTCACAAGTCCAAGAAGTTTAATGAACCCCAAGCAGAATAAAAATGAAGAGCACAACAAGACACCAAATTTCAAGACATAAAGAAATTACAGCTGTCACTTTCACTGTGCTTAATTGGTCGCACAGACCAACCATGATGTGGTGCGGAAGGGAATCACACAGAAGCATGAATACCAGGAGGTGGAGACCTCTGGAGCCATACATATCAGAGGCTAGCTACCACAGGTGGCCACCGTAAGAATGGAGCAGTTTCAAGAAAGGTGAGAGGAGATGCACTGGAAACAATGCAAACAGCCCTTTCAAGGAGTTGTGCTTAAGGCAAGAGAAATGGCATAGTAACTTGAGAATAAAGTGTAGTCAATGGAGGCTTCTTTCTAGAGATAGCGATAAATGCCTGTTTATACACTGATGGGAAATGTTCCATAGAGAGGGGGACATGTTGGAGTGATGTTCTGCCTAGGTGAGATGGGTTGGAACCTATGTGTAAGGGAGAAAGGTAGCCTTTTAAAGAGAATAGCCAATGGTCATGCCAGGCCAGCTCACTCACATATGGGTTGATGTAGTGGAAGTTTGTGAATTTATTTTTTATAATTGTTTCTATTTTGCAATGAAATGAGGAATAAGATTATATGAGAGAATGAAAGAGAATTTCATAAGTTGGTATTACTGATATGACACATTTAGTTACAGTTCTGCCAGATTATTTTATCTTCCTATTTGTCATTCACTACATAGCATTGTGGAGTATTTGTATTTTTGTTCTGTCAGTTACTAATTACTGATATCTTTATATAATGCCTTAATGTCCCTGTTATTTGCAGGGACTAAGGGAAAGATACTATATTAGTGTCTTACTGTCAGTCAATAATGAAATTAGTTGGTACTCTTCTTCCTTCTCTCCCTGTTCACCTGGAATATAATTTAAAATGATAGCTTATTCTTTAAGATGGATATAACAGTCTTTGAATTATTATATGTTCACAGTTTGCCTGTGGATTTTATGTATGTTTGAAGATCGGTCTGACTGGTTAGAAAATCCCCAGCTAAGTTTCTTTGCATATCCTAAAACACATTACTCCATCATATCTACAGCAAGTGTCATACTTCAGAAGCCTGATGCTTCTGGATACTCTGTTCCTCCAGAACCACTCTCTACCCGACTCTACATGCTTGGGGTAGACCTCTATGAACTGCATCAACTGAGGTCTCTTGCCATCAAGTGTCTGGTTGAGACCCTATTTGTGGCCCTCTTCTGCAGCTACAGGTATCCCCAGATCCCAAAAGTCATTTCCTTCCTGTATCATTTAGAGTTCAATCAGAGCAGCAGAGCCATATGTATGTTCTGTAGATAGATTTGTTATCAAAACTTGACTCCAGGGTACTGTAGGAAGCCTGTTATGTAACTGTCCTCATGGCTGATGCTGCCACAAAGTCTGCAGGCCAAGCAAGTAGGGAAAGTGAACACTAAGTGAGAGAGTACAAAGACAAGCTGGAACCCACACAGAAAGTTGTGGTAGTTTTTACTGTCTTCTACCTAAATGATGTGGGTGTCCTACAGAGGTTGGTGCCATTTGTCGTGTTGCTAAGCACACATATCCCAGGAGCTGGAAGAGCTGGAGAAGATCCTGGGGAAACAAGAGCAGAGCAGCCACAGGCTTGTCTACTGAGCCACACCAACAAGAACCAGCAGGTAGGAAATGTGTTGGGGCCAGAAGCCTTTCTAAGCATAAAAACAAAATGATTGTTCCTTTGCCACCACCCTCCAGATCTCAAGCCAAGATGTCCTCTGTGACCCACCTTCACTGGAAACATACAGGGAATTCTAGGGAACATAGAATCAGCTGAGCCAAAGTGACACATTACAAAGCCACCACACTCTTGCTTTCCCTTCAGGGCCAGGGATCCCTTTTTGGTTTCCTGCAACCCTTCTCACACTTTTGTAGCGTCTCTTCATTCAATTTTCTTTCATTCCTTTCAAATGAGCCATTTCTTAATGGGACTAATTCTGTAACTGGTACCAGAAGTGGTCCCATGAAACAGATCCTCAAAATGGAAATGAGATTCTGGGGCTTGGTAAACCATGCAGCAGCACCTCACTTCTGGAGACAAAGCAGACACTGTTGTAGCATGCCTTAGGAAAGAGTGGTAATCAGGTGTTGGCCTGCCAGTGACAACTAGTGCATCATGGAGACCCTAGAATGAAATTAGATGGGAGCAGCTTGACATAGAGGTGAACAATTTCTGGGTCTCCTGGACAGAAATATGACCTAAGGAATTATATTGGGAATTCATAGCACCTTATTCAACTTTGAGACTTAAGCCAATTCTTAGACCCAAAGTGGCTTCAGAAAGACCTTTTAAGAAAGTTCCCGCAATGTAGCCATAGAGGCATTGTGCAAATCTTTCTCCAGGCCCTCCCAGGGGTCTCTGGGTTCACCCTGAGCACCATGGCCGTGCATGAGGGAGAAGGAAATACCCAGACCTCCTTGGGGACTTGGATATTGGCTCGAATTATATGAATTCTCGCAGTTTCCAAACACTGCAGTGGCCCATAATCAGAATGGAGACTTATGAAGGTCAGGAGATAAGAGTCTTGGCTTTGCTTCTGCCAGTGGGACCACAGGCCCATCCTATGGTTACTTCCTCAGTCCCAGAATGCATAGTGGAAACAGACTTACTTAGTGGCAGGTTCCTCATATTGGTCCCCAAACAATGGAGGGAGTACTCTTATACCCCATAATAATTTAAAAGTTATCCAGACTAGATATGTTTTAGGCAAAAAAAGGGGGGGAGATTAGAGATAGCCAGTGATTTAATGCAGATACCTAACATTGTTTATATGAGGTACATGGATCATATTCTGTGCTGACTCCAATTTTGCATTCTGTGGAAGTTATCTTCAGAGATAATTTAATGTTTAAAAGGATTAAAGCATTCATTGAATGGCCAGTTGTCTTGTGTCTCCTCTTATGAAGACAGGGATTGAACTTAGGACCCACCCTAATCTAGTATGATTTAATCTTGATTATATCTTCAAAATGATCCTATTTTTAAATAGGGTCAAATTCATGAGCACCAGCAGTTAAAACTTCAACGTATCTTAGGGAGGGATTCCATTAAACCCACAAACTGTTTTATTTATATCTCCTCAAACATGTGAGAATGAAAACCACATAAGGATTTAATTATTAAAAGCAAAAGATGCATCATTTACATTAATATGCAGATGACAGTTTACACCTAAATTGAAGTATTTAACCTCTCATTCCATCTGTTATTTTTGCTTAAACAATAGAACTGTTATGATTTTAATTAAAACCCCAATGAAAATAGAAAACTTTCTGCTGAAACTTTCCAATGAGGATGTTTTGACTAGCCTAACATTTACATGATGGCTATTCTTTTACCTTTTTCACACAACTGGAGAGTTTGGGCTTAGAAATTAGTGATAGCCCCTAAGAAGTATGGCAGAGATACAAAGAAGAAAGCGTTAGATGTCAATGAATAGTTAAATTAGAGTTCGGTGATGGTGAATTTGGGACACTAGGCTTTTCAGAACAAGTTGTTCTGGTGTATCCTAGAAAACTTTTCTCTTCTCACTATAGACTTTAGAGTTAGCAGTTTGACCCTGATAGGAACTGTGTTGAAAAGTCTTTGTATATTTGAAACATGTAAAATGTTTCCTATTTAACTTTAACCCAGGATTTTAAGGACCAAAATTAGGGATGACAGGTCCTGTGCATAATTTTTATCTTTATTCCAATAGCCATTCCCATTTTTATAATATTCATAAAAATATTTTTTAATTTTTATTACAATATTTTCTTTGCACTCAGTTAACTTATTTCAGTTGCATTTTTGGCTGATATGTAATTTGAGATCTATAAAGCTAATGTGTCTGTTATTTGTAAAAAGTGAGCTATATATATATACACACACAGACACATTTTCTTAGAGCTATATACTGATGCCTCAACACACAAGTAATGAGGCAGATGAAAGGGAGGCACACCTGGGAATTATACAACAGTTGAGCTCTGCGGCAGCTCCTGTCATGTCTGAGTAAGCAAAGAAACATGAGAGAATGAAGAAACTGAATAATGTCTGCAGATTGATGCCACCCTAACTATGCCCATCCCACTTGGCCAAACACAGGCAAGTTACCACCGATGTTTATTAGAACAAATTCGGGAAAGTGTAATTCGACTTCTGATACAAGGCTCAAATGTATTCAGTATTACAAGCTAGTATTAGCATATACTAGAAAGCTTAGCATTGAAGACATACAACAAGAAATCAATTTCAGGTAACATAATATTTCCAGTAGAGTTCTCCATATTCTGAATCTAAGGCCTAGAATTGTTGCAATCTCTCTATTTCTTCTTGATTTTTTAGAAACATAAAAGAATGGTACAAACTATTCAGGTAAGCTGGGTGTCTCAGTTATATCCATTTGTTTTTTGGCTTTTTTTTTTTTTTTTTTGAGACGGAGTCTGGCTCTGTTGCCCAGGCTGGAGTGTAGTGGCATCATTCAGCTCACTGCAACCTCCACCTCCTGAGTTCAAGCAATTCTCCTGCCTCTGCCTCCTGAGTAGCTGGGATTACAGGCACATGTCACCATGTATTTTCAGTAGAGACAGGGTTTACCATGTTGGCCAGGCTGGTCTCAAACTCCTGACCTCAAGTTATCCACCCACCTCAGCCTCCCAAAGTGCTGGGATTATAGGCGTGAGCCACCTCCTCCCAGCCATTTAGGCAAGGCAGCAGAAACCGTCTTATCCACAGACCCAAGACCTTTGGATTTCTCATGTCACCCCTCCTAACTCTTTATCCTTTAGTTCAGAGTCATAATCATCTTTTTACTTTTCACTGTCTGCTAGCAAAGTTCTCCAAAACTAATTCATTCAGAAAAGATGGGTTTTGTTTTCCTTACTTATGCTGAGATTAGGGTTGCATCATCTAACCTACAAAAGTTTGCATCTTTAGATAGCTACTTCTATTTGTTAATCCAGTGAAAGAAGATTATGAACAAACAGCAAAATGAATGTTCTTTTCACTGCATCCTTCTAGCTGCCTCTTAGCTTATCACTGCTCACCACAGGAACTGCCTTATCCAATTTCAGATTTAATTGAACACACTTAACTTTTTTTTTTCAGAGTCTCACCCTGTTGCCCAGGCTGGAGTGCAATGGTGTGATCTCAGCTCACTGTAATCTCTGCCTCCTGTGTTCAAGTGATTCTCCTGCCTCAGTCTCCTGAGTAGCTGGAATTACAGGTGTGTGCCACCATAACTGGCTAATTTTTTTTTTTTTTTTTGTATCTTTAGTAGAGATGGGGTTTCACCATGTTGGCCAAGCTAGTCTCAAACTCCTGACCTCATGATCCACCTACCTTGGCCTCCCAAAGTGCTGTGATTACAGGCGTAAGCTACCATGCCCAGCCAAAGACTCAAGTTAATGCAATAAAGTACATTTCTGATCGCCTCTCTATTTCTTCAACATTTACATATTTATATTTCCAAGATATTCCATAGAGCGTGAATCTGTGCAGAGAATTAGGCTTTGACTAAAAATCTTTCTGCATTTGTCTCTTGAGTTTAGCAAACAGTAAGTCATCTCTAAATATCTTTCTTAATCTCTCTTTTTTAGGGTTTCTTTTTATTGTAAGTCATCTGATGTTGAGAAAGCCTTGAGTTTAAGCTAAAAGCTTTTCCACATTGATTACATACAAAGTGTTTCTCTCCTGTGTGGATTTTCTTGTGTTTATTAAGATTTGAATGATTGTTAAAACGCTTTCCACATTCACCACATTCATAGCGTTTCTCTCCAGTATGAATTATTTTATGGCAATTAAGTTCCCAGTTAAGATGAAAGGTCTTTTCACATTCATTACATGTAAAGGGCCTCTCTGTAGAATGAGTTTTCTGATGTTTAGACAAGTCTGGCCGATATTTAAAGGTTTTTTCACAAGTCCTACATTGGTAAGGTCTCTCTCCTGTATGAATTCTTCGATGTTGTGTTAGATCTGACATCCGGACAAAGGTCTTTTTACAATTACTACAAATAAAAGATTTCTTTCCAATATAGACTTGTTAGTGGCGAGCAAGATCCGTGCGCTGGGCAAAGGCTTTTTTTTTTTTTTGGGGGGGGGGAGGAAGGCAGGAAGGGAGGGAAGAAGGACAGTAGGGAGGAAGGAAGGGATGAAGGAAGGAAGGAAGGGAGGAAGCGGGGAGGGAGGGAGGGAAGGGAAGGAAGGAAATCAAGCAATGAGAGAGACATTGCCGACCTGGATCTAGAGGTTTACAAGTTAATTTCTTTTTTTTTTTTTTTGAGAGAAGGAAAGAAAAAAAATAAGTAAAGGAGAGGAAGAAAGAGGAAGAGAAAGAGGGAGAGTAAATGGAAATATTGCTTTATTTTGAAAAAAATTGGGTATTATTAATGGCCAATCAATGTTTCATTTAAACTTATGGGTAGGTGTGATGTGGTATTGACAAGAATGTATATTTTGTGTATTTGAAGTGGAGAGCTCTATAAATATTTATTAAGTTTACTTGTTCCAGATCTGAGTTCAAGTCCTTGATATCCTTATTAATTTTCTGTCTCATTGAGTCTAAGTCTCTATGTATCTGGGTGTTAGGATCGTTAGCTCTTGTTGTTGCATCGATCCTTTTACCACTATATCTTTGTTGCTTTAAAATCTATTTTATCCGCTACGAGATTTGCAACTCCTGCTTTTTATTTATTTATTATTTATTTTTGCTCTCTATTTGGTTGGTAAATCTTTCTCCATCCCTTTGTTTTGAGTCTTTGTGTATCCTTGCATGTGAAACAGGTCTGGATGTAACATGCCATTGGGTTTTGGCTGTGTCTTTTGATTGGGGGATTTAGTCAATTTAAATTTAGGGTTACTGCCATTTGATGTTGACTGGCTGTTTTATCCATTCGTTGGTGTAAATTCTTCTTTATATTGGTGCTCTTTACTTTTTGGTGTATTTTTAGAAAGGCTAATACTGGTTGTTTCTTTCTGTGTGTAATGCTTCTTTCAGAAGCTCTTGTAAAGCAGGCCTGGTGGTAATAAAATCTCTGAGTTCTTGCTTGTTCATAAAAGATTTTATTTTTCCTTCAGTTGTAAAGCTTAGTTTGGCTGGATATGAAATTCTGGGCTGAAGGTTCTGTTCTTTGAGGATGTTGAATATTGGCCCCCACTCTCTTCTGGCTTGTACAGTTTCTGCTGAGAGATCTGCTGAAAGTCTGATGGGCTTGCCTTTGTGGGTAACGTGACCTTTCTCTCTGGCTGCCCTTAGTATTTTCTCCTTCGTTTCAACCCTGGTGAATCTAATGATTATGTGCCTTGGGGTTGCTCTTCTTGAGGAATATCTTTGTGGTGTTCTCTGTATTACCTGGGGTTGAATGTTGACCTGCTTTGCTAGTTTAGGAAAATTTTCCTGAATAATATCCTGAAGGGTATTTTCCAGCTTGGATTCATTCTCTCTGTCGCATTCAGGTACACCTATCAAACGTAGATTTTTTACATTCATTACATGAAAAGAGCTTCTTTCCAGTATGAGTTTTCTGATGTTTATTAAGATTTGAGATGCTTTTAAAAGATTTCTCACAAACATCACATTTGTGGGGTTTCTCTCCTGTATGAGTTCTTTGATGTAGAATAAATTTGGAGTATGGATTGAATTCCTTTTTGCAATAATTACATGTGTAATATTTCTTTGTAGTATGATTTAATAGATGCTGAGTTTTTTTCTGAGAAATAGCAAAAGGTTTTTCCACCGAAGTTACAGGAAAAGGGCTTCCTTGGAGTAAGAGTTTTTTTATGCTGAGTCAGGTTTAGTCTCTGGCCAACATGAAACCTCTGATGTATAGACAGGGATGAGAGAAACCTGAAGGCCTTTTGACATACATCACATTTGTATGGCTTCAGTCCACTGGGCATGCTCTGATGTTGAATAACCTTTGAAGGTCTGTTCAAAGTTTCGCCACACTGGTTACATTCCAAGTGTTTATATAGCATACAAATTTTCTAGAGCATTGTAAATGATAAGCGATGCCTAAAGGCCTTCGTGTTTTCACCATATCTGTGGGCTTCCCCTACCTGATGGATTTTCTAATGTCCATTAAGTTGTGAGATATGCCCAAAAGCCATGCCACAGTCATCACATTCATAATGCTGGACAGAAGTACCACGTTTTTGGTATTCTCCATGGTGAAAGCTTTGTCTGAAGGCATCCCCAGATTCCTTGAGGGCACGAAATGTTGCCAAGGCTGGTTGACATGCTGTTAGGGAAACAATATGAGAAAAAAAAATCAGAACTGGGCACTCCAACATACATCAAGTTAATTAGGAAAGCAAGGGAAAGAAGAGTACAGTGGCGTTAGAGGAGTAGGATGAGAAGTAGGAGTTTGTGGAGGTGGAGAGGAAGAGAATTGCTTCTCCAAGTACAAAAATGATTTAAGTGATGAACGGTGGCCACTGAATTTTTCTCTATAGCTTTAAACTTGAAATAACTATACTTGTGATTGTAAAAATGGCTCAGTGAAATTTTAATAACCCTAACACAAAAACTTAAAAAGCCTAAAAAGAATCACATGAAATCATTAGCATGGATTAAAATTTTATTTTCACTATGCTCCTTTAAAATATTCCTGTGTGGTATAGCAATTTGTGAAAGTGATTACACTTTAAATATTTTCCTTTGAACATCAAAACTGGGGATACTTATGAGTGAATATACATCTGTCTTATCAATTTGATATTTAATGTTTCACTGTGCAACAGGGTCTTTTTTTTTTTTTTTTTTTTAATTTACTATTTTATTTTTTGAGATGGAGTTTTGCTCTTGTTGCCCAAGCTGGAGTGCAATGATGCAATCTCAGCTCACTGCAACCTCCGCCTCCCAGGTTCAAGCAATTCTCCTGCATCAGCTTCCTGAGTAGCTGGGATTATAGGGGTGTGTCACCACGCCTGGCTAATTTTTTATGTTTTTAGTAGAAACAGGGTTTCACCATGTTAGCTGGGCTGGTCTCAAACTCCTGAACTCAGGTGACCTGCCCACCTTGGCCTCCCAAAGTGCTAGGATTACAGGTATGAGCCACCGTGCCCAGTCGACAGGGTCACTATAGATTGGGCCAGTGCTCTATTTGGATAGTTGAGTTGTACTTATTTTTGTTGTTGCTAAGAACATTAAGAACAATCTTAAGTCTGTATCTTTGTTGAACTATATCCTATTATATTTTAGTATTGATTCTAGACCATCAAACTTGTCTTTATATAAAACTGTGATATGATGAGTTCTAGCATTTTGTTGTAATGAAGACATCTAGAAACTGGTTAGCTGCAGAAAGAAACTTGAACATTTCTACACACATAGGAATTATAGATTGAGCATTTCTAAACATGTACAAAATATTATAGATATGTTAATACAGACCCAAAAAATCTACCACTGATAAGATGGAGAAGCAGCATGGGTTTCTGTTATCTTCCTCATTCTAGTCTGAGATGCTACTGAAGTGCTTAGAAAAATGTATATATATAGTGGAATATTTACTAATGTACATGAGTAATATTTTCAAAGAGATAAATGCAACATTTCAACATGGGACAGAATTGGTGATAATAAAAAAGGACAAAGTGAGAACAGTTGGTTTGAAGATATGGGGTTTAATTTTTTAATTTTAATTTTTTTTATTGAGACCAAGTCTCACTTGTTGCCCAGGCTGGAGTGCCGTGATATGATATTGGCTCATTTTAACCCCTGCCACCCAGGCTCAAGTGATTCTCCTGCCTCAGCCTCTTGAGTAGCTGGGCATGCCACCACGTCTGGCTAATTTTTGTATTTTTAGTAGAGACAAGTTTTTTTATTTTGGCCAGGCTGGTCTCGAACTCCTGACCTCAAGTGACCTGCCTGCCTCAGCCTCCCAAAGTGGTGGGTTTACAGGTATGAATCACCACGCCCAGCCTGAAACTCTGTTTAAATGAACTTAATGGTTGGCATTTATAGCACAAATTATATAGCCAAAGATGAAATAGCAGCATGGAAAACCTGGTTGGAGAATTCTTTTAGAGGGAAGGAACTGGTGAAATAGAATATATAAAAGAAAAATCAGGATTAAAGGAAGTACTGCCATCCATTAAATGTGAGTCCTATTAAAAATGGGTAGAAGATTTACCGACTTCATCATGCGGCCTAATATGTGGGCAACTGGAGTCTCTGAAATAGAGTGGGGAAGGGGGTGGGGGAGGGACCAGAAAAATATCTGAAGAAATAATGGGCAAAAAACTCTCAAACACAGTAAAAACTATAAACTCACAGATCCAAGAAGCTCAAATCACACAATAAGAAACATGAAGAGAATGACATTAAGGCATATTATATGAAATTGATCAATGCCAGTGATAAACAGAAAACAGTAAAAAGCAACCAGAGCAGGGAAAAAGACATTATGTACACGGCACAAAGACAAAGATGACATCAGAGTTTTCACTGCAAACACTAAGCAAAAAAGATAATGGAACAAAATCTTTAAGGTACTAAAAGAAAAAAAAAAAAACCTATCAACTGGAATCAACTAGAATTCTATGCCCAGCATATTGTTTTCAAAAATGAAGACAAACAAAAGACCTTTTCAGAAATACAGAGATTGAAAGAATTCATTATCAGCAGAGCTACGCCGCAAGTAATTTTAAAGGAAGTCCTGCAGGGGAAGAGAAAAGAGATGCCAGATGGGAGTTTGGCCCAGCACCAAGGAATGAAAAGCAACAGAAATTGTAACTATATGGTAAATATGTGTGTTTGTTATTATTACTTAAATCTCTTTAAAAGATTGACTGATTAAACACAAATAATAATGTATTATGGGGCTTACAACATGTAAAAATATATGACAGCAACACCATAAAGGCAGGTGAAGATGAATTACAGTATACTATATATGGTATATATAGTATAAGAATGACAGTATAGGCTGGGCACGGTGGCTCACACCTGTAAACCCAGCACTTTGGGAGGCCAAGGTGGGCAGATCACCTGAGGTCAGAAGTTTGAGACCAGCCTGGCCAACACAGAAAAACCCTGTCTCTACTAAAAATACAAAATTAGCCGGGCATGGTGGTGCATGCCTGTAATCCAAGCTAGTCGGGAGGCTGAGGCAGAAGAATCACTTGAACCTGGGAGACAGAGGTTGTAGTAAGCTAAGATTGTGCCATTGTACTCCGGCCTGGGCAAGAAGAACAAAACTCTATCTCAAAAAGAAGAACTACAGTATAATTCTTATACTCTACATGAAAGAGTCACTTGCAGGAAGATTGTGATAAGTTAAAGACAGATACTATAAACTCAAATCTAACACAACCACTAAAATTGAGTTATAGCTAATAGCCAATAAAGGTGATAAAACTGAATCCTAAGAAAGTAATTAATCCAAAATAAGGTAGGGAAAATAAAGCAGAATAAAAGAGAAACGGGAGAAGAACAGATATGACAAATAAAAATCTATTTGATTTAGATTCAAGCCTAATTGTATCAATAATCACAGTAAACTTAAAATATAAACACGAGGTTTCACAACCTGAGCACTATTTACTTTTGTATCAGAGAATTCTTGTGGGGGCTATCGTGTGCATGCAGGATCTTGGGATCCCTGACTGTTACACCCTAGATGCCAGTAGCATGCCTACACACCCAGTTATTACCACCGAAAAGGTCCCAGACATTGCCAGATGCCCTTAGGGGGCAAGTTCTTCCCTTCTCCCCATTGAGACCCAGTGGTGTAAGCACCCCAATGAAAAGGTAGAGATTATCAAGCTTGTATGAGAATGTAAAACCAACTTACCTGCTAACTATAAGAAACTCACTTTAGAGACACGAATAAGTTAAAAAGCAGATGGATGGAAAATACATACCATGCTAACAGTTAAAAGAAAGCTAGAGTAGCTATATTAATATCAGACAAAATACATTTTAGAATAATAAGTATTTCTGGGATAAAGAAGATTATTTTGTAATAAGGAATTAACTGAGAGCATAATTCTAAGTGTTTATGCACCTACAGAGCTTCAAAATACTTGAAGCAAGAAGATTACCAGTGAAAGAATATACTCCAATAATAAAAAACTGATTTTAAATAAAAGAACCCACTATGATGGCTAACTAGAAAACCACACTACTATAATAAAGAATATTATATGGAACAGACATACACAAATGGAATTAAAGAAATTTCAGAAGATGATTTCTATAACTATAGTATCGCTGCCTTATATGTAAGGATGGCATCACAAGTCACTGAGGACAGGATGGATGCCTTGGTGGATGGTATTGTAAAAACTGGCTCATTGTTCAGAAAAAATGGGGCTGGTTGTTCCATTATACCATATACAAATATAGACAGATTAAAATGTGAATTTTAAACCCATAACGCTGATAGGAGAATGTCTTTATGACCTAAGATGCAGTGGGCTTCTTAAATGACAACAAAAAGACAGTAAACAAAACCTATAAGTCAAAAAATGAAGGATTTCTGATCAAGAGAAGCGCCAGAGTCAACAGGCAAATGACAGACTGACAAAAGTAATGAAACATTTTAAACCAAAAAATACTTTATATATAACATAAAATTCCTCAATTCCACAAAGAAAAAGAGAATAACATTAGAAAATGAGCAGACATGAAGAAGCAATTCATAAAAGCTAAATAGTGAGTGGATGACAAGAGTATCAGTGAGTTTCATCTTACTCTTAGGGAAATGAGAATTAAAGAGACAAAGCTTAACTATTAAAATGGAGCCAACTAAAATGCAAATGTTAGCAAGCAATGGTAAGATGAAGAAAAGAGAAGTTAGGTGGGTTAGAGTGTAAAATTCACAGATGTCCAGAAAGTAATCTGGGTATGTTTTGTCAAACTATAATATGCCCTGTGAACCAGAGAAATTGTTATAGATTCTAAAGGAAAAAGATGAGATTTGGGTCAGAAGGAATTGTAGAGACTTAGGATTTTTTTTTCCCCCTAAAACTGGTGTGTGGTGGATGCATATTAAAGAATACTATATTGCACTAAAAAGTAAGATGCGTAGCTATAACATGTAAAGATTTAAAAAACAGCTAAATAGAAAGGTAAGAAGTGAGATTTTTGCAGCATGCTGTTTAAGAGTACAGCCGTATGTACAATCATGAATATTTTACAACTAGTATAAGCAAATTTTTTTAAGACAGTCTCACTCTGTTACCCAAGCTGAAGTGCAGTTGACATGATCTAGGCTCACTGCAACCTCTGCCTCCTGGGTTCAAGTGACTCTCCTGCCTCAGCCTCCCGAATAGTTGGGACTACAGGCATGAGCCACCACACCCGGCTATTTAACAACATAGAAAATATTAGACCCACTTTCTAGCACATGGAGAATGACATAATGAATTAGAAATGAAGGTTATACAAAATGACAATGGAGTCTTGACTAGAGCAACAGTGACAACTGATTGACTCGACTTTTTGTATCCAATTTCCAACCCTCCCACTACCACACACCAGCCCTAAACAGGATACATGGTTTTATTCAAATATGTCACGAGACAAAACAAAGCAAACAGATGTGTGTTGTAAAACCACAAGGTGGCAGTGAAAAGATCAGAAAAACATTTTGTAGTAAATATGAAAGTGATTCTAGCTTGGTAAAAAAATGTTCAGGGGTGCACTTAAAAATAAAAGTTTAAGGGAGAGAAAAGAACTAGTTTGGGGGTAGAAGAGGAGTTTGGGCCAAGTTATTAAGTATTTAAAGAATAAACAGGGTTATTTGGAATTCTTGCTAACAAGTCTTATAAAATCTTTAATAAGTGGATTCCAGTCCACTTTCCAAAATGCTCATAGCTTAAATGCATTTGGTATTTCACTCTTCAGATCTATGATACTCCAGACCAAAATTCATCATCATCATCTAACCAGCTTTTCATCCTCTGACTTTCAGGAGCCTTTTAATGAGCTACCTTCCCTGATGTCAGGACTGAAACTTGAGAAACAAGTTTCTCTGAAATCTCTGGATCATCTTATGTTCTGGCAGTTTCTACCTTCTGTTAATGAAGGACAAGTCATCTCTTTCCAACTGGATGGTAAATTTGTTTTTCTAATTTGTCATTCTCTAACCTAATAATCTAAAGAGAAAATAAGTGTCTCTCCAGAATTTAAAAAACAAACAAACTTTCTGGGCCACTTTTCTGAGCTAACCCATTCATCACTGTAATCACAGACAAGTTTTTTGACCAATTCAGCTGTTCATCCTTTTATCCATTCAGGTGGTAGCCTACATCACAAATTTTTACCAGTACACCAATTATTGTCCCAAGCTATAGTTAGAACAAAAAGTACAGGGAGAGTGATAAATGTGGAGTAAAGATTCCTTTGGAAACTCATGGACTGAAGTCACCTCCTGGTGGGGGTTGGAGGGGGAGTGTCCAGGTTACTCTGAGTTGAGATGTGAGTTATGATGACTTCCAATTGCTTCTTACCTGGGCAGGGAACACCTGTCACCTCTCTCTCCATCATCCAGGGCTCCTTCCCTTGCTTCAAAGAGGACATCACTTTTCCCGGATAAGTCCAATTTCCTAAGAAAAATAAATGATCTTGCTCATGTTGATGTTATTACAGAATTTAGACCCACATTTTTGGTGATGAGGAATCTCATTAACACCCCAGTCTTCCCAGATCTAAAGCAGTGTTCTTGTATAAAAGATCATCTACATTTTAAACCATTCCCCAGCTGTTTCTTAGGCATATGATAGCCTCAGACTATAGTTTCAGAGGATGGTGTGATGATTTTGAGGACAGTGTGGAATAGGAAGCTTGTATCATCGCAAGAGGAAAATGTCTTCCCTTAACACAGAGCTATAATGCTTTACTGAAGAATTTGAAGTTATAAATTCAACCAAGCATTTTTAGGGAGTTTTGCAGATATTTGTACAGAAGGAACAAATCCTCCCATGGGCAGTTGTGAACTAATAAGACCTCCTTACCCAGAGACGCAAGGTAATTACAGCTATCCAGCATCACATCTTTATATAGGTTTTTCTGTTCGGGGTTTAGATAATCCCACTCATCTGGTGAGAAGACCACTGCCACATCTCTAAATTTCACCGACTACTGAAATAACAATTTATACTTTATATGTACACATGCCTCCATGTGGCCTTGATAGATATCTTTCAAATTGGGCCTGCTAAGGAGGCAGACAGGATATAAGGATACATTAGAATATGTGGCCAAAAGCTGTAATAGAAAGAAAACAATAAAAGTGTGATTTACTCTTGCAGAGTTTAAGAAGTCAAAATTACTTATTCTCATGATATAGTAACAGCTGAGAAAACATGCCTTTGGTGTACATGCTTGGCTGAGTCGATGGGGTAAATCTACCATTTGTAAGGTAGCAAATGCCTCCAGTATATGAATGCCTAAAGTGTATAATCTGTGGGATTATGACCAAAGACCTCTGAGTCAGAATCCCACCCAGGAAGAATGATAAGGGAATTCATCCTGTCTGGCTGCATAAGCTGGGACTTCAGTCTTTTTCTGCTTCAGACTGAAACTGGAGCTTCAGCTCTTCTTGAGTTTTGAACCTACTGGGTTTTGAACCAGTATTATGTCAGTCAAAACTAAAGATTTGACAGTCTCTCAGTATGAGCAGTCAAAAGTTCTTTGCAAGTAATACTAGAACCATGTTAGTTCTCCCAAGTATATACATAACTTCAATAGTATCTCCATTTTTAAAAAAATCCATAAAGATTGTTTTTGTAAAATGTCATAAATGAATACATGATTTTCACACAAGGAGAAATGTGACAGACTAGTTTTTTACATGAAAAGTTAATGAAGGTCTTGTTCTCGCCACAGTTCAGAGTAAAATTGTAGTAATTCAAGTGGGTTAGGAATGTCATCAGCACAGATGAAGAGATCAGACAAAGAGAGCCCAGAAACATGCAAATATAGAAATGTTTACTACCCAAAAAAGATGACCAAGTCTGTTGGGAAACCATTCAATGAGTCTTCAGACAATAACTGAATATCCCTTAGTAGGGGAAGAGCAAGATCCCTTCCTATGAGAATATGTTTCAGATAAAATAAAAAATAATTAGAACTATTAAAATGTGAGAAAATGAAGGTTTTTAGACTTGCAACAGAAAAATTTCTTAAAGACTAAAGTGCCAGATAAAAGGAAATAACAAGGGCCGGGCGCAGTGGCTCAAGCCTGTAATCCCAGCACTTTGGGAGGCCGAGGCGGTTGGATCATGAGGTCAAGACATCGAGACCATCCTGGTCAACATGGTGAAACCCCGTCTCTACTAAAAATACAAAAAATTAGCTGGGCATGGTGGCACATGCCTGTAATCCCAGCTCTCAGGAGGCTGAGGCAGGAGAATTGCCTGAACCCAGGAGGCGGAGGTTGCAGTGAGCCGAGATTGCACCATTGCACTCCAGCCTGGGTAACAAGAGCAAAACTCCATCTCAAAAAAAAAAAAAAAAAAAAGGAAATAACAAAAATGGCCTTATAAAGGAGAAAGAAATCTCTTGAAATTAGTATGTTGTATAACCAACAAGGAATGAATTCAGAATTTATACAGATCAATAAGGAAAATAATAGAATCTGCAGACTAGACAAATGCTGAAAGTATGTGAATGAACAGTTCACTGAAGAAAGCACACCAAAGATCAGTAAGTGGGCAAACTGTCCTCAATTCAGTGCACATTATATTAGCAACAAAAGTCTTGTTTGTTTTGGCAAGACAGTCACAACATTTAAAACATGGACACTATCCAGTAAAACACTGGATGGAAGCAAGCCATCAGTCCCACCGATTAGCGGACTTCAAAGTCAGCATGGTACTTCTGGAGCATGACTTGACAATATCTAACGTGGTTAAAGGTGCATGTCCTTGACTCAGAAACTCTAAGTCCCGATGGCTTTCTTAAAGTTCAAGAACATGCAGAGACTTCACTGCAGCATTACTTCTGCCACGGAAACACTGCAAACATAGAGATCTATGAACAGGAGAAAGGTCCAAAAACAGGACAATTCACATTGCAGAACACGTCGCACGTGTTGAGAATAAGGGCCAGCTAGGTGTACTGCTATAGAAACATCTCCAAAATAAATTACAAAACTTAAAAAGTTACAGAATATAGACTTAATAAAAAAAGATCTGCTGTACATAAAACTGAAGACTGTGGTGAGTAGGGTTAGTGATAAAAAAGGTCTATTTTTATTTATTTATTTATTTTTGAGACCGATTCTTGCTCTGTCGCCAGGCTGGAGTGCAGTGGCGCTATCTCAGCTCTCTGCAACCTCTGCCTCCTGGGTTCAAGCTCTTCTTCCTCCTCAGCCTCCCGAGTAGCTGGGACCACAGGCGAGTGCCACCACACCTGGCTAATTTTTGTATTTTTAGTAGAGACAGGGTTTCACCATGTTGGCCAGGATGGTGTCGATCTCTTGACCTCGTGATCCACTCCCCTCAGCCTCCCAAAGTGCTGGGATTACAGGCATGAGCCACCGCACCAGGCCAAAAAAGGTCTTTTAAAAAATACTTCAGGCCAGGTGCTGTGGCTCACACCTGTAGTCACAGCACTTTGGGAGGCTGAAGCGGGCGGATCACGAGGTCAAGAGATCGAGACCCTCCAGGCCAATATGGTGAAACCCCGTCTCTACTAAAAATACAAAAAAATTTAGCTGGGTGTGGTGGCCTATGCCTATAGTCCCAGCTACTTGGGAGGCTGAAGCAGGAGAAGCTCATGAATTCTCCTGCGAGGAGGCTGCAGTGAGCCAAGATGGTACCCTACACTCCAGCCTGGTGACAGAGTGAGACTCAGTCTCAAAAAAAAAAAAAATTACTTCATCTGTCTTGTTTAAAATAACATAATACATTGATAGAGTTCTTATATAATTTGAAAAATTACAGAAGTAAAATTTAACTCAGGTCTGCCTGACTGAGGGATGAAAATGTCTTCACAGACTTTATTTTAAAAGATATTTTGGTAAATTAGTTTATGATTCAATGGAATTCTAGCTACTATATTCAGACATTGTTATTTAATGCCAAGATTAAATCAGCCTGTCCTCTAATATAAACATGATCTCTGTCATTTGCTCAGTTCTTCTAAATATGTGGCCCTAAATATGTCGAATAGTGGGAAACTAATGTTTCTTACTGTTGCTAGAACAAATTACCACCTACTTCATGCCTTAAAACAACACAAATTTATAATCTTACAGTTCTGGAGTTCCGAAGTACAATATGGGTTAGCAGTGCTATGTCCCTGCTGCAGGCTCTAGGAGGAATCTGATTCCTCAACTTTTCTAGTTTTCTAGAAACCACCTGCATTCCTGAGCTTGTGGCCAGCCCTATCCTGTCTTCAAAGCCAGCAACATAGCATCCCCCTGCCTGTTTCTATAAAGACCCAATGATTACATTTCAGGCCCACCCAGACAACCCAGGAGAAACCCCCCATCTGAAGATCCTCATCTTCATCACACCTGCAAAGTACCTTTTACCACAGCTTCCAGGAACTAGGGTGGAGATATCTTGCAAAGGGTGGGGAGATTGTTCATCCTACCACAATGTGTATCTGGCCTTCTATTTTCTTCTGTTTACCCACCAATGTGTTATCGTTTCTATGTTGCTTTAATTAGCATAGTTTATGTGTTGGATTTTAAGTCTGTCAGGACCAGTGACCTCTTGTTACCCAGAAATACGGCGACATCCCTCCACCTGATCGCCTTCATCCCATCCACCTGACCACCTGTACACTGCTCCAGCTCTCCCGTAGACTTGAGAGCAAGTTAAGCCACTGCTCCCTGTGCCCAAACACATGCAAGCTGTCCAACTTCAAACTAAACTCACTATCCCCAGGGACTCCTATTCTTCAGCCTTAAAGTTTTCAAACAAATCCATGCCTAGAAGACCTCTGATGACTCCCCTTGGTCAGTCAGTCCTGAATAGTTTGTTGAATGAATCCTAAAACTTGGGTCAGACCTTGAGCAGTTGAATGAATACTAAATCTTGGGTCAGACCTTGAGCAGTTTGTTGAATGAATACTAAATCTTGGGTCACTAAAGAAAGCTGCTGGGTTATTCAGGTCACCTCATCACCAGAATGGGAAACTGCACCCATGTGGAACAAATGCAAAATGTCTTTAGCCCTGTAAATTGGTATTTTAGGAAGGAAATCAGAAGTAAGCAATTTACCTGTGATATCACCTCTAGAAATGACAGAGCTGTTTTTCTTTTCATCCTTCACCTCCTGTTCTCAGGCGAACACAGACTCCTGAGAAGTCACACCTTAAAACTGAGAACAGAAGTATGTGAGACCAGGTACCCCAACCCCCCACCTCCAACCACACACACAGAAGAAACTAGGAATGCACAACAGCCTACTAACCTTGGCCTTCAGGTTCTCTCTCCTCCTGGGCCTTAAGGAGAGCTCACGGGTGGTGCTGCAGCAGCTGGAATTTTGGATATTGGGGCCTCTCCCTATGTGTCAAAGTGTGAGACTCTGCTTCCCAGATATGCCCTGAACACAGCTTTCCCTGCCACCCAGTGAAACAGCTTGAACTCACCTTCTCAGAAAGACCAATTCCGATACAGCTAGCAGGCCCAGCACACATCGGAGCCTGCCTATATAGAACCTAGATCGTCACACCCAGAACCCTCTCATTTTCTAATCAAGCTCAGCTCACTACCTGCAGGATTTAGCTCTTTGGTTCCTGATTATAGTGGGAACAGGGAGGATTGGGGAATGCAGGATTGTTACATCAAGGCTTAGGCTGAAAATTCCCCAGTGCTGTTTATCTATGCCTGCTATGTACCCCAGGCATAATGTCATATAACACACACCCCAGATAGGCTTGTGCCACTCTTTCCACTTGAGTATCTCAGATAAGGGGCCTCACCTGGTGCCTGTCACCCCCATGTTGCAGCTGCATGGAGGAGGAAGAGCAGTTTGGTGCTTTCATCAGTGGGACTGCGTATAGTAGCACTTCCTCTTTCCCGTGACCCGTCAGTGACATGGGGGAATCCAGTGTGTGCTGCTTGTCCCAGAAAGGGGGTTGGGAGGATATGGAAGGCAGAACAATCACCCCCACCAAAGATGTCCACAGCCTAACCCCCAGAACCTGTGAATATGTGACCTTACTTAGCAAATGTGTAATTAATAATTGTGAACAAAAAACCCAAACTCTGTAAAATATTTAAAGGAGTTTGTTCTAAGCCAATATGAGTGACCATGGCTCCAGGAAGAGTCTGGGGGGTCCTGAGAAAGTGTTCCCAAGGAGGTCAGGTTACAGTTTGGTTTTATATATTTTAGGGAGACAGAAGTTTCACACAAAGACATAGATCAATACATGTAAGGAATATATTGACTCGGCCTGGAAAGGGGAGACATCTCAAAGAGTGGAGGAGCTTACAGGTCACAGGTGGGTTCAAAAATTTTCTGACTGGCAATTGGTTTAAAGAGTTAACTAAAGACTTGAAGTCAGTAGGAATAAATGCTTTAGTTGATAAGTGGGTGGGGGGAGTTGTGAAAGCCAAGATTCTTACTATGCAGATGAAGCCTCCGGTTAGCAGGCTTCAGAGAGAATACATGGTGAATGTCACTTTTCAGACCTTAAAGGTGTCAGACTCTTAGTTAATCTCTCCCAGATCCTGGAAAGACCTGGCTGCCTTAATGGAGGTTCTCTACAGATGCAGAATTTTCCCCCACAAAAGATAGCTTTGCAGCACCATTTCAAAATGTCTGAGAAATGTATCTTGGGGTAAAACATTTTGATTTTCTTCAGGGTCTGATATCTGTCATGTAATGCTACAAAAGAGTCAGTTTGGAATTTGATCTCTTATTGCCACAGAGTGTTTCGTCAGTCTTGGGATCTCTATTTTAGTGTTAATGCTGGTCAATCGTGCTGAACTCCGAAAGGGAGAAGGTATAAGGAGGTGTGTCCAACCTGCCTTCCCATCATGATTCGGAATTCCATTTCTCAGGTTTCTCTTGGCTCTGTTCACTCTGCTGGGGGGCCTGGGCGTTTTGTTCTGGTTTATAAAATCCTGAGATGCAGAAATTATCCTGGATTATCCAGGTGGGTCTGATATAATCAAAAGGGTCCTTAAAAGAGGGAGGCAGGAAAATCAGATGATGAAGGAGAGGTAGGAGCCTCCAGAAGCAGGAAAAGGCAAGGAGACAGGATCCCCCCTAGAGCCTTCAGAAAGAGCACGGTCTTGCCAGCACCTGGATTTTAGCCCCATGAGACCTGCTTTCGACTTCTGACCTCCAGACCTCTAAGAAAAGTTTTTGTTATTTTGAGCCACTAAGTTTGTAGGCATTTGTTCCAGCAACAATAGATAAATAATACAGAGGGCCAGAGACTGAGGGTGGCTGGGGATGGAGTGAGGTGGGCACAGGGTGAGGACATCTGGACCAGAGGCCATGAAGAAGGACAGTGGGTCCAGATGCTTACTTGTGTCCTAAGGCCAGAGTGACCAAATGACCCCAGCAGGGGGTGCAGCAGGACTAAAGCCTAAACCAAAGACCCAAGGGGGTGAAGTGCCCCTACAGAGGCCAGAAGGGCCCCGCCACCAGCACCCAGACCTGACACATATTCCCTTTCTCCTTCACTTTTTGTTAAGTGTTCCCCTGCACAAAGCGTAAACCGGCCGGGCTCGGTGGTTCACACCTGTAATCCCAGCGCTTTGGGAGGCCAAGGCGGGCGAATCACGAGGTCAAGAAATCGAGATCATCCTGGTCAACATGGTAAAACCCTGTCTCTACTGAAAATACAAAAATTAGCCAGGCGTGGGGGCAGGCACCTGTAGTCCCAGTACTCGGGAGGCTGAGGCAGGAGAATCCCTTGCCTGGGGGCGGGGGGGGGGCGGCGGGGAGGTTGCAGTGAGCTGAGATCGTGCCACTACACTCCAGCCTGGCGACAGAGTCAGACTCTATCTCAAACAAACAAACAAAAAGACTATGTAAACCAAAAATAAAATTCTAAGCCCTCCAACCACTAGAATGGACTCCTCCTCTCAGCAAAGTGAATTGCAAAGTTAACCTGAAAAACTAGTTCAGGCCATGATGAAGTAGGGTCAGACGTGCCTCATTATACCCTTCTCTTCTTTGAAATGACTGAGAGAAGGACTCTTTAAGTCTGATAAGAAACATTTTTTATGTATTCTCTGAAGCCAGCTACCTGGAGGCTTTGTCTGCATGGTAAAACCTTGGTCTCCACAACCCCTTATCTTAGCCTAGACATTCCTTTCCATTGATTCTAAGTCTTTAGACAATAACTGAACCCTTTTAACAAATTGCCAATTAGAAAGTATGTGAATCTGCTTATGACCTGGAAGCCCCTGGCTTTCCGTTGTCCCACCTTTCCAGACTCAACCAATGTACATCTTATTTGTATTGATTTATGTCTTTTGTGTCCCTAAAATGTATAAAACCAAGTTGTAGCCTGACCATCTTGGGCACATTTTCTTGGGATCTCCAGAAGGCTGTGTTATGGGCCATTGGTCACTCATATTTGGCTCCCAATAAATCTCTTCAAATATTTTGCAGAGTTTGACTCATTTCATCGACAACAACTATTATTCTGAGGCAAAATCAGAAGAAAGGGAGAGAGGGTCCTTGAGAGGAGAGAATGTGCCAGGAGCACAGGTGAGTGTTGAAATCAGAGAACTTAATTTCTCAATCAAGTGACTGTTTCAGAATAGTCTGTTTTAAACGTGAAGATGTGAAATGACCTTGGAGTGATATGATTATGTTTTCTACCATTGTTTTTGGCCCAGTTATACAGAGAGATATTTACCTTTTTTCATATGCTGCGGCTATTTTAACAAGCTGCAGGAAGATACTGAGGGCTAAGTTCATATTCATGTCCATACTCATGATCTCATTAACTGACACAGGCACCCTAGAGGGAATTACTCTATTGCAAGCTTCTTATTTTGGAGATAAGAAAAGGGAGGATTAGAAAAATAAGCAATTTTGCCCACAGTAACACAGCTGGTGAGGGATAGCACTGAGCTCCATCCTCAAAGCCATCTGACTCTAAAAGACCAGGCTCTAGGCCAGCCATGGTGGCTCACACCTGTAATCCTAGCACTTTACAAGGCTGAGGCAGGAGGATTGCTTGAGGCCAGAAGTTTGAGACCAGCCTGAGCAACATAGCCCATTGTCTACAAGCAATTTTAAAATTCCAGGTGTGGTGGCATGTGCCTATAGTCCAAGCTACTCGGGAGGCTGAGGTGAGAAGATCGCTTGAGCCCAGGCATTCAAGGTAGCAGTGAGCTATGATCACATCAGTGCACTCCAGCCTAGGCAACAGAGCAACAGAGTGAGACCCTGTCACTAAACAAATAAACAAACAAACAAAAAACCAGGCCATTAGGCTCTTTTGCACTACCCTTGACAACATAAACCTACGCAAAGTACAGATTCCTAAAAAAGTGCCTAACCCACCTGCCGAATTTACCTATCTAGCCTCATCAACCACCAGTTTCCTGAGCCCTCCTATTTTTCACATTTTATTCTGTACAGTTATCTTTATATTATTTTATTCTCTCTCCTCAACTCTGTTTATTGAAGCAGAAACTGTACCTTTTATATCTTTGTATTCAAAGCCTTTAGTTCTAGTGTCCAGAACTTAATATGCCAGGAAACAGGCATTATTTTGAGTCTCCTATCACCCATCCAGTATATCAGCATGAAATATTTTATTTCAGCATCTTGAACTACTGTCAGTGTTTGGGCTATTTTATTATCTCATGTTAATGAGTAGAAAATCCAGAGATTGTTTTTCTAAGATCACATGGTGAGACTAATACTGATAAGATGTATCCCAAAGTTGTCTGAATCCAGGACTGGACATCTTAACAGTTGCCATAAAATTCCCCATCATTATAACTACAGAAAGGCATAAACTGACAACTGCTTAATACAAACTATCAGCCTGAGAAGTCACCTAACCTTTATGTGACTCATCCTTAACATGAAGGCATTGGGTTCTTTTACATTTTTTTGTCAGCAGCATAACATAATACCAGTATATCTGAGGTTCTGCAGGTGTAATCTGAGACTGCACATATAAAAAAGAAAGACATTAAATCTAACTTTTGTTTTGTGTAATTGACATTTGTATTGAGATAATGTAGATTCACATTTGCAAGAAAAAATAGAGACCTCATGTACCGTTTACCCAGTTTTTCCTAACGGTAACATCTTACAAAACTACAGCACAACATCAAAACCAAGATATTGAGGTTGATAATTCTCCAATCTTATTCGGATTTCCCCGGCTTTACTTCATTTGTATGTGTGTGTTAATTCTGTACAAGTTTATCACATGTGTAGGTTCTAGTATTCACCACCACTGTCATGTTACAAAGCACTTCCATTACCTCCAGGATCTCTGGTGTTACCCACATTTACTTCTTCAATAACCACAACTTCTTCCCTCCCACCCTCTCTCCTATCTCAAATAACTACTAATCTCATCTCCATTTCTAAAATGTTATCATTTCAAGAATGTTATATAAATATTATCATACTGTACATAACTTTTGGGATTGGCTTTTATCACTCAACATAATTCCCTGGAGATTCGTCCAAGTCACTATGTATATTGATAATTTGCTTCTTTTTATTGCTGAGAAGCATTCTGTGGTATGGATGTATGCCATTTGTTTAATTATTTACCCTTAAAAGACATCTGAGCTGCTTCCTGTTTGGGGCTATTACAAATAAAGCTACTATGAAAATTAGTGTATAGGTTCTTGTGCTAACATATGTTTTTATTTTCTGGGATAAATGCCCAATAGTAAAATTGCCAGGTTGTAGAGTAATTGCACATAAGAAACTGCCAACTATTTTCCACGGTGGTTATACCATATTACATTCCCACCAGCAATATGTGAGTGATCCAGTTTCACGGTATCCTTGCCAGCACTTAGTGGTGTTACTATTTTTTATTTTAGCCATTTTGATAGACATGTAGTGATATCACACTGTGGCTTTAATTTGCATTTCCTTACTGGCTAATGATGTTGAACATTTTTCATGTGCTTATTTTCCATCTGTATATTTTTGTCAGCGAAATGTCCTTTCATGTCTTTTTCCCACTTTCTAATTGGATTTTTTTTTTTTTTTTTTTGCTGTTGAGTTTGGAGAAGACTTCATATATGTTAGATACCAACCCTTTGTCAAGTGTGTGATTTGCAAATATGTTCTCCCACTTTGTAGCGTGTCATTTCATTCTTTTCACTTGTCTTTCACAGAGCAAAAGTTTTTAATTTTGATGAGTTCTAATTTATAAACATCTTTTTTATGGATCATGTTTTTGTTTCCAGTCTAAAGATTTTTGTTTTTCCTAAAAGTTTTGAGTCTCCTATCACCCATCCACTGTGCCAGCATGAATCATTTTATTTCGGCATCTTGAAATCCCGTCAGTGTATGGGATTTCATTTTTGTATAAAGTTTGAGGTTTAAGTCAAGGTTTGGTTTTTTTATGTCTATGGATGTCCAATTGCTCCAGCACCATTTGTTGAAAAGATTCATTTTGATTTTTAAAGTGAATGATTGTGTGATTTACTCCGTATTTATATTTTTCGTAGAATAGTAATGGTTCCTATTATGTGACATTAAATACAATTTATCCTCCAAGGAGATACATCAAGTAAACCCTGTGGTTTCCTTTACTCGTTGGAATAGATCCACAGCTTCCTTAGGGCTGTAAATCATAGGGCAAGGATAAGTACTGGATGATACTGAAATCTCCTGTCAGCTTTGATAATCTATGTCTGTTTCCGTTCCATTCTGTCCCTTCGCCCCCTCTTCTCTTTTCTCTGTCTCTCTCACTAAACTACCATTTATTGATGGAGTTATCATAGCTCCTAATTTAAACCAAGGTGATAGAAGCTTATGCCAATTGGTGAAATTATTTGCACCCCCATTTGTCCCCAAAGGTGCCCTGGTTAGAGCAATACATTATGCAGTTGTTGTATCTATTGAAGACCCTTTCTGTTCAGCACTTCACTCTTTATACTTCACATACTTTACACTTTGCCATAACAATAATTCCTTGTTCTAGATTTCTTTTGTCCCAACATGCAAAGGGAGAATTTGAGCAAAAAGACTTCAAGCATCTTGCAGAGGTGATAGGCCTCTATACAAGACTTTAAACTCCTACAGATGTGGACTTGAACCAGCATGATCTAATTATTCTGGCTATTGACTCCTCATCAGTGTAATGGCAGCCATAAGTCCTGGACAGAGGTGAGTATATACATATATATAATTGTTTGCTGATCTTACAAGACGTTATATGCAATGGCTTATGTTATATGTTCAAATTCTTCTCCCTAGTTAGCAATGTGTGGTTCAATGTGCTTTGACTCTTATTTTCACAAGATTCACCAGTGCATTTAGCATCCCTCAGAAGAAGTAATTGATGAGTTTAAAATCTGGAGAATGCACAGCCAATTCCAAGTGGCCATATCACCCAATCCATCTCTGAAAATCAAGCATTGAACCAGTCCCTCTGCATTCTGGCATAATGGGGTAACACACAATCCCAATAGACTCGCTTTGGGTGATCTTCCCCTACCCTGTCAAGTACAGGTGTTAATTGATTATAAAACATAGTCACATAAAGTAAAATATGTACTCATGTTTCCCAACTTTACAGCCACCCTATACATTTGTAATTGGTTTGTCATCCTCACTAGAATGTACACATCATGAGGGAGCAGAATGTGTCTATCTCATTCATTGATGAATGTATCCTTAGCAGCTAGGAGCCTGTATTTCGATAATATGCTCTTCATCTTTAAATGCATGATTAAAATCTGGGAAAGTGAGGAAGGAAGGGGATGAAGAATAAATGATTTGAATGTGATTGTTATCAAACTAAAGGAAATAAAAGGACAGTTTGAACTGAATCATAAGAAAGAAATGTCTATCAAGGTATAGTTAGAACATTCTTAGGGAGAAGTTTATCATCTTACATACATACAATTGAAAAGAATATAAAAAAAAATAATAATGGAGCACTTATCTCAAGATGCTGGAACAGCAAAACAAAGTATAAACAAAGAAATACCAAGTAACAATTTGAAATAGAAAACATACAGTGCAAGGAAGCAACAAAGAGTCAAAACTGTTATTAAAAAGACTAATAAAGGCCGGGCGCGGTGGCTCATGCCTGTAATCCCAGCACTTTGGGAGGCCGAGGCAGGTGGATCACGAGGTCAAGAGATCGAGACCATCCTGGTCAACATGGTGAAACCCCGTCTCTACTAAAAATACAAAAAATTAGCTGGGCATGGTGGCGCATGCCTGTAATCCCAGCAACTCAGGAAGCCGAGGCAGGAGAATTGCCTGAACCCAGGAGGCGGAGGTTGCGGTGAGCCGAGATCGCGCCATTGCACTCCAGCCTGGGTAACAAGAGCGAAACTCCGTCTCAAAAAAAAAAAAAAAAAAGACTAATAAAATTAACACTAGTGAGACTTAGTACAGAAAAGGTACAAATAATGAATATTGGAATACAAGGGCAGCCTAAGAAAAAGCAGAAATGAATCTTTTCAATTAAAAATAAGTTTCATTTACAAATGTTACATACATTTAAAATATCATAAAAGAGAGGGATGAACAATTCATGCCAATAAAAGTGGACCAAATAGATAAATTTTTAGAAAATAAAAGTTACGAAAACTGACTGACCCAGAAAGAAATAGAAAATATGAATAGTTCTATAACTACTAGAAGGATTAAATCAGTTGCTTAGGCTGAGGTGTTGTCAACCCGGACTTCTCTCTTACTGATACATCCGCTCTAGTAATCAACAAATCCTGTCAGATTACTGGCCAAGTATAGTCAGAATTTGACCTCTTCCTGTGATTTTGCTGACACGATTCTGGCCCAAGCTGCCATCGTCTCTCTTCTGGATTATTGCTTCTACCCTTGCTCCCATGTAGTCGGGGTAATCCCTTTAAAACAGAATTCAGACAGTCACTCACTGCTCTAAGCCTTCCGGCAGCCCCCATGTGACCCACATTAAAAGCCTAAGTCTTCACTCTTCCTTATGAGGCCCTACTTGACCTATTCTCCTGTTAACCCTTTAGCCCTCTTCTTTTTCGGCTTCAGTAGCTTTCTTACCAGTCTTTGAACACAAGGAGCCATTTAGGCTGTCCTAGAATCTGTACACTTTCTGATTTCTCTGCCTGGGAGACTCTTTCTCCTGGAATCCACGTGACTATTTCTCTTGCTTTTTTAAAATATCAACTTAAAAGCCATCTTCTCAGGCCTTCCTTGGCCACTCAGTCCAAAGTGTTAACCTCCTGCCATTTGGTATTTCTTCTCTTTACTGTATATGTTTTTCTCTACTGCACATCACCATTAACTTACTATGTAGGCAAAAAAAAGTATTGGCCAGGTGCAGTGGCTCACGCCCATAATCCCACCACTTTGGGAGGTTGAAGGCTCCCAAACACCTCTTTGGGAGGCTTGATCATGTGAGGTGAGGAGTTCAAGACCAGCCTGGACAACATGGTGAAACCCCATCTCTACAAAAACACGCACACAAAATTAGCTGGCATAATGGGTAATCTCAGCTACTCAGGAGGCTGAGGCAGGAGAATCGCTTGAACCCGGGAGGCAGAAGTTGCAGTGAGCTGAGATTGTGCCATTGCACTCCAGTCTGGGTGACAGGGCAAGACTCCATCTCAAAAAAAAGAAAGTGGGTATAAACATGACTCCAGAAGGGCCCCTGAGCTCTCTGCGCACGCCACCTATAGAGGAGTCCTGTTCTACAGTAGTATTTCTGCTGCTGTGGTGCACCGCCGCCTCAGTAAAAGTTGCTGTCCAACATCACCAAAAACCGTCCAGGGCTAAGCCCTAATCTGAGGGCTTCCTTGCCCTACATCAACATTAGGTACAAATTTCAGTATCATACAGATCTTCCAAAGTTTCCAAAGTTTGTAAGGAGTCACATAACCTAGCAGTAAAGAACACTAATTGTGAACTTTGGTTATGTCAATGAGACTTGGCCGTATCGCTTCAGCATATAAACTAAAACAGACCCATTCCACAATCAAATCCATGATTGCTAGTCTCCCGTGATGAGCACATTGTTACTAATGCTTTCGAATATCCTAAATGATTTTGTATCATGGATAGTTATTTTAACATTTACTTTTATTAAAATGTTAAGTATTTTAATGACTACACCAGTCTCATCCAAATATTCATTAAATAGTAGAGCTTTTAGAAGATTTTTTAAAAAATTCATGAAGGCCAATTACTTTGAAGTGGAAATTAGATGTTATACTACAGAGACGCTTACACAAACACCGCAATGCACTGTGCAGTTAATTTAGTGGACAACACTCAATACAGCATCAGAGCAGAAGCTGAGAAAATTAAAAAGGCAGCATTAGCATAGATATATTCCACAAAGGATGTAAATTTATGCCCTGAGAATGCCTCCTCTCTATTCTCCGACTATTCCTAGGGGGATATTAGTGTTGAATGCTGCAGGGTTTGACTTTTCCTAGGTCTTTGTAAACAAAATCCTTGCATAGACTGCACTATTGCTCTGTGTGTGGGTGAAGCAAATTTTTAATTTTTCTTTTGGTTCATTTTATTCCCCCCTTATTTTTAAACCTTTAAGAAATATGCATTATTTTTATTAAAAAAATCAATGCCTTATTTTTGCGTGTAAAATACCTTTGATTTAAAAATGTTGTCAACTCCACCCATGCCACGTAGAACATCCCTGCATTAGATATTTTCTCTTTTTTATCCTTGCCAACGGGAGTCACTTGCATTATAATTTTTAATGGGTATCTATCGTCTCTGCTTGTAGATTCCTACAAGTTATTTTATTTTTTTTTCACATTTAGATTTTTTACAATGTATTGCTATTAACATGAACTATGAGAAATGTACCTACATACATATCTTTGGGTAACTATTGCCTTAGGTCACATTAATAGAAATAGAACTGCTATATTAAAGCACATGCTCCTTTTAAATCTTAGTGTGGCATGGTCTTTAACAAATATAATTTTAGAAATTATATTCTAGGGCTGGGCGCGGTGGCTCAAGCCTGTAATCCCAGCACTTTGCGAGGCCAAGGCGGGTGGATCACGAGGTCAAGAGATCGAGACCATCCTGGTCAACATGGTGAAACCCCATCTCTACTAAAGATACAAAAAATTAGCTGGGCATGGTGGTGCGTGCCTGTAGTCCCAGCTACTCGGGAGGCTGAGGCAGGAGAATTGCCTGAACCCAGGAGGCGGAGGTTGTGGTGAGCCGAGATCATGCCATTGCACTCCAGCGTGGGTAACAAGAGCGAAATTCCGTCTCAAAAAAAAAAAAAAAAAGAAAGAAATTATATTCTAAAATATTATGAAAATTAACATTTCCCCAAACTGATACCCATCCTGGATATCATTTTTCTTTATAATCTTTGCCAACTATAAAGGTCAAACAGTGTATTTAAACATTTGCATTTTTGGCCAGGTGTGGTGGCTCAGGCATCTAATCCCAACACTTTGTGAGGCTGGGGCGGACAGATCACCTGAGGTCAGGAGTTCAAGACCAGCCTGACCAAAATGGTGAAACCCTGTTTCTACTAAAAGTATAAAAATTAGCCTGGCATAGTGGCACGTGCCTGTAATCTCAGCTACTCGGGAGGCTGAGGCAGGAGAATCACATGAACTCGGGAGGCTGAGGCAGGAGAATCACATGAACTCAGGAGGCAGAGGTTGCAATGAGCTTAGATCTTGCCACTGCACTCAAGCCTGGGCAACAGAGCGAGACTTTGTCTAGAAAAAAAAAATAAATAATAAGCATTTGCATTTTTAATTTGTAGTTTATGGACTGTTTTCACATATTTATTCTTCATTTGCATTTCCCTTTTATTACTTGCCCTTCATTTTCATAGATCATTTTTATGGTAGTGTAATCTTCTTATAAATGTGTAAGAGATAATTAAATGAAGTCAACAAGCTGTTTCTTTCATATACTTACCAAATGTATTTTCTAAGTGTGTTTTTACTTTTTTTTCTAAAAGTAAGATTTTAAATTTGTCTAGAGTAAAATTCGGCAGTCATTTTTGTGGCCACTGCCTTTGATGGGTTGCTATACTTACCTAGAAATTAGATAAGAAAATTCTTTTATATTTTCCTCTAGATTCCTTCTTGTTTACCGTTAAAAATATTGAGCCAAGTCTACATGAAATTGATGTGTTATAGGGTGTATGTGCTAGACAGATAATCTCATTCTCCCCTACCACCACCTCTAGTTTCCTAATAGGATTTTCTCCTCTTCCCCAGAAATTCCACCTTTATCATATTTTATTCTTTTTTTTTTTGAGATGGGGTCTCACTGTCTTGTCCAGGCTGGAGTGCAGTGGCACGATCATAGCTTACTACAGCCTGGACCACTCAGAATCAAGTGATTCTCTTACCTCAGCTTCCTGAGTAGCTGTGACTACAGGTGAGCACCACCATGCCCAGCTAATTTTTTTATTTTTTGAGATAGAGTCATTCTTTGTTGCCCAGGATGGTCTCAAACTCCTGGACTTGTGTGATCCTCCTGCCCTGGCTTCCCAAAGCACTGAGATTATAAGCCTGAGGCACTATGCTTAACTGGAGCTTATCATTTTAAAGTTATTATTATCATATAGTCATCAGCAGAAAAAGACAATTGATATGAAAGTATATTGGCCTACACATCCTCTTAACCATGGGATCAAAGTTAATTTTTACTGAAAATGGGTGTGTTGGATAAACAGTAACAGTGGGGGCTGTGGCCCCCCCAAGAACAACAGTCACAATATCAGGAGCAGGACCTGTGGCATCAGCTATCCCACCCCTATCCCACAGTCACCACCCCATCCCCGTCCCTGGGGGTGGGAAGAAGGAGTGGCAGCAGCTGCAGCAATGGCTGAACCAAACAGGTCACCTGCAGGTATTTTGTGCAGGGATTTGTAAGGAAGGAGACAACTGTTGCTACTTGCATTCCCTCTCTGGGCAAGTATTTTTAACGAGGGTGCTGTGTTTATGGAGATCGCTGTCAATGTGAACACAGCAAGCCACTGAAACAGGAAGAAGCAACTGCTACAGGTCTAACTACAAAACCATCCCTTGCTGCTTCCTCAAGTCTCTTCCATAGTTGGGCCATTTGTTGAAATGAATACAGGTGAAGCTGAGTCAAATTCAAACTTTGCAACTGTAGGAGCAGGTTCAGAGGGCTGGCTGGATGCTGTTGAGTTTGTTGTTAGCCAACTCTACTGCAGCTGCACTGCCCCTTTCTGCAGTGACCAAGGGAAAATCAGAGAAAGAACAAACAGCTGTGACAAAGAAGCCGCTTTGCCCCTAGGCTGCAGTGGGAGAGGCCGAAGTGGGTAGAGCTGTGTGTGTGTCTCCACAGAGAGACATGTGACCATGTGAACTGCAGATCCAACATCCAATGGATACTGCCCAAAGACCACAACATATAAAAATCTTGCCCTGAGGCCCATGAGAAGGAAACAGGGCTCTCACTTGCTGTGCAGTGCAGCAAGGATATGATGTGTGGGGTCTTCATCGAGGTGGTCTGTGAGAAAGGCAGGCCCAGCGAGCATGGTTTTGGGATCCTCTCCAGCTGCAGCCACGCCTACTATCTCAAGTGTATTTACAAGAGGAAGGGCACAAAGCTATTTGAGAGCAGGATTATAGTGTCCTACCCAGAATGCTGGATCACACTTAACTTTGTCATTCCCAGTGAGTACTGGGTGGGAGAAAGAAGAGAAGCAGAAACACATCCAGAAAAACAAGGAGGCAATGAGCAGCCAGGTGTGCAGGGATTTTGATGAAGGATGGGGGAGCTGCCCATCTAGAGGAAAGTGTTTTTACTACCCTGATGGCCATAGAAAGGATATACAGAGACAGGCAAGCAGATACTGGGCCCAGTGAAGGAAAGACTTCTGGAAGAAAGAGAGAACAATGGGCCAGGCGTGGTGGCTCAAGCCTGTAATCCCAGCACTTTGGGAGGCCAAGGCAGGTGGATCACGAGGTCAAGAGATCGAGACCATCCTGGTCAACATGGTGAAACCCTGTCTCTACTAAAATACAAAAATTAGCTGGGCATGGTGGCGCATGCCTGTAATCCCAGCTACTCAGGAAGCTGAGGCAGGAGAATTGCCTGAACCCAGGAGGTGGAGGTTGCGGTGAGCTGAGATCGCGCCATTGCACTCCAGCCTGGGTAATAAGAGCGAAACGCTGACTCAAAAAAAAAAAGAGAGAGAGAACAATAACCCCTCTGACAACAATAAAGAAGAGGTTGTCACCTCTGAGCTGGGTGAGATGTTGCTTATGCATTTGGCTGAGGGTGAGGACGATGAACTGACAGATTTTGAAAATGTGTGGGACTTGTTCCATGATGATCTGGAGGATTTTTATGACTTGGCTCAATAGCAACCTTTCCTGGTGTGTGAATTGGCCTGCTGACCTCAAACAGCAGCTGTCCCCTGTGGTGGTGTGACAGTGCCCATGTTTCTCTCCTAGGCAGGTCTATCAGCTCCAGTGCTGTCTTAATAATTTTTACCCAGGGCTTGTCTTCTCAATTTGTGACCTTTCCCCAAGGAGTGTGTTATTTTCTCTGTTGAAAAAAGTTTCAAAACTAAATCCTAAAGTTAGTGTTTTGTAACATGAATTTAATGGTCAGACAGTTCGTGTAGGTGTGTGGTGTCATCTGTTTTCAATCAGATTGTGTTTATGGACTCTTCACACAGTCATTTTGAGGACCTTAGGTTGGAAAGTAAACGCTGTGGCCCTGCTTTGGGGTCCAAGGATAGGAGTGATGGATGAAGGGACTTACACTTGCCAAGAGCCTTCTGCCCCAACACAGGATGTGGATCCCTGAGGTTTCTGCTGAAATCTGCACATCTGTGTTTTCGTATCTGTTCCCTGCCCTGTAATCCCCACCCTGTCCACTTGTTCTGTGGTTTTTGTCTCATGCTTAATTGTACACCAGTGATACTACTGGGTAACCAGAATCAGGTGGGAATGTGTTGAGATTTCTGCTGTGGTTTTTTGTTATTGTTGTTTGGTTTTTGTTTTTGCTTTTATTTTTGTTTTGAGTCTCACTCTGCCACCCAGGCTCCCAGGCTGGAATGCAGTGGCACGATCTCAGCTCACTGCAACCTCCCCCTCCTGGGTTCAAGCAATTCTCCTGCCTCAGCCTCCTGAGTAGCTGGGACTCTAGGCACACACCACCATGCCTGGTTAATTTTTGTATTTTTAGTAGAGACGAGGTTTCGCCACGTTGGCCAGGCTGGTCTTGAATACCTAACCTCAGGTGATCCTCCCACCTTGGCCTCCCAAAGTGCTGGGATTACAGGCGTGAGCCACCACGCCCAGCCCTATCATGCTTTGTGTGATAGGAAAATTGAGAAAGAATGCAAATAAAAGATAGAGGGGCATAAAATCTATGCAGAGTTGGAAGTTGACTCCCAAGAGCTTAGTGTGTGTGAATGTGAGTGATAAGCTTCTCATCCCTGCATGGATGCAGTATTTTTAGCCTTAGCAGAGACACTTGGCTTAGTGGTATAAGTCCTGTGTTGCAGATAGATCTTAAAGGACAAAGCAGTTGTTAATACATGAGTCCTAGCTCTGTCTGTCTACATAAATAAAGAAATGGGGTTAGCCATAGAGTTAAAACTATCTGGTTATCCTACATATAGACACGAACTGGGGCTTGGATACAGAATTGTATTCACGGTTTTACAATCTAGGTTTTTTTAGTCCAGGCACTTTTTGAAAAAACCTTTGTCCTCATTCAGGGTGTTTTGTTGTTGAGTTTTTTGTGTTTGTTTTTGTGGGTATTGCCCTGATTTTACCTCTGAGCTTTCAGGTAAACAGCTGTGATTCAAAACTACATTCTAAGATGTTTACTGTAGTGGAGTAATTGGTCTACAGTAATAAGTCACACTTTTCCATGAAAGGGGGAGATGGTAATCCCTGAGATAAGCTAAGTTATTAAAAGAATTTCTGTTGGAAATTTTGCCTTTGTGCTTTGTTGCTCTGTTTCCTGAAAATAACTTGGACATGCTCCTGGTCTACCACTTGATTCCTTGGATCCCACTCATTCTTTAACTTTAAGCAAAAACCAAGTAATTGTTGTTAGGTTTTGAGGGAAGGTGAGAATTAAAAAAAGACACACAGAGAGGGGGCGCTCAACAGCAACACAGATATATTGCAAAAACCTGCAGGGATGGGGGATCAGCTTGAAGCCAGAGCCCACCACCGCTTACAGGCTGGCAGACTAATGGGTATGGACAGGAGGGTCTGGGCCATCTGGCTTGCTGCCTGGCAGGATATTGATAAGATATACCTATAGTCAAGCAGTTTGGCTCTTTTTCCAGTGGGATGTGGTAAGATGTTCCTTGGACCTTTGCCCAGCAGGATATGATAGGGATGTCTCTTCAGTTGGGCCTTTACCCGGCAAGGTATGATAAGAATGTTTCTCAGGACCTGAACCCCTATAGAGTGTTTCACTTTGACCAAGATCTCTGAAATGGCAGGGGGCTTGCAAAATGGTGCAGTTTATACTAGCAGTTGCCAAAGTCTCTGTATTTTGCAGCCACCCTTTTGTATGAAACACATTTCCCAAGTAAAACCAAAACAATTTTTTTTACAGATGATAGTTTTCAGTATCTATTATGGAATATGACTACAATGTACCAATTATAATGTTGGAAATGCCTATTCTTCATGGGCATAGAAAATTTCATAGCAGGTATTCAGAAGAGTATTTTGTTATTCTCCTAACAGTGTTTTATTAAATTCTTTATTTTTCTATTACCATTTTAGTTTTGCACTTCTTAGTTTCAATTTATTTATCTTATTCATTAAGCTTTTAATTATTTACCATTACTTTGTTTGTTGTCATGCATTAGCAGTTACATGAAGTAAAATTATGCAGTAAATATGCACTTGTATACTATCCATTTCTCAGTAAGAAGACATGCATCTGTCTACTGCCAATTGGTGCATGTTTTGGTTTGCTGGTGGAAAAATACTGTTTCCGAGTTCTTCCAAGTTTCCATAATGTTAAGTGGCTTGTTCCTAGGGTGTTTGAAAGTATGTTTCCCTCATTCCTAGGCACCAATAACAGACTTAAAGAGAGCCACATCAAGAATGAACTGCCATTCACAATTGCTACAAAGAGAACAGAATACCTGGGAATACAACTAACAAAGGATGTAAAGGACCTCTTCAAGGAGAACTACAAACCACTGCTCAACAAAATAAGAGAGGACACAAACAGATGGAGAAACATTCCATGTTCATGGTTAGGAAGAATCAATGTCGTGAAAATGGCCATACTACCAAAAGTAATTTACAGATTCAACGTTATCCCCATCAAGCTACCAATGACCTTCTTCACAGAACTGGAAAAAAACCACTTTAAACTTCATATGGAACCAAAAGAGAACCCACGTAGCCAAGTCAATTCTAAGCAAAAAAAAAAAAAAACCAAAGTGGGAGGCATCACACTACCAGACTTCAAAGTATACTTCAAGGCTACAGTAATCAAAACAGCATGGTATTGGTACCAAAACAGAGATATAGACCAATGGAACAGAACACAGGCCTTGGAGGCAACACCACACAATCTACAATCATCCGATCTTTGACAAACCTGACAAAAACAAGCAATGGGGAGAGGATTCCCTGTTTAATAAATGGTGTTGGGAAAACTGGCCATGTGCAGAAAGCAGAAACTGGACCCCTTCCTGACACCTTACACTAAAATTAACTCCAGATGGATTAAAGACTTAAACATAAGACCTAACACCATAAAAACCCTAGAAGAAAACCTAGGCAAAACCATTCAGGACATAGGCATAGGCAAGGACTTCATGACCAAAACACCAAAAGCATTGGCAACAAAAGCCAAAATAGACAAATGGGACCTAATTAAGCTCCACAGCTTCCGCACAGCAAAAGAAACAGTCATTAGAGTGAATCGGCAACCAACGGAATGGGGAAAAATTTTTGCAATCTACCCATCTGACAAAGGGCTGATATCCAGAATCTACAAAGAACTAAAACAGATTTACAAGAAAAAAACAAACGAGCCCATTCAAAAGTGGGCAAAGGGCATGAACAGAGACTTTACAAAAGAAGACATACTTGAGGCCAACAAACATATGAAAAAATGCTCATCATTACTGGTCATTAGAGAAATGCAAATCAAAACTACTTTGAGATACCACCTCACACCAGTTAGAATGGCAATCATTAAAAAAATCTGGAGACAACAGATGCTGGAGAGGATGTGGAGAAAAAGGAACACTTTTACACTGTTAGTGGGAGTGTAAATTGGTTCAACCATTGTGGAAGACAGTGTAGTGATTCCTCAAGGACCTAGAAATAGAAATTCCATTTGACCCAGCAATTCCATTACTGGGTATATATCCAAAGGATTATAAATCGTTCTACTATAAGGACACATGCACACAAATGTTCATTGCAGCACTGTTTACAATATCAAAGACCTGGAACCAACCCAAATATCCATAGATGATAGACTGGACAGGGAAAATGTGGCACATATACACCATGAATACTATGCAGCAATCAAAAATGATGAGTTCGTGTCCTTTGTAGCGACATGGATGAACCTGGAAATCATCATTCTCAGCAAACTGACACAAGAACAGAAAATCAAACACTGCATATTCTCATTCATAGGTGGGTGTTGAACAATGAGAACACATGGACACAGAGAGGGGAGCATCACACACTGGGGTCTGTTGGGGGAAATAGGGGAGGGACAACGGGGGGTGGAGAGTTGGGGAGCGACAGCATGGGGAGAAATGCCAGATATAGGTGAAGGGGAGGAAGGCAGCACATCACACTGCCATGTGTGTACCTATGCAACAATCTTGCATGTTCTTCACATGTACCCCAAAACCTAAAATGCAATAAAAAAGTATGCTTCCCTTTAAATAATTTGAAATGTAATAATCCTTTATTTAAAAGTTTATTCACTTTGCATTTCTATATGTGTATTAATTTTGAGAACGTTTTATCTCTTCAGTATGTGTTAATGTTAGTATAAAAGTTATCTTCCAACTTGAATCAATACAAAGTCTATGGTACTTTATATCTTTCTGCTATCTGTGCTAGATTTGTGATTAATGAATTGTTACAAAAAGGGTAGATTAATAAAGGAGAGTTGTGCCAAAAATTGGTTTTATCAAAAGTGGGATAAACTGACATTATCACACTGACCTAGCATGATATAGCAAGAATATAACATTCCTTATGTAGAATTCCTGCCAAGAAATGTATAACCTGAATCAAATTGTGAGGCAACAATCAGACAAACCCAAATGAAGGAACATTCTTCAAAACAACTGATGTGTCCTCTTCAAAATTAACAGTATCTTGAAAGACAGAGAAAGGCCAAGGAATTAGATTAAAGGGGTCTAAATAATATGACAACTCTGTAAAAATGATCCTCAATTGAATCCTGAATCAGGAAAAAAATTTACAAAGGGTGTTATTAGAACAATGGGTAAAACTTGAATATGGTCTAGGTTTTAGATAATACTATTATATCTGTTTAAGTTCTTGGATTTGATCATTGTGTAGTGGATATGTTTAAAACATGCCCTTGTTCTAGGAGATATATGCTAAAGTTTTAGGGGTGACAGTTCATATTTGTAACTTGCACAAATCCCTCTCAAATAGTGATGAGGATGAGGAGGCAAAAGGCAAGGAGGTAGATGTTTACTCTTGGTGAATCTGAGTAAATGGTTTACAGATGATCATTCAGAATGAATCATCCCTGAAAGTTTTCTATAAGTTAAAAATATTTCAAAATAAAAAGTTTAAAAAGGTAAGAATATTATTAACAGCATGTTCAATGAAAAGACGCAAATAACTCATTGAGATTTTGGAGTCCCATTTCAATAAAAATATCACCTAACATTGAACATGGCCATCCCTGGAAGGGAGATTATGAGTGTGCTTCTTAGATTAAATTTTCCTTTGATTTATGTGTATTTGCCATTATGTGAGGTTTTTACTTTTGAAATTCAGTTTCAGTGGAAGAGGTATTTGCATTCTGGGGAAAACTTGCTGGTCGTGGTTATCGATCTTTTACTTGCTGCTTGGCTTTATTTTCTATAAATATTCTATGTTGCTTGGCTTTCATTAATTTTGTTTTCAGATGTGCAGTTGGCAAACACCTTTCCTTCTTCTCACTGTAGCTTTGCGTCTGAAGTGACACTGATTGTAGGTGAAGAGCGTTCAAATCCCCTACCTGGTGGGTTATGAGGAATTACGGCTCCAAACAAAAGTAGAGATGACTTTGGACCACAAATCCCCCAAATAAGCCAGAAACTCTTCAGACCTTCCCTAAGGAAGGGGACGCGGAGACTTGTGGGAAACGGAGTCTGGAATTTGATGGATCGTCCCGGGAGGGCCCGGGGGACCGGTCCTTGGCAGCCCCGTCTGCGCATGTGCAGTTCTTCCTCATTGTTCCTTACTCCAGTCTCCGATCGGCGTGGAGCCTCCTTGTCTACGCGTAACTCAGCGATCAGGTCCTTCACGAAAGATGTGCTCTGCAGGTGAGAGCCTAGCTTGAAGGGTTGCTTTGCGGGGTTTGGGGTAGGTTTGTGTTCCCAGCCTGTGGAAGCAAAAACTTGCTCAAATCCCACGCGGGTTAAGACCCTGTGGCGCTTGTTCCCGAGTCTGCCCTGCATCTGTCCGTCAAGAAAGCCAGAGACAGAGGAGGAGGTCCGCTGCGGATCTGCAGGTTCCACAAAGAAGATAAGGGAGGGGGGCACAGGTTTCCCGTCAGAAAAGGGGGCTCCAGGAAAAGGCATTCACATGTTAAAGAGCTGTTCCCAGAAGCTCCTCAAATTCGCAGGTGCCCTGGGCAACCATTCATCAGCTGGTCAGACCCACGACTCCAGAGGGGATGAGAACAATTCTTACAACCTTTACTTTATGCTACACTATCGTTCCTACCTTGCAAGCTGATTGCAGTGCCTGAGTTTGAAAGTAAGACGAGTTCACATCCTAGCTCTGTCACTGGATAGCCATGAACACAGTGATGAACCTAACCTCTAAGACTCAGTTTCCCCATCTGTAAAATGAAGTTATTTCTAAAACCTGCTTCAGGTCGTTCTGAGTGTTGAATAAGAGAGCACCTGGAAAGCACTGCGCACAAGTCCTGGCATTTTCTAAGCACTCTGGAAATGTGGCCTGCCTTTCCTGCTGTTCTTTTCACTCGGTGTATCATTTGATTATCAAAGACCCCCTGTAAAGTGGGTGTTACCCATTCCATTTTAACTGAGAAGAAAACCGAGACTCTGGATGTGAAGGCACAGGGCTTGCAAGTGAAGGGTCTGAGATACAAGCCTCAAACGGTTTTGTTTCCTAATTGAATGCTTCACAGCACTTAGCAGAGTGGCATGTCTTTACCTGCCAACCGGAGTGTGCAGGGACTGAGCCTTCCCTTAAGGCTCTTGGAGATTTCTTGGTCTATCTGCAGAACCCTCGGGATACTGTATAACTGAGGCCTCTGGGCACCTCAAAGTCCATCTCTCTGTGCCCTCCGCAGTTCTCAGGCTCCCAAGGGAGATTTGCAGGCAGTGGTTCTCAAACTCGTATAAGCATCAGCATCACCTGGAGGCCCTGTTAACCCCATCCTACGACTGAGTCCCACCCCCCCACCCCCACCCGCCCCAGGGCTTCTGATTCAGTGAGTCTGGGGAGAGGCCCAAGAATCTGCCTTTCTATTTAGTTGCCAGGTGGTGCTGATGCTGCTGGTCTGGAGTCCACACTGAAGGTCACTGTTGTAGGAGATGGTGAACTCCAAGAAAGAGTTGGAACCCAGCTGAAGGTCCCAGTTATCTGAATTTATTCCCCCTTCCCCCCAGTAAGGGTCACCCTGCTTCTGTGAGGAGGGGACATCAGAAGCAGGAATCCCACCTGGGAGGTCCCCACCCTCTCTGATAAAATGCACACAGCTGTGCCAAGGACATCTGGGAAACAGAGAGATCTCTAAGCGCTTGCTCTTGAAGCAATTCCCGATTCTTCCACTCTGAATAACTCAGCATCTTGGAGGTTGCCAAGAACCGTCGGTCAGCAAAGGTATGGGCCAGCTGTCAAAGGACAGAGGTGAGATGGACCGAGGATGGTGAGCTGGGCCGAGGATGGTGGGCAGGAGGCCGGCTGCAGGGGAGGAGGAACACCCAGTTGAGGACTGATGGGGAAAATACTATCGCCATTCCTCTCAGAAACTCCTCCCATGCCCCTAATGCTCCAGCCCTCTTCCTAGATTCTGCAGAGCCCTCAAACCCCGCCCATCTGCACATCTGGAGTTTAGGGATATGCTACCCATTACCTACTCTTGACTTTATCGGAGTACTGGGAAGCTTTTCAGGGGTTATGTAAATGTGCCTCATTTTAAAAGTGAAAAATATTAACTCAGTGCTTAAGTGCATAGCTTCTGGGGCCAGACTGCACGGGTTCAAAGCCCAGCTCCACCACATTGCTCAGTCTTCCCCTCGGGTTTCTCTTCTATGAAATGAAAGTCATAATAGTAGCTATGCTTGGCTTTATTTTAAAGATTATATGAAAGATGACCTACAAAGTGCTTAGAACAAGTCCTATTATGTAGTAACTACAAGTATTGCCAGTATTTTAATATTATTATAACTAAATTATTGTAATCTAGGCTTGCATTATATGTTAGTGGCAGAATCAGAAAAAGAACCCAAGCCCCCTGACTCCTACGCCATTGTCCACCTGTCTCAGTTAAGTCAAAACAAGTTTCTTATTAAAAAAAAATATTTGGAGACACTGAAACCAGAGGAGAACAAACCTTTTCCTTTTTTAAATAGTCTCCCTTAAAACACAAGTACTTTTGTTGTCACGGGTTCCTGTTAATTCTTTAACCTCAAGGAATTTAAAATATAAGTTGAAAAGTAAATGAGCACACCTTTGTAAGGTTTTGGCTGTATCATTTCTTACGCTTTTTATTATGGAAATATTCACAACATACAAAAGTCAAATGATATAATGACTCCCAGGTATTTGTTACAGCTCCAGCATTGGCCAATTTTATTTTATCTGTATACCACCCCCCAACACACACACACACACACACACACACACATGTGCGCACACGCACACACACACTCGTGCACGCGCATTTATACACTTTCCCCATTACTACCTGCCTCTGCTGGATTATTGTAAAGTAAAATATCAATCAATCAGACATCAAAAACTTCAGTCCATAATATGTGCGGTAATAGGACAGGTGGCATGACATCTCATCCTTTGTTGTAACATGATTGTTTAACCAGGTCTCTTTAGTTGGATTTTGTGTGGTTTATATTTTTCTGCTACTATATCCAAGGAGGTTTGTAAGAAGCAAATATTTGCTTTCCCCAGTGAAAACCCTGATTCTCTCAGCCTCCAGTGGTTCGATCAGGGTTATAAGAGTCCCCTCTGGAAACTTCTACCTGCCACTTCTGAAGGGTCAAAAGAAATTTTCCCATGGTTCAGCAATTCACCATCAGATACATGTGAATTTCTAGGGACGTGGTAAGAAGATCTTCAAAGTAGAGCAGATTTCTCATGATTTCTTTGCTCCTACTCCCTCCTACAGCTCTGCCTTCACAGTTCTCTAAACTTTTCCAGGATCAGAAGAAAATGAACACATCCCAGGTGAATTGTTTACTTATTATTCAATTTTTCTGTGAAACTGAAGAGGTACTTTGCATTTTTAGTAACCATGCTTTTTTGGCCATTTTTTTCTTCATTTTTTCACTTTCTGACTTATTATTTCTGCATTATTATTTTACCTTCTTTTTCTCTCTTCCAGTGGTTTTGAAAGTCCACATTTTATCTTTATTCTGTTATTGATTATCATTAATTACTATTGATATGTTTAGCATGTTTTTCTGTCAACATCAGAATTTTTTTCATCAATAATATACCTAAACAAGATATACTCTTCTGTCATTTCAGGTTTTGTAGAAATCATCTAAATACTTTTCTTTTTTTATATGATAAGTATTTTTGAATCCTTTGCTAACTATTACATCATACCTTCCAGCTACTGGAACAACAATAATTTGTATTAGAATATACATTTTTTGGTCATTTTTATTGTTACAAATTTGAAGATAAAGTGACAAAATTATAATAGCTGATCAGCTTTACTATTATGTACAATTTAGGTCTGCATATTATGTTCCAGTCACTGTTAAATTCCTTACTTGGATTAGCTCATATAATTCTGACAACCACATTATGAATTAGGTAATTTTTACTGAGGGCAAAACAGATTTCAGTGACTTCTTTGGGCCTGCCTTCCTTCCTTCCTTCCTTCCTTCCTTCCTTCCTTCCTTCCTTCCTTCCTTCCTTCCTTCCATCCTTCCCTTTCCTTCCTCCTTTCCTTTCCCTCCCTCCCTCCCTCCCTCCCTCCCTCCCTCCCTCCCTCCTTCCTTCCTTCCTTCCTTCCTTCCTTCCTTCCTTCCTTCCTTCCTTCTTTCCTTCTTTTGAGATGGACTCTCTCTCTGTCACCCAGGCAGGAGTGCAGTGGAGTGATCTCAGCTCACTGCAACCTCTGCCTCCCAGATTCAAGCAATTCTCCTGCCTCAGCCTCCCAAGTAGCTGGGATTACAGGCACCTGCCACCACACCTGGCTAATTTTTATATTTTTAGTAGAGAGAGGGTTTCACCATCTTGGCAGACTGGTCTCAAACTCCTGGCCTCAAGTGATCCACTGGCCTCAGCCTCCCGAAGTGCTGGAATTACAGGCATGAGTCCCTGTGTCTGACCCAAAGATCTATCATTATACTAGTTCTCTCTCCTGAGCTCCAAGACCTTATATGCAACTGTTACCTGGACATGTTCACCTGTATGTTTCACAGGTACCTTAAGTATAACATGTTCCAGGTTTCTCTTTCTCTCTCTCTCTCTCTCTATCTGTCTCTCTCTCCACCCAATTCTTTCTCCTGTTTTGGAAATCCTAGTGCATGGCACCAGCATCAGCCCAGCTGCTCTCATGATAACCTGAGAACAATGTTCCATTTGCTCTTCACTGTGTAACCAACATCTAGTTAATTCCGTATAGAATCAGCTCAGGCTTCTCAGTCCCCAGTGCTGCTACATGAAGACAGGTGGCCTCTCTCACACTAGTCTACTATCTTCCTCTCTAACTTCCTTTTAAAACTGAGTTTCCTGACCTTGACCATTGACACTTTGGGCCAGGTAATTTGTTGTTGTAGGGGCTGCCCTGTACATTGTAGGATGTTTAGTGGTATCTCTGGCCTCTACTCACTAGATCCCAACCCCACCCCTCTCAATCATGGCAACAAAACATGCTTCCAGATAAAATTGCCACTAGTTGAGAACCACTGACTCAAAGCATTGTCCACTCTGCCCCCAGAGCATTAATTTCAAAATAGAAATCTGTTTACATTACTTATTTGTATGTCCCCAGTGTCCACGGGAGTGATCTCCTAAGTAGAGGTGTGTACTCTAGAGAACTGCACAAGACAATCAGATGGTGCATGGAAAGAAAGTATTGGAATATCCATTTAACTTTGTTTTATATCTAAAACAAAACTAAGAAAGTTGTTAAGCTTTACTTTTGGTGAGTGGCTGAGAGTGGAGTATATAAATAATTTATAAATACACCGAGGGATGCTCAGGGATTTTTGCCGAATGACTAAATATTTTGGAGACCACTGATGTGTAGGAGAAAGTCTAAAATCCCTCTCTCTGACCACAGAGCACCTCTGTTGTTCTTGATCTCCCAAGTCCGCAACCTGATTCTTCTATCCCCTGTACCACCTTGTTAATTCCTTTCATTTGAGGTGTGTGTTCATGATCCGCACCTTGGCTTATGCCGTTGCCCTGTGTTCACGCAAAACTCACTGCTTGTGGGCAATTAAATCTTACCCTCCTTGGCAAAGAATTACCTGAGGATTAATTTTTTCCCTCATTGTGACCTCCTTCTACCTTGACCTCACATTGTTTTCATGGCTTCCATAATTTATTGTTGCATGTGTATGTTTGTATAGAAACTCTCTTCAGCAGTCTGAAGAGCCTTAAAAACAGGACCAGTGTCTTCTTTGCCCTAATCTCCTCTGCAACTAGACCAGTTCCAGAAATGTAGAGGAAACTCCAGTTGTTTTATGAATTAGTAAGTGGATTCGTAAATAAGCATAAAGGCCTAGTATTTCTATCATGATTTCTGTTTCCCCATAAAATGTACCTGAAGGAAGGTACATGTCAGACAGCCTTTATAACATTTTCTGGTAAACTTTTAACAGAGAACGTGGTAGGGATTACTTCCCATATATATTTCTCATGCCATTGAGTCTTGAGCACTTCAGATGAAGCAGGATTGGACTGTTACAGGGCTCAGTGCTGTTCGAGGATGTATCTGTGTACTTCACCCAGGAGGAATGGCAGCTGCTGGACCCTGCCCAGAGGTTCCTGTACAGGGACGTGATGCTGGAGAACTACAGGCACCTGGTATCACTGGGTAAGCCCAGCTTCTCATGTAACTCCTAACAGCACGCATTTCCTATATTAGGAACCAAATCATTGAGATTTGGGAGTCAAGACTCTTGGAGGGTACTTTGAAGATTATTGTAGTCTTACCTCCCTGGTGAAACAACCTACTTTGATGAAGCACATTTGGGCACCACTATTGTGTAGCTTCTAGAGCTTCTCCCTTCTTGTCCTTAAGAGAGCCCAAACCCTAAGCAACTTCTTCAAGTCTCATGTCATTTCCCATAACAGGGCACTGTGCTACCAAACCTGAGCTGATAGTCAAGTTGAAGCAAGGAGACGAACCATGGATATTAAAGAGAGAGCTACCAAGTCAGAGCCACTCAGGTGAGTTGAAGTCAGGTACAAAGAGGCTGGGGGAAATTAGATCCCAAGTGGCCAGTCCAGGTATTAGAATCTTTAAAATATATTTTAGAAATCTCTTTTAGAGGCTCCAGGCTTTTAGAAGTAATGGAAAAAGATGAGGTTTCAATATCAAACCTCAAAATATTCTCATATATAAAGGTTTTTTTTGTTTTTCTGTCTGACTTTTAGGAAGAGGCTTTCTTGGTTTTTGTAGAATCCAGTTGCTATCTTCCTCATCCTAGACCTTTATGTTTTTCTCTCTGTCCAACAATGGCCATTGTTCACTTTCTCTCTGGTATCTAACATGCATTCATTCATGCATTCCTTTATTTGACAAATATTTATTCCAGACCCACTATGTACCAGTCACATTCTAAGTGCAGGGAATAGGGAAGCAACATCTCTACTCCTATCAGTAGATTCAGTCAGCAAATAAATACATAATAAGCCATGTAGTAATCAACATGACGAAAAAAATCAGATGAAAGAGACAGAGACTCCTGGAGAGTATTGTTTTAGCAAGGGAAGTCAGAGGAGGCCTCTTTGTGGAGGTGAACATTTTAACAGAAACAGTGGAATAGAGTTTTCAGTGAAGGGATGGAGTGAGCCATGGATTATCGGAGCGATTTCCAGACCAGGAGAATAGTGGGTGTAAAGATTCTGAGAAAAGAGTATGTTTGGTGTAATTAGAGAACAGCAAGGAAGTCAGTGGACCAGAAGACATCCAGTGAGGAGAAATGAGTAGATAAGGTTAGAGAGTTAGCTGGGGGGAAGCTTTATAAGCCTGGTAAGACTTTCAGTTTCACTGAGTGAGATAATACGTAAGAGAATATGGCAAAGCCTATACCTTTAAGCACTACATCTGGAAGTCAGGAAAACACAAATCTCTAGCAAGGGAGACTGAGAAGGACCATCCAGCATGGTAGAGGGAGAACCAGGAGAGCATGAACAAGGTGTTTCAAGAAGAAAGGAGTGAGATCCAACATGCAGATGGAAGTGTAGAGTTCAGCATTGCCTCATCTTTTCCTGAAAAGTAACCAAAAACCACAAGGAAAATACAAAACAAAATGTCAACTCAATTTTCACTGAAGTTGGAAACAGCTCAAATGCTAAGGCAGCTGAAATCCTTAATATATATATAAAGGTGGAAAATCTGCCTCAAGCAGTGAAAGTCAGGCTTGCTTATAGATGTAATTTACAGAGAAAATAACATCATGCAAAGCAGTGCTGTGGAAAACAATGTTAGATATAGTGTACAGACCATATTTACTTGGAAAATTTTTCTTGAATAAAACTTTAAAGTGGTAAGGAGATGACTTTTTAAACAATGGAACAGTAGTAGCATTGTTTTGAAGGACATCTAGGTTCTGAGGATGGCTAAGGACAGAATGTATACTAAGTGAAAAACTGGAAGGGAGGTTTATAGCTGAAAATGAAGAATTTTAGAATTACACAGCCTGACCTGATAGGAGCTAATAATACTGTAGATTTATGAGCTGGTCACTCGAACATGTATTGTGAATTTAGGTGTAAGAATCTAGTAGAATATCTAAGCATTGAAATCTAATATCAAATGTTTTGTTAGTATATTGACTTCTATTTATGTTATCTACTATAGAAAAATCCTAAGCTCTTAAGCATACAATTGATATTATTGCATACAGTGTGACAGCAGAGGATAATAGTTAGCACCGATAGTCAAAATTATTAAGAAAAAGTTCAACGAAGGTCCTTGGACTACGTTAGGTAGCCAGGTGTGTGTGTTACACGGAAAAGAGAAACCAAAGAGAAATAAAACATATGAAAGCTGAATTAAAAATTAAGAGTTGGCCAGGCACAATGGCTTAACACTTTGGGAGGCCAAGGCTAGAGAATCATCTGAGGCCAAGAATTCAAGAGCAGCCTGGGTAATATAGTGAAACCCTGTCTCTGCAAAAAATAATAAAAATAAAAAAGTAATTAGCTGGGTATTCTGGTGCACACCTGTAGTCTTAGCTACTTGGGTACTTGGAAGGCTGAGTGGGAAGGTCACTAGAGCCCAGGAGATGAAGGCTGCAATGAGCTATGATTGCACCATTGCACTCTAGCCTGAGCAACAGAGTGAGACCCTGTCTCCAAATAAAATTAAGACTAGGCACAGTGACTCACTCCTGTAATCTTAGCATTTTGGGAGGCTAAGGTGGGAGGATCACTTGAGGCCAAGAGTTTAAGACTAGCCTGGGCAATGTAACAAGATCCTGTACCAAAACAAACAAAAAATCAGATGGATCTGGTGGCACACATTTGTACTCCCAGGTATTCAGGAGGCTGAAGTGGGAAGATTGCTTGAGCCCAGGAGTTCAAGGCTGCAGTGAACTAATTGTACCACTGCATTATAGCCTGAGTGACAGAGCCATACCCTATCTCAAATAAAAAATAAAATAAAGAGTTTAAAATTTATGTCCATATAAAAACCTGCAGATGGAGATATATAGCAGCTTTATTCATAATTGCCAAAACCTGGAAGCAACTAACATCTCTTTCAGTAGATAAATGGGTAAATAGACTATGTAGTATATCCAGACAATGGAATTTTATTCAGCACTAAGTAGAAATGAATTATCAAGCCATGAAAAAAATGGAGGAACTTTAAATGTATATTACTAAGTAAAAGAAGCTAATCTGAAATGAATAGGCTATATGACATTTGGAAAAAGGCAAAACTATGGAGACTAAGTTAAGATTAGTGGTTGCCAAGAGTTAAAGGGGAGGGAGGGATGACTAGGCAGAGTATAGATTTTTAGGGCAGTGAAACTATGCTTCCTGATATTATAATGGTAGATATATATATATATATATTTATATATATATAAAATAATGGTAAATATACATGTGCAACACCAAGAGTGAGTTCTAATGTAAACTATGAACTTTGAGTGATTATGATCTGTTAATTTAGGTTTGATCATTTTTAAAAAATACCACTCTTGGGGATGATGTTGATATTTGGGAACTTTGTACATATATGGGGGCAAGGGGCATATGGGAACTCTATACTTTCCACTCAATTTTGCCATGTATGTAAAACTAATCTAAAAATAGTCTTTTGGCCGGGCATGGTGGCTCATGCCTGTAATCCCAGCACTTTGGGAGGCCAAGTCAGGCAGATCACGAGGTTAGGAGATCAAGACTATACTGGCAACATGGTGAAACCCCATCTCTACTAAAAATAGAAAACTTAGCTGGGCATGGTGGCACCTGCCTGTAATCCCAGCTACTTGGGAGGCTGAAACAGGAGAATTGCTTGAACCAGGGAGTTGGAGGTTGCAGTGAGCCAAGATCACACCACTGCACTCCAGCCTGGTGACAGACTAAGACTCTGTATCAAAAAAGAAATAGTCTATTAAAAAATTAGTATTAGAACAGGGCACAAACCATTGGTAAAACAAATCAGCAGATTGAAAAAGGTAAAAGTAGGTTGGGCCAACAAGACAGATTACTATTGATTAACTCTAATAGAATCAGGTGGTAGCACCAACAATCAGAATATGGAGATGAAATGGATCCTGTTGCAGGGATGGCTTATTCTCTCATAATATTTTAACATTCTCTTTGGACATTGTTTTTCCATATCAAAGCTGCATGGAGAGATGGGGCCTGAACTATAGGACTGACCTTTAGGCTTGAGGAAATGAATTATTTTGTAACTTTAATTTAGGGTTGATGTGCATAATGAAAAAGAAAAGATTAGAGGCATATAGAGTAAAGTAAGGATTCCCCTGCAGCAATTAAGGTATAGGGGAGAGAGAGAGAGAGAGAAGGATCTAATCTTTCATTTGCTTCCAAACGTAATCTGTGCTCTGACACTTCCATTGGTAACCCTTCAGTCTTTATTGTCTCCCTATTGTGTCCCCTATCTTTACCCCATACTTTGATTATCCTCAATTGGATTAATCATTTTCCTGACATCCTTTGTTCTGAGTTCACTATTTATTGTTTTATTTCAAGATTTATCCATTTTAAGGGCATATTTGTAACAAGCCAAAGCTACATGTATTAATTTTTGACTTTGTCTCCTTTTTTTTTTTTTTTTTGCTATAGTGCATGTTTTATCTTTGCTTTCATATTACCCATCCAAAGACTAGAATAAATATTTGTTTAGGACTTCTATTATCCCAGGATATTGTGCCTGAAACCCAAGGATCAACTCAGCATAGATCACTTGCATACAACCTCCTTCCTTAAGAAATGTGTTAAGATTTATAATGTATGGTTAACTTTTCATATTTCTAGAAGTCCAGAAAGTCAATAACATGAAAGAGACAAGTCAAGAAAATAAAGACAAATATTTGAGGCAGGCTTTATTCATCAACAACAAAATACTGACTAAGGAGAGAAGTAAAACCTTAAGGGAAGCATTTAGTATGGCCACAAACACAGGGCCCTCAAGAAAAATATCCCATAAATGTGACTCATTTGGAACAAGCTTCAAAAGTGTTACAGAACTCATTATTAATAATAGAAACCATGTAAGAAAAAAGTCAGTTGATTTTAGTAGGTGTGACTTCCTTGATATTAAGCATAATAAAACTCATTCAGAGAATAAACCCTGTGAAAATGATCAAAAGAAGGAATCCCACAGTCATAATGAGGATTTTGTTCAACATCAGAAGGATTCACCTTTGGAGCAACTTCTTGTATATAATAATTGTGGGAAAGCCTTTCACAGAAAGACAGCCTTTCTTACACATAAGAGAGCTCACACAGTAGAGAAACCTTCGGAAAGAAATGAATATGGACAAGCCTTTATCCCAAAGTTAAAGCTCAATTCTTGTCCAAGAACCCTTAGGGAAAGAAAGCCACATGAGCCCTATAAAAATGGGAAATCTTCATGCATGAAGTCAAAACATGCACATCAAGAAATTCACACAGGGAAGAAACACTCTGAATGTAATAAATTTGGAAAATTTAGCAAGAAATCAAACTTTACCCAACATCAAAGAATGTACACAGGAGAAAAACCTGATGAGTGTAATGAAAATGAGAAAGATTTGAAGAATTTAGACCATACTCAAAATGAGACAATTCATGCAGGAGAGAAAATCTATGATTGTAAGAAATGTGGGAAATTCTTTCATGAAAAAACGTGCCTTACTCAACATCAGAGAAACCACGCAACAGGAAAACCCAGCAAGTGTAATGACAGTGAAAGAGTCTTAAAGAAGGAATCTTGCCTCACACTCAATCAGAGAATTAAAACAAGAGAGAGAAACTGCAAAGATAATAAATGTGAGAAACCTTTCTTTGAGAAGTTGAAACACACTCAACATCAGAGAAGGCACTCAGGGGAAAAAACCAATGGATGTAATGAAAGTAGGGGTGCCTCAAGTAGGAAGTCACAACTCACACAACGCCAGAGAGCTAACAAAAAAGAGAAAACCTATGACTGTAATAAATGTGGAGAAAGCTTCCATCAGAAAACAGATCTCACACAGCATCAGAGCACACACACAGGGAAAAAACCCTACGAATGTAAAGACTGTGAAAAATCCTTCTTTGTGAAGTCCAACTACACTGAACATCAGAGAACTCACACAGGAGAAAAACCATATGAATGTAATGAATGTGGAAAGTCCTTCTGCCAGAAATCAGCCCTCACAGTACATCAGAGAACTCACACGGGAGAGAAACCATATAAATGTAATGAATGTGCGAAAACCTTCTGTGTGAAATCAAACCTTACTCAACATCAAAGGACTCACACAGGTGAGAAACCCTATAAATGTAATGAATGCTGGAGATCTTTCTGTGTGAAATCCAACCTTGTCGTGCATCAGAGAACTCATACAGGAGAAAAACCCTACAGATGTCCTGAGTGTGGGAAAACCTTCTATGAAAAGTCAGCCCTCACAAAACATGAGCGAATTCACACAGGGGAAAAACCCTATGAATGTAATGAATGTAGAAAAAACTTCAGCCAGAGGTCAGCCCTCACCAAACATCAAAGGAAAACACACAAGAAGAAAATTCCCATCAACACCTTCCATGTGCCGAAACCTGCGTCTTCAAGCCAAATTTGTTGAACATCAGCAAAATCATAGGGCAGAAACCCTAAGGTGTTAACACATCTAGGAAAGTATTTATTTATAGGTTATAATGAATAGGAATTAGAAAATTAACATAGGAGTGAAACCACATGAATTCTTTGAACATGTAAACCCTTTCAGCAAGCATTCAGAGCTGTTGAGAAAAAATTAATTTGAGATACATGAATAAAAAAAGTTTTTGTGCATAAATTGTTTAAGTAGAAGTCATATTTCAGATGTAATATCAGGCTAATTTTAAAAAGAACAGAAAATGTCATGTTCTTAATAGAATGTGAAACATGATCCTTTTGTAAAACTGTGAATTGTTTAAGTCATTGACAATAGTGTTATATATGTGTGAAGATTTCCTGAAGTATATTGGGCTATACATACAGTTACATAGGATATGAGTGTGCTGTATAACATAAATTATGTGTATGTTGGATTTGTACATGGGAACCCATCATTGTCTCTGAATCATAAAAATCCAATATATTTTATAAGTAAAAATTGAAAGTCACATAACCTGTGGCCCAACAATTCTAATTCTAGATGCATACCATAAAACAGTAGTTCTCAACTGGTCTTCTTAAAGTGTGTTTGGAAATAAGTTGTTTTGATTGCCAACGTGACTGACATGCTATATAGGCTCTTGGTAGCTGGGAGGCCAGAGGTGCCAAATTCCCTGCACTGTGTCAGTGGAAGGACAGGAAATAGTCTTATCCAGAATACCAGTATCTTTACCACACACACAAAAATTGCTCTAGAAACTCTTGCACATCTGCACCCACAAATTTGTACAAGATTAACTGTAACATTGCAATAGTTTTTGTTAAAAAAAATTTTAAAGAAAATATCCAAATGTTGATTAACAATAAACTAAATTAATAAATGTGGGAATAGTCATACAGTACCAATAATATACATCAATGAAAATGAATGAAACTCTATCAGATACATTAACATGGTTATATCTTAAAGTGATGTTGAATGAAAAAAGGGAAACTATAGATACTATGTTATTTTATTTATATAAAAGAGTACATTGTTCAGGAATACGTATATAATTAGCAAAATTAGAAAGGAAAGCAAGTGGATGATTAACACAAAATCTACAATATCAATTACTTTGTGGAGGAAGAATGTGGGCTTATATTTAGGGAGAGAAAAGAGAGATTCATGTTTCTTAAATGGGTTATGGATACACAGATATTTCTTTTATTTTTATTTATATTATGCATATGAGTACTTATATTTACATGTATATCTGTTAATAGAATATCTTATTTTCAAGAAAAGGCTTAAAATGATTGCATTAGGACATTAACAAAGGTGATGTTTTATAGTAAGAATTATAGTTAAGATTTTTTTTACATTCATCTATTTTTCTGTAGTTCAAATCTCTTTAATGACTTTTTTCAAATATCCATACCACTAGTCATTTAGGTCTACCCTTGATTTTATTGATTGTCTTTTTCCATTTGTTTCCTAGTAGAATTTCTCCTAAATTTTTTAAATGATAAAGTGACCACTGACCAAGTTAGAAAAAGTAAGGAAAGTGGAAAAGAAAATCAAAGTACAGTATACTATAGACAAGTAAAAATGAAAAAGAATCAACAATAAAACCTATCACAACTAATATGAACAAATTGAATTTCTACATCAAAGACAGAGGTAGTTTAACAGTGACTTAGAAAACTTAATCCAACTATGTATGACTTGTAAAAAAAAAAGTACCTAAAACCAGGGGACAAAGGGAGTTTGAAGTTTAAGGGATGACAAAAATAGATTCAGGGTTTTTTAACATTTATCCACTAAAGCATGACAACATAAAGGTAAGTCCTGTGATTACCTTGTTTAACCAAACGTTCATGGAGTTGTAGTCTAGGGGATAGGATGGATGTTAAAAGTTGTGGCAGGGTGTGCCAATCGCCCTGCAGTAGCCATGGTCCCCTTCTTCCTTTAATAGTAGAACTCCCTAGTGAATATTGGCAGGGCATATGGCCACCCAACTATACATTTCCTATCCTACTTTGCTACCAGAAAAAAAAAAGAAGAAAATGGCACCTACTTGCCCATTGTAACTCTTACTTGGATTATTGGGAGAGTGTAGACATTTATTTCCAATGGATTTATTGAGAATTTATTCTCCTTTGAATAACAACAAAAACCTGAAGGCCACCAAATATACAATAATAAGGGATTGACTAAAGAAATTATCACATATCCAAAGGACAGAATATCTTGCTATTCATTAATAATAGAAAAGTCTCATATGGGGAGACCAAAGCACAGAGGTTAATTTGCTCAAGATCATACACCTAGTAAGACATAGAGCCAGGATTTGAGTCTGGGTAGTCTGGCCCCAGAGTCTGTGCTCCTAACCATTAGCTTCTTCACTGCTCATCAAAAATTATTGTGTAGGGGAAAATCCACCGACAGAAAAATATGTTCATGTTATGTTTCATTTGTATCTTCAGCTAATATTTCTAACCCTTCAAGGTCTGAGAATCCACAGGAAACTGGAAAGGGCAGGGCAGGGAAGGGGCTTTCAGGCATGTCTGTCTTTTTTATTGGTGGTGCTCTCTTCATTGTCATTTCTAGTGAGAAAGTTTTAAAGATACTTTGTTTTGGTTTTATTTGTAATGATGAACAGCACACTGAGAATGGGGCAACTTCTAATCTTGACATTGCCTCTAACCAATTGGTGACCTAGTCTAGCCTAATTTTATTAATCTTTAAGTTGAGGTATATTTAGATAATACTATAATGCTTTTCCATTTTTATTGTTCTGAACTTTGTTGTCAATCTATAGGGCAATCAGCACATCCTTAGAGGCCAAAGGCAATGATGGATATGGTGTGAGTAAAAGGCCAGCTCAGATCTGGAAAGAATGAGTGGAGAGTAAAGAAAGCATGTGTCTTTAGAGGAGATTGAGATTTAATTTTCTCAGCTGGGCCTGCTGACTCCCTCTTGTCTTGAGTGTGCCCTCACGGAGATCCAATAAGCCTTTTCTTGTGGAATCTGCCCCCTGCCAAGCCCCTCAGCTTAGCTTCCTGTTTCAAGAATTGCCCTGAAACTTTCATTGGCAAACAACCAAAGTGGTGTCTGCATGGGGTAACACCATGCTTTGTACACTCTGAACAGAAGGGTCAAAAATTGCTTATAGCTCAGCTCCTTGCCTGGGGCTCTTCAACCCCTGCCTAGAGCTCTGGAAAGGGCAGGGCAGGGAAGGGGCTTTCAGGTATGTCTGTCTTTTCTGAATTTCTATAACTGAATTTCTGTTCCTGGAGTCTTGTCCTCCTAACACACAAGACCCATTGCATTCACATGGAATCAGTATCTGGGCCCAAAGCATAGCTTCGATTTAGACAGGACCTTCCACCTGATGACCAATATCTGTCTCTGATGGTACCCACTGGTCCCTGAATCTCACACTGGCTTCTGGTAAACTCAAACCAGGGGTGCTAAGAACAAATACAGGCCAGAGAGTACATAAGCCATCCTGAAGCTGCAGAAATATAGTGTGCTCCCAAACACCAAAGAAACATCAAGAAATCCTGGGCCCAGGAGGCTGAAATCCATTTTAATTCAACATTTATTTATTGGAGTCACTAAGGTCATTTTGTAGCATTGAGTGCTGTGAAGAATTCAAAGACCATTAACATCCAAGTCTGGGTTTTAGGCAAAATGGCGTACTGGGGAAGCACAACATGGGATGGAAAGCAGTTCTGGGATTTAACCCCAGCACTTCCGCCACCTACCGGTTGATGTTGGATGACTGACTTCACTTCTCTGAGCATCCATTTTCTTATTAAAATAAAGATGACATAAAAATAATAAGATATCAATACTAACTTCACAATAAATATGTTCATTGGTACACTTAATTAAAATAATCTAGCAAAGTATCTTGTTTAATAGAAGTAATGGCTTTTATTAGGATCTTGTTATGCAGCAAGCAAGGGAATACATGCCGTATCACATTTAATCTCCAAAACAGGCCTACAAGATAAGTTCTCTTTCCATGCTCATCTTAAAGATGAGGAAAACAAGGCTGATAGATATTCCTTAAAAATTACTGGAGTTAGGCCAGGTACAGTGGCTCATGCCTGTAATCCCAGCACTTTCGGAGACCAAGGCGGATGGATCACCTAAGTCAGGAGTTCGAGACCAGCATGACCAACATGGTGAAACCCGTCTCTACTAAAAATACAAAAATTATCCAGGCATGATAATGTGTGCCTGTAATCCCACTTACTCTGGAGGCTGAGACAGGAGAATCGCTTGAACTCAGGAGGTGGAGGTCACAGTGAGCCAAGATCATACCACTGCACTCCAGCCTGGGCAACAGAGCGAGGCTTTGTCTCAAAAAATCAAAAAATTACTGGAGTTATAGAGAATCCCAAATCCCATGGAGACCCTCACTTGCACTCTCTGGCATTTACATTACTGAACTTTGTTACATCAGTTTGCATGCTCCTTACCTCTTCCAAATCAGCACAAAATATTCATGCTCTTCTTAGTTGCTCTCAAGGAACTTATCTCTTAGTGGCCACGCCACACTTGTCAAGAGCAGAGTTGCTAGAATCATCTCTTGTGCCCTTTGACGCACATTCCTGGCCTCCCATTGAGCACCCTGTTCCAGAAAAAGAAGGAAATGCCTGCTCTCCAGCCCTGAAACCAGCAGATATGGAGCCAAGGCCTTCTCTTGCCCACCATTCCCTTGAGACCAAGTCCAGGACAGAGTGGGAACACTTCATAAGATTCCTCAATGTTTTGTTTCTACCTTACAAGAGCACAAGTCAATTCCACCTGACATTCTCCCCCTTCCACCCCAAATCTCTCTGCAAGGTCCTTTTCGAGGCACTTTCAGTTTGGTTCCTAGGACCAATGCTTTGGACGAACAAAGATGTGGAGTCTCCCCTATAAGGCTGTAGACAGAGCGAGAGCAACCTGTTTCCCTAAAATGGAACTGCACATGTGCAGAAGGAGCTGCTGAACATCTGTCCCTGGTGACTTCCTCTGGGTAATGCAAGACCCCATTTCCCATAAATTTCTGTGGCACCTTTATTTGTGATTATGCAAGAGTTTCTGCTTCATTGAGTACACTAAATGCTTGCTCTCAAAGGTAATTTTTTCCTGTCCCATAAATGCGTGATTCTTTCAGTACCCACAGAGATTATAATTAGAAATGGTTTAAACACAATCTGTGTGTGTGTGTGTGTGCGCGCGCGTGTGTGTGTGTAAAATCTGCAAGTCATCACAAGATATAAATCAGTTTCATCTGTTAATATACATGAGACACTTAAATAAAACTCTAGGAAATAGAATCCAACAAGGTACTGAAAGAATAATAACCATAATCAGTAGCATTTCTTTTGGGAATGCAAAAAAACAACAAAAACAATCATTCAAAAGGAAAGCGTTGGTCACCTTTGGAGGATGCTTTGAAAACTGGAAAATAAAGAGAAAGAACAATGAATTCTGCCTTTCCTTTGTGAACTGTTCCTCAGGGCAACCAAATAATTGTGAAGGGAATGTTTCTCTTGCCAGAAGTATTACAACTAGCAAATGAAGAAATCATGTTAAAATAAGTATATTACCATTTTGTAATCCCTAATGCATTAGTGGAGCTGGGCAATGATATCAACAGCTGTTAACATTAAAAAAAGAAAAAAGTGAGAGGCCAGGCACAATGGCTTATACCTGTAATCCTAGCACTCTGGGAGGCCAAGGCAGGTGAATCACTTGAGGCCAAGAATTCGAGACAAGCCTGGGCAACATGGCAAAATACTGTCTGTACTAAAAATACAAAAAAAGAAAAAGATAGCTGGGTGTGGTGGTGCATGCCTGTGGTCTCAGCTGCTTGGGAGGCTGAGATGGGAAAACCAGCTGAGCCCAGGAAGTCAAGGCTGCAGTGAGCCAAGGCCACTGTACTCTAGCCTTGGCTACAGATGTCTCATAAAAAGATGTTTCAACAAAAGTGGGGGAAGCAACAATAATTATGCACCTTCTGATGAAAGAATGCACCACCATATATTCATGTTCAAAACTTGCATCTAAATCTGATCGAGGCTGGGTGCGGTGGTTCTCACCTGTAATCTGAGCACTTTGGGAGGCTGAGGTGGGTGGATCACCTGAGGTCAGGAGTTTGAGACCAGCCTGGCCAACACGGTGAAACCCTGTCTCTACCAAAAATACAAAAATTGGCCAGGTGTGGTGGCGAGTGCCTGTAGTTCCAGCTACTCAGGAGGCTCAGGCTGAAGAATCCTTGAATCTGGGAGGCAGAGGTTACAGTGAGCCAAGATCATACCACTGCAACTCCAGCCTGGATGACAGAGCAAGATTCCATTATAAATAAATGAATGAATGAATAAATCTGATCAAGCCTCTGGTACCAATTTACATGAAATGGCAGGAACAAAAGAACATGTTATGTTGCATGACTTCTCAGAGATGCAATCAGCAAGCATAGATTGTGGTACAGTAGGGCAAAGGATCTGGTTTCTTAACAAATTAAAAGGGGAATAGGAGAAGCAACTGAATAATATATAGATTTTAAAGCTGAGGAGATCTTGACACATTCTGATACAAGGAGGAGGAACTTCATTCCCTCCCCTTGAGTAAGGGCTGGACTTGGTGACTTACTTTTGGTAAACAGAGTGTGGAAAGAGGAAAATGTTACCTTCATAGTGAAGAGACCTGGCAGACATTGCCATAACCAAGTGATCAGGTTAACGAATGCATCCATTCAAAAGAAGCAGCGACACTCCACTCCAGCCTGCCACAGACTAAGACTCCATCAGAAAAACAAAAAAGAAAAGAAATGTCGGATAATCTCACCTCCCAGAAATAATAATGTTTAACGTGGTTGTTTTTTTAAAATCTGGAATTATTAAAGAACTATGTCTTATGATTATCTCTTCACTCAGCAATATACTTTTACAATGTAACTGTCTCACATGACTTTAACACTCAGATAGGGAAATAAGCTCCCATTCAAAAGCATAGCAAACATAAATATACCTAGGCGAAGCACCAGAGGATAGAAACAGGTGATTTGCAGAATGAGAACTCTCAAAAGCTAACAGTCATATGAGCGGTGCTCACAAATGTTAATAATCCAGGAAATGCAAATTCGTGCAGCAATGAGATATAATTTTAGACCTGTTAGATTGGCAAATATTAGGAAGCTCAGTAAAGCTGCATGTAGGGGTGTGTGGGGTACAGCAACCTCACGCACTGACCTCCTAATTGGACAAACTGAAGAATCCCCCAGTGTGTATGGCTTGATGGAAGGCAGGCTCCAGCTTCCACCAGGGATGCTGCAGGATGCGGTATATTTCCTTTCCACGCCTGCTGACAGGCAGGGCCTGGGCACACTCTCTGCGACTGACCACTCAGGTGAGCCTTTCTGAGACTTTGAATCAGGGGCTAAAGATACAAAGACATCAGAAAAGTGAGCGATTCTTCCCAGAAGAAGCAGCGGACTCCAGAGCCCAGCAGAATGGCTGTGGGTGTCCAGTGGTGTTGGTGCCTGTGGCAGAGTCCTCCCAGGACTGCTTCTGTGCCTGCCTTATCAGTATTCTTCCCAGCTTGGAGACCCTGGGTCCCCATCCAGGACTGCTCAGTTCTTCAGCTTTCAGGAAGATGGAGCAAACACACTTCTCCCTATTCCTCCCAGTAAGGAAAACTAAAACTCTGGACATTTGGGAAATTTTCAGTCATTATTTCTTCGAATACCTTTTCATCCTCGTCTTCTTTCTCTTCTTCTGCAACTCCGATGATACAAACATTGGACTTTGTGATAGTCTCACAGGTCCCTGAAGCTCCGTTCATGTTTTTCAATTTATTTTTTCTCTGTTTTTCAGTCTGGGTAGTTTCTCTAGTTACAGCTCCCAGTTCAGTGACTTTTTTCCTCTGTCTCCTCCATTTGGCTATTGAGTCCATCCATTTATTTCGGTTATTGTATTTTTTAAATAAATTTAGTTTGTATATAAAGCAGATGTAAGAATATTCTGAAAAGTGGAAAAAAGAAGGCAGACCAGCTAGGAACCGTGGGACAGAGTAGGGTGTTCTCCGGGCTTTCATTTTGCTTCATGTATCTGGGCTTTCATTTTCTTCAGTTCTATGTGAAGCCTTCATGTAGGGAGGGCTTCACGTAGAACTGAAGAAACTGGCGATCTGGAAACTGCAGTGTTTGAGATGCAGGAAAAGGCCCCACAAAAGCCTCCTCCCTCTAGACAAAGCAAAGACAAAACAGAAAGCAGAAAAGGGGCAGCCTCACAAGATAGAAAACTTTAATATAACCTCTCTACTCCAGCCAAACACCACAGAAAAACACTGTGGCCCCCACCCACACTCACACAAGCAAAGGCAGGGTGGAGATCCTAGAATTCTACCCACCCCAGGCCGTAAAGAGGCACCCCAACTCTCCCCCATGGGCTCCCTGCAATATCAGTGAAGACAATGGGGGAGCCTGGGCTTCCACTCCCATCCAGCAATAATGAGGTGCCCCTCTCCACTCTGCTGGGGCAGTGTCCCAGAAAACCCACAGGAGGGTCATTACCCACTAGTGGTAATGAGGCCACCACCTCCTGTAGTGTCAGTAGAGACCGCTTGGGGAGCAGTCACAAGGCACCCCACCCAACTGCCCCACACGTCAGGGAGGTCTTAGTAGAGGCCTAAGGAGAAGCTGGAATTCCCATTCCCACCACCAGTAATGAGGAGAGAAAAGAAAGAGGGCGAAATGAAATGAAATGTCAAGAATGAAATGGGATATCGCTGCAGACTCTGTATACATCAGAAGGATAGTAGGGGAATACTACAAACAACTCTACCCACATACATTTGACAGCTTAGGTTAAACAGGCCAATTCCCCAAAAACTTCAACTCACCCAATATGAATTGGAATTTTTAAAACTGAATTTGTAATTTTAAAACTCAAATTAAAAAAAAAAAAATCTCCTAGACCAGGTGGGTTCACTGGAGAATTCTACCAAAGTTTAAAAAAAGAAGCAACACTTATTCTACAAAATCCCTTCCAGAAAAATTGAAGATGAGGGTAGACTTTCCCATTTATTTTATGAAACTAGTACTAAATCTTATACTCAAACCAAAAAAAAAGATAGTACAAAAAACAAAAGACTAATATCATGAACATAGAGGCAACTTTTTAAAGAAAATTAGCAAGTAGAATTCAATGATGTAAAGAAAAGTACACGCAATGACCAAGTTGAGGGCGACTTGGGCTGGCCTGCAGGTGCCATCCACGGCCTGATGCCGTGGATGGTGGCAGGAGACAGATAGGCTCCTGGAAGAAAGGGGTGGCTCCCCAGTGAGGCCCCACCTTCAGGGTAGGGAGGGCCTAAAGGCTGGGGGCCAGGCTGCCAGTCCTACAGACCAGAGTGGGAGCTTGCGGTGCCTTTTCTGGGCCCGCCATTGCTGCCCATGGACCATCTGGCAAACACTTCCTCCCTTCTGTGTCCCATAATACCACTGGGCTCAGCCGGAGCTCAGCAGACATCGGGATGACACAGCAGAAAGGAGCTACCCACTCAAGGGCCTTCTCTGTGCTGAGAGCTGCATGCAAAGAGGAGCTTCCCACTCCTGGGCCTCCTTTCTGCTAGGAGCTGAACCCTGGCTGTGGAAAGGAGCTACCCACTGCAGGTTTCCTCTGAGCTGTTCTATCACTCAATAAAGCTCCTTTTCATCTTCCTCACCCTCCACTTGTCTATGTCCCTCATTCTTCATGGTCGCAGGAAAAGAACTTGGGACCCATTTAATGGCAAGGCTAAAAGAGCTATAACACAAACAGGGTTGAAACATGCCTCTTGCTCACCGCATTGAGGGTGAAGAGAAAGAAAGAACAGCAGCCCTTCTGGGACCCCAGACGTGGGAGCTCCCCAAGCCAGGGCTATGACTTCTTTTGGGAAGGCCTGTGGTTCCTGGCATCTCCAAGCTTCCAGGCACCACTGTGTTCCTGGGTATCAGCTGCAGAAGCTGTGTGCAGTGCACCTGGCCCAGCCACAGCCTCACAGAGAGCTAGTGCACATGCCAGCACCTGGAGCTGCCCACCCCACTGCAGCAGCGGGTACATCTGACTGCACAGTGGCTAGACCCCGTGCTCACTCACACACTCCTTGCCAATCCATGCCTGACTTGACTTTGGCAGACATGGGATTTAGGCTGGTAGCATGAGCTGAGCACAGCCTACCAGGCCAAGTGGGCAGAATGAGCCCAGCAGACCCAAACAAAACTTGGGCAAAGGCGCCACTGGCCACAGAGGTTTATGGTCAGAAAAGCAACCCCCCAAAGATCCTGTAACAAAGTGAGGCTTACTGTGGGAATGCAGGTCTATTTTACTATTCACAAATCAATCAGCATAATCCACCATATTAACAAGATACAAAAGAAAGTTGATCTTACCAATCAATAACAGAAAGAGCATTTGACAAAATACCCATTCATGGTTTTAAAAACTCTCAGGAATATAGAAATAGAGGGAATTTATCCTAACTTGGTAAAGAGCATCTAAAACAACTCTACAGCCAGCTTCATACTTAACAGTGAAAGACTGAATGGTTGCACCCTGAGAACAGGAACAGGGCAAAGATGACTGCTCTTAACATTATTGTTAAACAGTGTTGGAAGTTCTAACCAATGCAATAAGGTAAGAAAAGGAAATAAAAGGCATACAGATCAGAAAGGTAGGAACAAAACTGTCCCTATTTGCAGATAACATGCTTATCTAAGTAGGAAATCTCAAAGATCTACCAAAAATAAGACAAAAAACAAAAACTCCTGGAACTGATAAGCAAGTTCAGCTAGACTGCAGGAATATGTTGTATTTCTTTATGCTAGCAATGAACACATGGGCACTAAAATTTAAAATACAGCAGCATTTACAATTTATCAAAAAACAAAATACTTAAATCCAACAAACACGTACAGGGCTTGTATGCTGAGAACTACAAAATGTTGATGAAAGAAATTTTAAAAATCTAAAAAACTGAATGAACATACCTATTTACGGCTTGGAAGACTTACCATGGTAAAACTGTCAATTCTTCCCAAGTTGATATAAGGGTTTAATGCAATTCTTACTGATACAGTGTAACTGGGTTCTCCTCTAACACCTAATTGGGAAAAAGGGCAAGCAGGTTTTACTCCTGGCCAGGAATGGAGGAAGGAGCTCTTTCTCTAAAGACTCCTTCTCCCTGAGATATGGGAAGCTGGGGGATTTTAAAGAGTCACATGTGGGGCAGGGAGGTACGTTTTGTGTGGGGAGGAACTCCAGATGTGCAGGTGCAGATCATGAACATGCTTCTTCATATAATGTATTTTCAGAAAACAGCCACAATTCTCTTCTATGGATGAGGTTTTAGCATTATGATGATATGTTAATGATCTAAAGGTAGCATGGGGTCTCTGGTTCAGGTTTGCCCTGGTTTCACACAGGCCTTATCTTCCTCTGATAATTGGCAAAGGGTCCTGCAGCTCCTGGACCATCTGGAGTTCTTTTAAGCAAGATTAACTGTAGAAAAAGAAACTAGAAAAATCTGTTTAAGAAAAAAATAATGAGTTTTTTCAGTTATCTACTGTTTTAAAAAATAATGAGCTTTCTTGGCTGTATCTCCAGAGCTGCCCTGGTAACACTATCAAAATCCCAGCAGGGCTTTTTGTAGATATAGGCAACATTGTTTGAAACTTTGTATGGAAAGGCAAAGGCACTGGAATAGCTAACACAGGTTTGAAAAAGAATAATAAAATGGGAGGAATCCGTCTGCAGTAATCAAGACTGTGTGGTATTGGAGGATGGACAGACACACAGATCGATGGAATATAACAGAGAATCCAGAAATACACCCACACAAATATGTCCAACTGACATTTTACAAAAGTACAAAAGCAAATCACTGGACAAAGGATAGTCATTTCAACACAACAAAAAAAAAATGGTGCTGGTACAGTAAGACATCTATAAGAAAAAAAAAAGGAAGAAGAAGAAAAAAACGAAAGAGAGAAAGAATATCACCTCACCCTAGGTCTCACACCTTACATTAAAATTAACTTAAAATCAATCTCAGATTTAAATTGTAACAGATAAAACTTTCAGAAAAAAAAATAGGAGAAAATATTTGGGATCTAGATAGTGAGGCAAAGAATTGACAACAAAAGCACAATCCATTAAAGGAAAAATTGGACTTCATCAAAATTAGACATTTTTGTTCTGCAGAAGACCTTGCTACAAAGATGAAAAGACATGCTACACACCAGGAGAACATATTTGCAAACCATTCATACAGCAAAGAACTAGCACCGAAAATGTACCAGTACTTTGTTTTATAAACGGTTTGCAAATATTATTATATATCCTCTTATATAAGGAATTCTCAAACCTTAACAGAAACAAAAAGCAAATTAGAAAATGGGCAAAAGACATTTCACCAAAAAATATATACAGACAGTAAGTAAGCACATGAAAACATGTTTAACATCCACTAGGGAAGTACAAATTAAAAACACAATGAGATATCACTGCATCCCCATCAGAATGATGAAAATAAAAAATAGTGATAACCAGGATGTGGAGAAACTGGGCCACTAGTACATTGCTAGTGAAAATGTAAAATGGTACCACCACTCTGGAAAACAGTTTGACAGTTTCTTAAAAAACTAAGTATGAAACTACCATAAGATCCAGCAATGGCAATCATAAGCATTTATCCCAGAGAAATGAAAATTTGTCTTCACTCCAAAAAATAGACATGGATATACGTAGCAGCTTTATTTATAATAACTAAAAACTGAAAACAATCTAGACATCCTTCACTGGGCAAATGGTCACATAAACTCTGGTGCATGCACACCATAGAATACTACTCAAGTGATCAAAAGGAATGAGCTATTAATACATGCAACAGCCTCTCCAGAGAATTGTGCTGAGGCAAAAAAAGTTACATACTGTCTTGGTGCTTGAGGGCTCAGGAGGGTATCTACATGTCAGTAAACCCCCAACTACAACTGGTGTCCAGGTTCTTGGCACCATCACAAGAAAGAATTCAGGGATGAGTCAGAATAAAGCTAAAGGCAAGAGAAGCTTTTATTGTAAATTGAAAGTACACACTTAAGACAGAAGTCCGAACCTGCTTGAGAGAACAGGTCACACATAGTGAAGTTTGGGTGTCTAATTTTATGAGTGTTTCTTTAATTAGGGGGTAGAGGGTAGAATAGTCTGAAAAATGAGGGAATTTCAGGGACATCTCCCCCTCCAGTTATTATCCCCTTTCTGCCTAATTTGGATTTGCTGGAAGAGTCATGGACATTATCACCCTGACCTGAGTTTTAGCCATTTTTACCCATTTTTTTTTTTTTTTTTTTTTTGGAAACAGAGTCTCACTCTGTTGCCCAGGCTGGAGTGCAGTGACATGATCTCAGCTCACTGCAATCTCCACCTCCCAGGTTCAAGTGATTCTCCTGCCTCAGCCTCCTGAGTGTAGCTGGAACTACAGGTGCCCGCCACCACTCCCAGATAATTTTTGTATTTGTAGTAGATGTGGGGGTTTCACCGTGTTGGCCAGGCTGGTCTCGAACTCCTGACCTCAAGTGATCTGCCTGCTTCGGCCTCCCAAAGTGCTGGGATTACAGGCATGAGCCACTATGCCCAGCCTTTACCTAGTTCTTATTTGAGTTTTTCCATCCTCCTGCGACCACCCAGTATTGTTCCCATCGCAGTATCATTCTGTTTGTATAGCATTCTTGTGACAAAATTTTACCAATGGAAAACAGCTAAGCTGTTGCAGGAGTTAAAGAGGGGATGCGATTGGGAGGAAGGGAGTGTGGCTACAACAGGGCACCATGAGGGATGCTGGTGCTGATTGACGTGTTCTGTTACTGACTGTATGATTGTCAATATCTTGGCTGTGATATTGTTTTCCAAGGTGTTATCACTGGAGCATATTGAATTAAGTGTATCGTTTCATACAAATGCATGTGAATCTACAATTATCTAAACATGAAAGTTTAATTTATAAAGAAGGATCTTGGGAATGATCTACACACAATGTGGGCTAGCTATGACTTCTGGGATGGAAAAGGGAAGAGGAAAAGAAAAGAAACTAAATCACCTACAGCACTGAAGCGTGTACCTTACGTTTGCAGTGAGTACAGATTTTCAAAATCAAGCATGTAACCCCCTAAAAATGACTTTCCCATCATGACTTTCCTTTGTCCCGCTGAGTGGTATTCCACGGTATGTGTGCACCACTGTTTAACCAGCCATTTGCCCAGTGAAGTACAGCTAGGTTGTTTTGGTTTGGGTTGTTATAAATAAAGCTGCTATGTACATTCATGTCCATCTTTTGGAGTGAACATAAATCTTCATTTCCCTGGATTACATGTCCAGGAGTGTGACTGCTGGGTCATATAGTATCTTCCATCATCCCTTTAAATCTGTACAGCAGGGCTAGCCCTTGCCCTGCACCTGGATGGGACCTCAGGCAGGCAGTCCCCATAACCTCTCTGATTGCTCTTAGGTAATAAACAACTAGTAGTTAGTTATACAAGGAGCTACATGTCTGACTCTGAGTCCCCATTCTGCTTGATGAAGATCTAATCTAGTCACATTTTGATAAACTAAATCAAACTCAGAGACTTCTGAGTCCTTTCAGATGGAGAAGTCAGACACAGCCAGAATTTGTTTTCTTCTTTCACCTCCTCTTCTTTAGGATGAATGCTGAACTTGGGGGATGGAGGGGTGCACAGATGCACTGCTGAGGCAGAGGTGGGGAGAGGATGTTGTTTATTCACCCCATCTTGGTAGAGATTGTTTCCATCTTTATCTGGCCTCCTGCTCCTGGGAGAAGCTGGTCTTTGGCCCTAGTGTTGCATGGGATTCCATGGACAGTGCTTGCATGGACCCCAGGCACTGATTCAGTGCCTCTTAGCCCAGTAGGGTGCTCATCCATGGTGTGGGACCACATCATCCACTGCTTCCAAGCAGGGCTGCCCCGGCCATGTCCTGACCAAACATGACTCATGGTACAAAATTATCAAGCAGCTTTATTTTTATGTTCCACTATCCCCTTAAATCTGTGTAATAGGGCTAGTTCTTCTCTTGCCCCTGGATGAGACCTCAGGCAGTCTTCATAACTTCTCTGATTGCTCATAGGTAATAAATAACTAGCAGCTAGTGTGACACTGAGTGAGGAGACCGCTGTGTGACTCTTGTGTCACCGCTTGCTCCCTAGGGGAGAGGCTGGCTTATTTGCTACTTGCCATAGTGTTTGCTGCTTGCTCAAAGTATGCTGAGCCTTTGGCCTTCAGTTCCACAGTTTCACAGCAGCCCATGGAGTGGGTAGCATCCATTCGAGCCCATGGAATCACCCGTGGGACCTGAGGGCAGGGAAACCAGCACAGTTCTGCAGATGCACATGCTGCTTGCTGTGCTTGGAGTGAGAAACTGTCTTGCTCTCATCTGTTGCCTGCTTTGGGCACCTCTAGAGCCGTGGCAGGTTTACTCCTGGCCATCCTTAGTGAGGCTGGGGCTCTTCCCTAACACCATGTCACACTGCACCAAGGGTAAGGAGCAGCTCCCTAGGGGAACTGACCCTCCTGAGCCATGTGTGTTAGACTCACAGGACCCCAGTTCCAATTCCGTACATGTGGTTTAGCCTTACCTAAGTATCTCTTTCTTTATTTCCAACTTTTGAGTTCTGGGGTACATGTGCAGGATGTACAGGTTTGTTACACAGGTAAACATGTGCTATGGTGGTTTGCTGCACGGAGCATCCCATCACCAGGTATTAAGCCCAGCATCCCTTAGCTATTCTTCCTGATGCTCTCCTTCCTGCCACCCCACCCTCTGACCCACATCCCAGTCTGTGTGCTGTTCCCCTCCATGCCTCCAGGTGTTCTCATCACTTAACTCCCACTTACAAGTGAGAACATGCAGTATCTGGTTTTCTGTTACTACATTAGGTTGCTAAGGATAATGGCCTCCAGCTCCATCCGTGTTCCTGCAAAGGACAGGATCTCGTTCCTTTTTATGCTACATAATATTCCATGGTGTATATGCACCACATTTTCTTTAACGTCTATCACTGATGGGCACTTACAGGATTTTCTTCTGCCACTTCTGTCTCTTTTCTACGGAGGCTGAAGCCCTTTGCAGAAAGCCACCACCACAAGACTTAATCCAAGTCGTCTTCACTCTCCTTCTTCTCCAATTTCTTGGAGAAAAAGGAAATCATCAGGTGATAATGCCCTAAATATCCCAAACTTCTTTGATAACTCTACCCCTACCTGCCTCTCATCTGCCTTTCCATCTCAGAGGCCAGGAAGGGGACTCCCCTCTAAAGCCAGAAAGAACCTGGCTTGGGAACTCCAGAGGAGGGGACTAGGGGCTTTGGAGTCAGAAAAAAAAACTGACTCCAAATGCCAGTGTGACTCCTCACCACTGTGTGGTTCTGACTCAGTTGTTAGCTCTCAGTGCATGATGGATGCTGGCAAACAGCGGCTAAATGAATGGGCTGTGTTGAGTTTGTTGGAGGATGTTCCTGAAATGCCCAGCAGAGGGCTCTGGTTGCACAGAAAAGACTCCGCCACTTCTCCGCCTGGGTTGAAAGCTCTCTGCCTGCCAAACCCCTTTGCCTCATTTCGGCCCCCATTTTGATGAACCTACCTCAATGCATAGCTCTGGGGAAACACTTTTTCGCAGTTACGTGTGTCACTGTGCTTCCATCAAAAAACCAAATCAGATAGTTTTACATTTTAATTACAATACTGCTTTTTCCCTGCCTACTTGAATTTTTTTCTGATGGGAGTAAGTCATGATTTCTCAACTGGGCGATAGAGCCCCCAAAGGAGTGAATATTGGTTCTTAGGAAGCCCCCCCAATCTTAGCTGTTACTTCTATTTGTGGCCCTCCAGAAGACCACAGTACATGAACAGACACACAGTATATCTGCAGTATTATATTTTCACGGGGAGGTGAACAATTAGAAAAAAAAAAAGTAAAATGGTTCCTTGGAGAAGCTATACGTTTAAAAATAAGAGTTGAGCAACACTGGATAGAGGGAAGATGAATCAAAAGAAGACACTATCATCGTCACACACTTGGAGTGAGAGACACGTAAGACAAGTGTGTCCTGGAACGTGGGGTACGCCTGAAACTGTCCGACCTCAGCAGTTGTAACTGGAGCTCTTGTCACTGTTTAGAACGCCCCAAGCACTCCACCACGACCCCCTGGAAAACTTAAGTTCCAGTGTTCTGCTCTGATCAACCCCAACGTTTCCTCTTGCTCCTTCCTACTCCCTCCCTCCAATCCCCCAACCCCAAGAAACCACTGGTCTATTTTGTGTCATCTAGATTAGTGAGCGTTTTCTAGAGAGTGTTAGATAAGTGGAATCATAGCCCAATTTGTTGTTTCATTCACTTGCTGGTGAATGAAACTTGCTGGTTGTGTCCAGTTTGGGGCTGTCATGAATAAAGCTGCTTTGACTATGAATGTACAAGTTTTTGTATGGACATATATGCTCTCATCTCTTTTTTTATTATTGTTCTTTTTTTTATTATTGCATTTTTAGGTTTTGGGGTACATGTGCAGAACATACAAGATAGTTGCATAGGTACACAAGTGGCAGTGTGCTTTGCTGCCTTCTTCCCCTTCACCCACATCTGGCATTTCTCCCCATGCTATCCCTCCCCAGCTCCCCCCACCGCTGTCCCTCCCTTATTCCCCCCAATAGACCCCAGTGTGTAGTGCTCCCTTCCCTGTGTACATGTGTTCTCATTGTTCATCATCCGCCTATGAGTGAAAATATGCGGTATTTCATTTTCTGTTCTTGTGTCAGTTTGCTGAGAATGATGTTCTCCAGATTCATCCATGTCCCTACAAAGGACACAAACTCATCATTTTTGATTGCTGCATAACATTCCATGGGGTATATGTGCCACATTTTCCCAGTCCAGTCTATCATCGTGGGCATTTGGGTTGGTTCCAGGTATTTGCTATTGTAAACAGTGCTACAATGAACATTCATGTGCATGTGTCTTATTATTTTCTTTTAGAGATAGGATCTCACTCTGTTGCCCAGGCAGGAGCGCAGTGATGGGGTCACAGCTCACTGTAGCCTCAATCTTTTGGGCTTAAACGATCCTCCCACCTCAGCCTCCAAGTAGCTAGAACTACAGTTGTACATCACCACACCTGATTAATTTTTAAAAATTGTTTCTCTTAAGTAAGTACCTAGAAGTAGGTACTTACTGGGTTCTATAGCAAGTATATGTTTGACTTTTTCACAAAGGGGCTGATTAAAGTCTCTTACCCCAGGCAGCTGGGCCCCTCTGGGGAGGGAGCCACCTTCTGTAATTCAAAAGGATTCTTTCCTAGGAAGACTTCTTAAGAGATGTCAAATATCCACCTCCATCCTTCAGAGAGCAGGGAGTTGGCAACCACATCCAGTTATGCCAAGACGATTTTCTGGAACCTCTCTCCAGAGGACAGAAAACACATATTACACATGTAATCTCTGGCATGACAGAATACATTTTCTATAATATAAAAATGTGAAAATACATTAAAGTATTTTAGGAGAGGCAACATTTTACCTTACCCTTTTAGAGCTTTTTTTCTAACTAAGCCTGAGAATGAAATTGACATGAGACAGATCAACAAGAGAAAAGCACACACAGTTATTTAACACGTTTTACCTGCCCAGGAGCCTTCCTAAGGAAACAAAGGTTCAAAGACGCTGTTATAGATGAATGCTTATAAGCTGAAATGGACAAAGTATCATCAGTCATGAAAATGGGACCAGGCAAAGGGGCTGGAGCTAGGGTCATTGGTCAGTTGGAGAAGTGACTGGGAAGATAGGAATTAGTTGAACCGGGTCTGTGTGTAAAGGTTTCCCCCAGCCTCACCTTCCTGTCTTTGATCATAAGAATGTTTCTTTCTGGTAAAGGGAGGACATCTTTCACATGGGAATTTTATCTCCTGCTTTTAAGAAACAGAAGGAAGATCAAGACAATCTTCTTGTACCTGCTGTTTTTCAAGTGCCTTTAACTCAAAATAGTCACTATGCCAGAGTGGCGTATTTTTAACTCCTTCAATATAAAGAATATAGTAGGCTGGGTGCGGTGGCTCATGCCTGTAATCCCAGCACTTTGGGAGGCTGAGACTGGTAGATCCCTAAGGTCAGGAGTTTGAGACCAGCCTGGGCAACATGGTTAAATCCTGCTTCTACTAAAAATACAAAAATTAGCCAGGCATCGTGGTGCGTGCCTGTAGTCCAAGATACTTGGGAAGCTGAGGCAGGAGGATCGCTTGAACCCAGGAAGCAGAGGTTGCAGTGAGCCAAGATAGTCCCACTGCACTCCAGCCTGGGCAACAGAGTGAGACTCTGTTTGAAAAAAACAAGCAAATAAAAGGGATAAAGTTAAATGGTCCATAATACTGCCACAGAGACGCAGGTATGGCTGACAGTCTGCTATATGCCTAGCCAGTCTTTTTCTTGTGCATATCATACATAGAAATGTCTGACCATTACAATTTAACATTCCTGGTCAGGTAGTTGAGGGTGATCACTCCTCAAAAAAAAAAAGGTCACAATCCTTCACTCAGTTTCCAAACCTGAACCAGTTTTAGGGTTTAAAACACATCAGCTGAAGGAGAGACTGGCTTCCTAGTAGGGCCCTGCAATACCATGACAGATGGCCACACGCTGGGGAAAGAGGAACACTCAAACATCGAGAACTATTAGCACAGGGTCCAAATTGACATTTACCCAGGAACCCAAAGCATCATTGTATCCTCCCTATTAAATTGGGGGCATATGAAGGGCAGGAAATAAATGGGATCCTGGCCCAAGTGTAGGTTACAGTGGGTTCACTAGACCCATTGGCCAACCCCATGGCCATTCCCCCAGTCCTCAATTGGAATAGACATGTTGGCAACTGGCACAGCTCCCACGCTGGTCCCTTGGCCCATGGGGTAAGAGCTATCAGAGTAGAGACCAGGGAAAGCCTCTGAAGTAGCCCCCAACACCAACCCAACGAGGAAACTAAAGTTTTTAAAATGTCACATCCATCCAAAGAGGAATATTAGAAACTCGAGCCGTCCTTAAAAACCTAAGTGATGCGGAGGTGAGAGTCCCCTCATAGCTTGTTCACCAGTCTGGCCCCTGCAAAACCCAGACTTATTCTGGAGGATAACAGTGGACTGCTGCAAACTCTGCTGGACAGCAGCCCCAGTGCAGCTGCTGTGCCAAGCAGGGTACCTTTGCTAGAACAGATGAGCACAGCCTCGGACACCTGGCATGCAGTTGTCAATGCAGCTAATGTATTCTTTTCCATCCCTATCAAAAAACAGGATCAGAAGCAGTTCACATTTGGAGTGGAAAACAGCATCCATGTACAGTCTTTCCCTGGGGTTATCTCAGCTCTTTGGTGCTGTCATGACATAATATGAAGAGACCAGAACTGGCTGGACATCCACAGAACATCACACTGGTCCCCTATATCAATGACATATGCTAACTGGACTGGGACCTTGGTAAGACACAAGCCCTTCAGAGGGTGCAAGACTAAACTCTTCAAAAGTGCAAGGACTTCCAGATAGATTTTAAAAAATGGGTCCCAGTGTTCTGAAGCATGCTGGAACATTCCCCCAAAAGTAAGGGCAAGGCTTTCTTATCTTTCATCTCCCACCATCACCAAGAAGAAAGCACCATGCCTATAGACTTCTTTGGGTTCTAGAGGCAGCATATTCCAAACGTAAGGATACTGCTCTGACCGAAGTGCCAGGTAAAAGGAAAGGCTGCTGCTTTTGAGAGGGACCAAGAGCAGAAAAGAGCTCTTCAGCAGGTCCAGGCTGCAAAGCAAGTATTCTTGAAGCTTTGGCCACACGACCTAGCAGGCCCTTTGATATTAGCGATATTGGCGGTCAGAAAAGACATTGAGTAAAGTATATGGCAAGTCTCACTGGGAAAATCACAACTCAGATCCCCATGGTTCTGAAGCAAGCCATGCCATCTGCATCAGAAAATTACACACTTTTTAATAAATAGTTCTGTATTAGAGCTCTCCAGAGAGACACAATCAATAGGATCAATCTTTCTAGATTAATAAATCAAACTAGAAAGAGATAGATGTATTGGGGGAATTGGCTCACACACTCACAGAGGCTGAGAAGTCCCACAACAGGCCTTCTGCTGGAAACGCTGGGATACTGGTAGCATGGCTGCCCCAAAGCCTCAGAACCAAGAAGTTGCTGGTATAATTCTCAGTCTGAGGCCAAAGGCTTGAGAATCCAGGGGGCTGCTGTTGTAAGTCCAGAGACTGACATAAGTCCAGAGGCTGGAGAGCCTGGAGTTCTGGAGTTCTGATGTATAAAGGCAGGAGAAAAAGAGTATTCCAGCTCCAGGAGAAAGAGGGAGAGAGAGAAGGGGAGAGGGAGAGAGAATTGTGTTTTTTTCTGCCTATTTTTGATCTATCTGGGGTACCAGCTGATTGAATGGTGCCTGCCCACAATGAGGGCAGATGTCCTCCTCTTAGTTCACCAACTCCCAGGCCAATGTCCTCTGGAAACACCCTGGCAGACATACCCAGAAGTGATGCTTTACAAGTTCTCTAGATATACCTTAATCCAGTCCAGCTGACACCTTAAATTAACCATCACAAGCTCCTGAGGGCTACTTGGCCCTGGAAGGGAAGGAGCACCTGACCATGGGAGAGCCAACAATCGTGCAGCCAGAACTATCCACAGTAAGTCAGATATTTGTCAGATCCACCAAGCTGTAAGCTCAGGTGGGCCCAGCAGTATGCCAGGATAGAAGTGGGACATGGACGATTGAACAGAAGGAGGACCAGATGGCATAAGCGAGCTGCGTGAGCAGGTAACCAGACCCCTGTCTCATCCACCTGTTGCCTTGCTCTCAGTTCATACGGATGGCTGCATGGGGTTGGAGGGAAGGATCCTTTATGACCAGCCCATAGAGGAGGAAGAAGCCTGAGCTTGGTATATGGGTCAAGTGCCCAGTTTTGATGGTAAATGGACATGCACATCCATCATGGCCTCATACATGAGAGGCATGGTGACCAAGAAGGGCTCAGATCACTTAGGAATGAAGGTTGGGGTCATACGACCAGGTAAGCTAGCAAGCCCAGCAGAGGTGCTGAGGGTGAGGGAACCTGGAAGAGAGTAGAGGTTTTCTGAGCAGCTGCCTATATCAGCAGCTCTTTGCTGCAAGGAATATTAAATGTCTTACATATTTAAACCACTGTAAGTTGGGCTTTTGTTCTGACTGATACAGTATTTCTAACAATAGCATATGGCTGGGTTTTGTTCTTCAATCCTATTTAATGATCTTTGAGTTTTAAAAGAAGAATTCGACTCATTTGAGGTTTGTGTAAACCTGGATATAATTTACTTTATTTCTTCCACTTTAACTCAGGTTCACTATTTATTTGACTTTGTCCTTTCTCTCGTTCTTTTTTGTTTTTGTTTTTGATGGCTTGGTAACGTGGCCACTTATTAGATTTTCATTTTCCTGTAGATTTTTTTCTTGTAGATTTTCTTATAGATTCTTACAGATTTCTTAGAAAAGCTCTATACATTTCCGTGCCACACGTGGTTCTTTTTTTTCACATTCAGAATAAAATACGTAATTGCAATTATATAATCCTCCATTATGTGAGGAAAGCATCTATTTCCCCCACATTAAAGTGACCTATTTATTTATTATTTTGACATGGAGTTTCACCTGTCGCCCAGGCCAGTACAGTGGTGCTATCTCAGCTCACTGCAACCTCTGCCTCCCAGGTTCAAGTGATTCTCCCACCTTAGCCTCCCAAGTAGCTGGGATTACAGGGGCCCACCACTACGCCCAGCTGCTTTTTGTATTTTTAGTAGAGACAAGGTTTCACCGTGTTAGTCAGACTGGTTTCAAACTCCTGACCTCATGATCCATCTGCTGTGGCCTCCCAAAGTGCTGGGATTACAGGTGTGAGCCACCGCGCCCAGCCAAAGTGACATATTTATAATACTTTTATATCTCATCAGCCCCCAAAGATATTGAAACGCTTTTATTCTCCATCTTCTTCTGCCCCTTCCCAAATTAGTAGGTCGAGATCCTCCAGGACTTACAGTCTGACATTACCACTAGTCTTTCTCTTAGGATTCCTCTTCTCTCAGAAGTCTGTAGATATACTTACAGCATAATTTGCTTCCAGGGATGCAGATGAGCAGTCCAATGCCATCTCATTGTTTCTTTGTAAGTTATTTATTTTCCCTCTCTAGAAACTAATACGCTTTTATGTTAATACTTGAATTTCAGTCATTGTTTTCAGGACATGGCTAAAGATGAGTATTATTTTGTGTCAGTTCTGTTTGGAATTCAGTGGGTTCTTCAAATCAGCAGATCAAGTCTTTATTGGAAAATTTTCAAGGACAATTTCCTCTATTATTTGTTTAATTATTGCCTGTCTTCTATCTGCTTCATTTTACAAATTTCCATTATTCTAATAATAATAATCCCAACACAGAATAATCCAAACATGCAAGTATTTGGTTGCCTGCATCATTTCCTCAAAGTCTGTTTATTTCACATCTTAATTTTCCTCTCTTTGCTTTTTTGATTTGTGTTTTGTTTCATTTCTCCATTTGGTATTCTAGGTCAAGTTTTCAACAGTGGCCCTGCAATACGATTCATTTCCTGAAATTTTTAGTCTGAAAATGAGATTTTCTTTAGATCCAGAACATGTGTGTGTGTAGGGAGGTGTGTGCACGCACAAGTGTGTGTGTGTTTCTGCACACTGCATTTGTGGTTCCTTACGTGTTGTTGTCATCGTTGTTTTTAGTTCAGGCTACCCTCTCTCCCCTCAAGTAGGTCTGTAGCTGTTGTTCTCTGCAATATGCCAGTTCTTTCACTTCCTCACTTCTGGGTCCCCTTGGTATTTTCCTTTGCTGACCCACTGGGGCCCATGTTCAGCTGCTGGAGATCTAGAGCAAGGCCAATCTCTGGAGTAATAGATGGCCCAACAGTCTTTGACTTGCTGGGTCTACGGGCAAGTGTTGGTCTCAAAAGGTCTCCCCCTGCCGTCTAGTCTCTTCAGCGGCAAAGACTGGCATTTTCCCAGTGAGGAGAGGATTTAGCATTTTTGTTTTCCCCCACAGCTTTGTGTGAGCTGGAGCAATGAGCCCAAAGAATGCTCACGTGGGTAGCTGAGGCCTCTCCCTTGGGAGGTCCTTAGATTTCTGTAGCTCAAGTGTTCCCAGATTTCACTTTTCTTCTGACCATTACTCTGGGCCCTGCGCCTCTGGTCCCTGGGCTGTCATGGAGCTCAGAAGCAGAAAGTTGCTTTGCCAGCTCCCTTCTTCTGGACCCCAGAGATGCACTAGATCTCTAAACCCCAGAAGCTACTTGGCTCACAAAAGATTCAGCAGCTAGTTTTAAATTGAAGGATGGAGGCAGTACAGATGTATTCAACAACCATCTCCACAGAATTCTCAGGGGAAATTTCACTATATTCTAATATGTTCACAGACCACAATGCAATAAAACTAGAAATCACCAAAGAATAGCCAAACAAACAAAAACCTCATTACCAACAAAACCCCTAAAGACATGAATATTCAAAATCCACTCTTTTAACTATCTGTTGGGTTCAAGAGAAAAATTAAAGTAAAAACTATAAATTATTTCTAATGAATAATGAGGGCACAAAAATATTTAAAAATCTATGAACTATGACATAAGAAGAATTCAAAGGAAGATATATACAGGCATATCTCAGAGATAACGCAAGTTCAGTATCAGACCACCACAATAAAGCTAACGTTGCAGTAAAGTGAGTCATATGAATTTTTTGGTTTCCCAGTGCATATAAAAGTTATGTTTCCTCTATACTGTTGTGTATTAGGTGTACAATAGCCTTATGTCTATAAAATGTATACATCTTCATTTTTAAATACTTCATTGCTAAAAAATGTTGATGATCATCTGAGCTTTCGGTGAGTCGTAATCTTTTTGCTGGTGGTGGGTCTTACCACAGCGTTGATGGCTACTGACTGATCAGAGTGGTAGTTGCTGAAGTTTGGGATGGCTGTGGCAATTTCTTAAAATAAAACAACAATCAAGTTGGCTGCATCAATCAACTCTTCCTTTCATGAAAGCTTCCTTAGTAGCATGTGATGCTGTTTGATAGCAGTTTTTCCCACAGTAGAACTTTCAAAATTGGAGTCAATCCTCTCAAAACCTGCAGCTGCTTTACAACAAAATGTACGTAATATTCTAAAGCCTTTGTTGCCATTTTAACCATGTTCATAGAATCTTCACCAGAAGTAGTTCCCCTATCAATGAATTGCTTTCTTTGAGCATTTATAAGAAGTAACTCTGCTCTCATTAAAGTTTTATCATGAGATTGCAGCAATTCGGGCACACCTTCAGGCTCCACTTCTAATTCCAGTTTTCTTGCTGTTTCTATCACATCTGCAGTTACTTCCCATTGAAGCCTTGAATCTCTCAAAGTTATCCATAAAAGTTGGAATCAACTTCTTCTAAAATCTTACTAATGTTGATATTTTGACCTCTTCTCCTGAATCACAAGCGTTCTTGTTGAGGTAATCTAGAATAGTGAGTTATTTCTAGAAGGTTTTCAGTCTATTTTTCCAGCCTCATCAGACGAGATGCTATCTATGGCATCTATAGCATTACAAAATGTATTTCTTAAATACTAAGACTTGAGGCCAGGTGCGGTGGCTCACACCTGTAATCCTAACACTTTGGAAGGGTGAGGAGGGCAGATCACAAGGTCAGGAGTTCAAGACCAGCCTGGCCAACATAGTGAAACCCCATCTCTACTAAAATATAACAAAAATCAGCTGGGCATGGTGGCAGATGCCTGTAATTCCAGCTACTCGGGAGGCTGAGGCAGGAGAATCGCTTGAATCTAGGAGGCGGAGGTTGCAGTGAGCCAAGATCACACCACTGCACTCCAGGCTGGGCAACAGAGTGAGACTCAGACTTTCTCTATATCAGCAATAAGGCTATTCTGTTTTCCTATCATTCATGTGTTCTGAAGTAGCATCTTTAATTTCCTTCAAGAAGTTTTTCTTGGCCGGGCGCGGTGGCTCACGCCTGTTATCCCAGCACTTTGGGAGGCCGAGGCGGGTAGATCATGAGGTCAAGAGATCAAGACCATCCTGGTCAACATGGTGAAACCCCATCTCTACTAAAAATACAAAAATTAGCTGGGCATGGTGGCACGTGCCTGTAGTCCCAGCTACTTGGGAGGCTGAGGCAAGAGAATTGCTTGAACCCAGGAGGCGGAAGTTGCGGTGAGCCGAGATTGCGCCATTGCACTCCAGCCTGGGTAACAAGAGTGAAACTCCGTCTCAAAAAAAAAAAAAAAAGTTTTTCTTTACATTCAGCACTTGGCCGATTGGTGCAAGACGCCAAGCTTTTGACCTATCTTGGCTTTCAACAGTCCTCCCTCAGTAAACTTAATCATTTCTTTGTAATTTTTAATTTTTGTGGCGACATAGCAGTTGTGTGTATTTATAGGTTGCATAAGGTATTTTGATACAGGGATACAATGTGTAATAATCACATCTTGGTAAACCAGGTATCCATCACCTCAAGCATTTTTCCTTTGTGTTATGAACCATCTAATTACACTCTTTTAGTTACTTTTAAATGTATAATTAAATTATTATTAACTTTAGTCACCCTCTTGTGCTATCAAATATTAGATGTTAATCATTCTTTCTAACTCTTTTTTTGGACCCATTAACCATCCCCCCTCCCCCACCCCTCTCCCAATTACTCTTCCTGGCCTCTGGTAACCATTATTCGACTTTCTATCTCCATGAGTTCAATTGTTTTCATTTTTAACTCCTACAAATAAGTGAGAACATGCTGAGTTTGTCTTTCTGTTCCTGGCTTATTTCACTTAACACACTGACTACCAGTTCCATCCACGTTATTGCAAATGACAGGATCACATTCATTTTTATGACTGAATAGTACTCCACTGTATAAATCAACTACATTTTCTTTATCCATTCATCTGTTGATGGACACTTAGGTTGTTTCTAAATCTTGGCTATTGTGAATACTGCTTCAATAAACATTGGAATGCAGATATCACTTCAATATACTGATTTCCATTCTTTTGTGTATATACCTGGCAGTGGGATTGCTGGATCATATAGTAGCTGTATTTTTAGTTCTTTGAAGAACCTCCAAATAGTTCTCTACAGTGATTGTGCTAATTTACATTCCCATCAACAGTATATGAGGGTTCTTATTTTTCCACATCCTCACCAGCACTTGTTATTGTCTGTCTTTTGGATAAATGCCATTTTAACTGGAGTGAGATGATATTTCATTGTAGTTTTGAGTTGCATTTCTCTGATGATCCGTGATGCTGAGTTCCTTTTCACACACCTGTCTCCCATTTGTGTGTCCTCTTTTGAGAAATGTCTATTCAGATCTTCTGCCCATTTTCAAATTGGATTGTTAGATATTTTTCTTATAGAATTGTTTAAGCTCCTTATATATTCTGGTTATTGATCCCTTGTTAGGTGGACAGTTTGCAAGTAGTTTCACCCATTCTGTGGGTTGTCTCTTGATTTTGTTGTTTCTTTTGCTGTGCAGAAGCTTTTTGACTGGATGTGATCCCATTTGTCCATTTCTGATTTAGTTACCTGTGCTTGTGGGGATCATTTCTAGCTTATGATTTAAAATGAGATATGTGAAGCGCTTCCTTTCACTTAAACACATAGAAGCCACTGTAGGGTCACTAACTGGCCTAGTTTCAATATTCTGTGTCTCAGGGAATAGGGGTGCCCAAGAAGAAGTAGAGAGATAAGGGGACAGCTGGTAAGTGGAGCATTCAGAATACATACAACATTTATGGATCAAGTTCACTGTCATGTGTCTGCAGTGGTACCCCAAAACAATTAAAATCATGACATCAGAGATTACTGATCACAAATCACCATAACAGATATAGTGAAAATGTTTGAAATGTTGTGGGAATTATGAAAATGTGACGGAGACATGAAGTGAGCACATGCTGTTGGAAAAAAAAATGGTGAAGTTGCTCCATGCAGGGTTGCCACAATTCTTCAATTTATTAAAAAACACAATATCTGGAAAGTGCAGTAAAACAAGATATCCCTGTACCTTGTTTAAATACCTTGTTTAAAGATTTAAATAATTGTATTAGAAAAACAAAACGAAGGTTTAAAAATAATTAAGAGGTCCCAGGTAAAGATACAGATTGAACATACAAGCCTAATTTTGTTTCCACTAAAACACCTATTAAAAACAGAGAAAAGGGATTTTGTTTTCCCCTTGATATTTTGTAAAGGTCAAATCATCAGAAAAGGCAGAAGAATGCTACAATAAACATCCATACACGAATCATCCAGATTCACCAGTTGTTAAGATTTTGCCACTCGCCTTATCACGTCGTCTCCTTTTTATACATATATACATACACATTTTTCCTGAATAATTTGAAAATAAATTACCATATTACTTCACTCTGAAATATATATCCCCTAAGAATAAGGACAATCTCCTATTGTCATAATTGGCTTCCCTAGAAGGGAGACTCAAACAGAGAGGTGTATGCAAGAACTTTTTTAAGGAAAGCTCTTGGGATCAACATCTGCAAAAGGGAAGGAAGAAGGATCAGGCAAAGTGAGGAGGTGGGCTGTGATACAGATTCAGTAAAAGCAACAGCCGTCTCCTTGAGGAGCTTTGAAGCTCCTCCAGGGTTGTCCCAAGTTGGAATGAGGGGAGCTGGGACTTTATGCCTCTAGGTGCACCAGTAATAAGGCATAAGCTGCCTTGGGAGAGGGCAAGACCTTGGTAAGCCAGGACTCTTTAACCCAGGCACTTCCTGAAGAGCGCTGACATCTGATGGCTATTTGCTGGCAATACTGCCAGCAGCTATGTTAATAAGTCCTTGACTCTTGAGGGGGAATCTGGGCAGCACATCGAGTGTCCACTACAGTCTACCCTTTTGCGACACAGAGCCACTTTTTCATTTGGGTTCTGGAAGCTACAACTCCAGGATTCCCATGGGCAGTTTTCCTGGGAGAAACTTAAAGGGAAGGTTAGAGGACACACTACGAACCTTCACAATGCAGCTGGCCTCAAGGCTACAACAGATATTCTTGCTCAGCCAGTGTGTTCAGGATCCAAAAATTAGTTTTGATATGAAAACAAACAAAAACAGGCCAGGCGCGGTGGCTCACGCCTATAATCCCAGCACTTTGGGAGGCTGAGGCAGGTGGATCACGAGGTCAAGAGATCGAGACCGTCCTGGTCAACAAGGTGAAACCCCGTCTCTACTAAAAATACAAAAATTAGCTGGGCATGGTGGTGCGTGCCTGTAGTCCCAGCTACTCGGGAGACTGAGGCAGGAGAATTGCTTGAACCCAGGAGGCGGAGGTTGTAGTGAGCCGAGATCATGCCATTGCACTCCAGTCTGGGTAACAACAGCGAAACTCCATCTCAAAAAAAGAAAGAAAGAAAGAAAACAAACAAAAGTATGAGTGGCAGTATCCACATCACATGGATTGGATTTTAAAAATAAAATTTCAAACTGAGTAAAGAGGGATATTATTACTACACAATTTATGAAGAGGATTTAATGAGCATAAAGCCTTATGCACCAAATAACACAGCAGATAAATATAGAAAGCAGAAAGTATTAGAAATAAAGAGAGCCTCATAAAAATACAATTTCAGTGGGAGATTTCAATGTGTCTGTTTCAAAATCAGTAGCTCTAATAGGGAAAATGGATGCATAGAAGGATTAAAAATAGAATCAGCAAACTCAAATAAGTATTTCTTAGGACTTCCATGCAAAGGACAGTCCTAAATCCCTTGCAGCAACTACAGTTAAAGACCAAGGGCACAGATTCCTTGAGGAGGAAGGTCTAAGTCACTCCACCAGAAAGTAACTCATTTCAGTTGAATGACAGCCAAGAGGGAGGGAAATCCAGAATGGGTAGCAGAGGAGGAAGACAATGAATTAGAATTACTATCGTGGAACAGGTTATGGCAGTGAAAACTGTACTTGGTTTGCTAACCCTCTAAAATTGCCAGGAACTGCAGTAAGTTACCACCTTGGAGGACTGACTTGCATCTCTCCCCTAGGAGACAAAATGAAGGCATCATTTTTATATGTGCTCCAGATATTATAAGAGGGTGAAAGTAGGTTTGAATGGTGCAAAGTGGAATGTACCAGATTTGGTATGCACTGCCACAGATCTCTTTGTGGTATCTTCTCCCTAAGCCCCCTACTCACCAATCTCAGCCTAAACCCCTTGCCTTCAATCCTAGACAGAAGAGCTCTACAGGGGTCAGTGAGCTATTCCCTGGTCATGGATCCAGCTCAATGCCTCTGCCACTGACTACCCTATAGAAGGAGGATCCCCACAGTGGCACTACCTGCAGATCTCCAGAAAAGGAGAGACAAGCTACTACCTGCAGCAGCTGGACTGGTCTGGAAGGCTCTGGCTTCCCCAGCTTCTGTCTGAAGAGACCAGGTAATACAGCCTGAATGTGCTGGAGGGTCAGTGCCCTGTGGGGCAGACTTTGAGCCATAGGGGATAAGACGAGAGACATGAAGGAGGCAGTGGCTAAATTCTACTCGCTTCCCCTCCTGAGGATTTTCCAAGACAGAGTAGTTCATACAACCTCTCTGAAAATGTACTGTGAATCCGAGCAGTTAGCTTCATTAATTACAAAACTTGGGTCCTCTCAGTAATGCCTCTTACCTTTGTATGTCTCCTTCTTGCTTCATTTTTCCCTCAATGTGGTTTCTCCGAGGTTGCACTCCCCAGTGAGATGTTAGCATACAAATATGCCAAAGGCTCTGTTTTATGGAGAATCCAGGCTAAAACAATATTCTCGAGAAGTAGAAAAAGCACTAGAAAATAAACTGGAGGAAGAGGAAACTCATTAAGATGGAAGATGATATTTTAGAAATAGTTGGGGAAAATAGCAGGAAAAAATAAATGTAAAATCTATGTCTTTAAGCAAAAAAAAAAAAATCCCAGTGTATCAGTCAGGATTCTATATTGCAAGCAACAAAGCTGATTTGGATTAAGCAGAAAGCAAGTTTATTAAAAAGATATTGAGAAGCTCACAGTATTTTTTTTTTTTTGAGAAAGTCTTGCTCTATTGCCCAGGCAACAGAGTGGTGTGATCCCAGCTCACCTGCAGCCTCTGCCTCCCAGGTTCAAGCGATTCTCCTGCTTCAGCCACCCAAGTGGCTGGGACTACAGACACACCCCACCATGCTTGGCTAATTTTTGTATTTTTAGTAGAGATGGGGTTTCACCATGTTGGTCAGGCTGGTCTCAAACTCCTGACCTCAAGTGATACGCCTACCTCAGCCTCCTAAAATGCTGGGATTATAGGAGTGAGCCACCGCACCTGGCTAAGTAGCTCACAGTATTATTGGGAGAGCTGAAAAGTCAGATTCAAGGTTAAGCAACGCTCCAAAGCATACCCAGTGCTGGGCCGATAAAGAAACTGCCACTGCCACCCCCCAAAGGCAGGACCTTGACCTTGCAACCTCTTCTGGAATTGCCACCATCAAAGCTGGGTGCATGTGCCACCCACCTGGACCTATGGAAATAAAAACTCCGTGAGAGCTTGATCCCTCACGTAACTGACTTCCAAATCATTATAAAAAATGTCAAATATGCACATGTTAACTGTGAGAGAGACTGGGAATTTGAAGTCTAACTCCTACCCTGGAGAGGTGAAACTCATGATTGTGAATTTCCCCCAACAGAAAAGGGCTATTCCAAGATGATGGGAAGTGATGAATAAGACAGATGTCTACTATGAGAAATAAAATAGATACACCCCTCATGAGGCAGATAAAAAGATCAGTGAAAGAAAGCAAAAATGTTTAAGAAATAGCTCTGGCACAACTGATCATCTAGAATAGAGCTGTCCGATAGAAATAAAATGTAAGCTCTGCACGTAATTAAATTTTTTTTTTTTTTTCTGAGACAGGGTCTCGTTCTGTCGCCCAAGCTGGAGTGCTGTGTCTCTAACATGGCTTACTACAGCCTCGACCTCCCAGGATCAAGTGATTTTCCTGCCTCAGCCTCCCATGAAACTGGAACCCCAGGCATGCATCACCATGCCTGGCTAATTTTTTAAAAAAATTTTTAGGAGATGGGGTCTCACTATGTTGCCCAGGCTTGTCTCAAACTTCTGGGCTCTAGAAATCCTCTCACCTCAGCCTCCGAAAGTGCTGAGATTACAGGCATGAGGCACTATGCCTGGCCTAAAATGTTTCTACTAGCCACATTAAGAAGTAAAAAGAAATATACAAAGTTAATTTACATAATATTTTATTTAATGTATCCAAAACATAACATTTCAACATATGATCAATATAAAAGTAACAGTTATAAATCAGACATTTTACATTCTTTGTTTTCCATACTGAGTCTTGGAAATTGGTGTACATTTTAGGCTGGCAGCCCATTCCAGTTGTAGGCATCCAACACTTGAAGATATTTCAAGAGCTCAATAGCCACAGGTGGTTTGTGACTACTGCACTGGACATGGCAAAGACAGAAGAAATAAAATTGGGACTTTATTCTACATGCATTAGACAGAAATGAACTCCAGATGAATTAAAGACTTAAATCTAAAAAATGAAACCATTATATTTTTAGAAGAAACACATGACATTATATCAACTTAGTACTTGATGAGATCTTTCCATCTATCTGCAAATCAGATGGCAGATAAAGGGTTAGTATCGATAGGTACAAAAAGCCCTCGCAAATTGGTATCCAAATAAAAATGATCAGAAGCTATCTTCGGCAATTCTCAGAAAAACAAGTCCAAGTGTCGAATAAATGTAAAAAGATGTTCGGTCTCGCTAAAAGTTTAGGAAATGTAAATTATACAACAATGAGTTATCACTTTACTCACATCAGACTAGCAAATTAGGAACATGATAACACCTACTACAGGCTGGGAAGGGACGCTCTTCACCACATCGCCAGCAGCTGTGACCTTGTTGGAGAGCAATCTGGCAACGTATATCAAAAGAAAACAACTCCACACATTCTTTCACCCGGCAATTCCACACATGGGAATTCATCCCATAGAAATAAAAACACCAGAATATATGTGTATGTGGATGTTCACATCAACAGTGTTCATAATTGCAATGGTGAAAAAAAAACCCTGAAAACAATGTGAATGTCCGTAGATAGAAGAATTATTGAGTATATCATATATATTCATGGTATATCAAATATATCATGGCATTATGCAACCATTTAACAAGAATAACATACACCTCTGTCTACTGACTTGAGAGCACTTCCATCTTCCATTTCTGAAAGATGCAGAGAAACTGATAAACTATGGTTCTATTTTTGTAAGATATAGGAAGAGAAATCTACATATATGTATATATTTGGATCGGATTTTATAAGCATAAAGAAAGATATAGACAGATACAGTCACTCTGCTAGCAACGTTACCTGGGAAGAGGAGAAGCAGGCAGTATCATTGGAGATAAAAGGGGAAAGAAAAGTTTAAAAGGAAAAAAATATTATTTCAAGTCAGGACAATTTTTGTAACTTATCATGTGTGTTTGAAAAGGGCAAACATTTATCTCCCTATAAATTTATTTGGTTAAACTTGGTGGCCTGGGTGCAGTGGCTTATGTCTATAATTTCAGTATTTTGAGAGTCCGAGGTGAGTAAATCGCTTGAGTTCAGGAGTTTGAGACCAGCCTGGGCAACATGGTGAAACCCCATTTCTATCAAAATTATAAAAATTACCTAGGCATGGTGGTGTGCACTTGTGGTCCTAGCTACTTGGGAGGCTGAGATGGGAGGATCGCTGGAGCATGGGAAGTTGAGGCTGCAGTGAGCTGAGATCACACCACTGCACTCCAGCCTGGGTGATAGAACAGTAGTAATAAATAAATAAATACTACTACTACTAATCAACTATCATTATTAATTAATCAACTGGATCATGGTACTAAGCTTTTATGTTCCTCACTTGATTTTTGACTGCTTGTTCTGTAGATTTCTAAAGGTAAAGTTTCCCACAAAGCCATGGATTTGTTTTCTCCTTATAATTCTCAGTTTTTGTATTATATATTTCAGTCCTATGTTACTAGGCACACACAGCATAAGGCTAAACTTATTATGAATATTTTATCACTATGAAATATTCTTTTTTGTCTTTTTGGGTAACAATGATTATTTTTGCCTTAAAATCCATCTTGTCGAATGGTGAGATTGCTTCTACCCCTTGTCTTCCTTTTGCTGGCATTTTCCCAGTTACCTTTTTCCATCTCTTTATTTTCAAGCTTTCTGTATTACCCTGTTTTGCTGTCTCTCATACAAAAACACATGGTATGACTCTTTTTAAACTCAATTCCAAAGGCTCTGTCTTTTAGCAACAAATTTAATATTGTCATATTTATTATGGTGACTAATATAGTTGTACATTTTCTACCAATTTGCCATGTGCTTTCTATTTTACATGCTGTTTTTGTGTTTCTTTTTCATCCCTGCTTTTTGGTTAGCTGCTAGCATTTTACTTGTTCCCAACTAACTTTTCTTCTAATGACTTGAAAAGTATGTTTAGTTCCTGTATCTTTATATTTTTATACACATAGTTATGCATATTATTAATTGACATCCAGAGCTCATTGGTGTATAGATAAAATGAGGCTTCTAATGTGCTTTTACTTCTCTCTCCTACCTCCTTTCCAGACTTTATAACTCTCCATCCTGAGTTATCTCAGATTTTAGTTTGTTATAGGTTTATTGTTGTAATTTATTTAGACTTAAAAGTAAACTTTACTGATTCTCTTGCTCACCTGTTCTTCTTATATCCCTTTTTTCTTCCCAGATTTATTTTATCTTTGAATATATTTTCTACACCAGTGGTTTCTCAACCAGAGATGATACAGCACCTCCTCCAATTGTGGGGCTGTTGTGTATTGTCACAGGAAGGAGAAATGCTACTGGCATTTAATGGATGATGGTCAAGGACACTAAGCAACCTGTGATGTGTGGATCAGTCTTACGCAATGAAGAATTGTTCCACCGTAAATGCCAATGGTACCCTGTTGAGAAAGGCTAGTCTATGTGGACAGTGAATTATAAAGTTTTTGAATCTGTTTTTATGTATTAAAATGTCTTTATGATGCCCTCCAATTTGCTTGCAGTTTGGCTGGTTACAGAATGTTAAAAAAAAAAAAAAAAAAGAAACCTTCAAATTATACTTAATGGAGTTTAATGGAGCAAGAAAAAAAAATTTCACAAGTCTGGCGGCCTCCAGAACCACAACAGATTCAGAGAGACCTCAGGGATGCCTCATGGTCAGAGCAAGTTTATATACAAAAAAAAGGAAGTGACCCACAGAAATTGGAATTGAGTTGAAGAAACAGCTGGATCGGTTCCAGGTTGGCATTTGCCTTTTTTGAACAGAGTTTGAACACTCAGCAGTGTATGAGTGATTGAAGTGTGGCTGCTGGGATTGGCCAAGACTCAGCTACTGTTAGAGATGCGTACTCCTAAGGTAGGTTTTCAATCTTGTCTACCAAGTTACGTTATGTTTAGTTCACAAGGACTCAAATACAGAAGCACAGAGTCCTTCTCGGGCCATATTTAGTTCATTTTAATAAGAATCATAAGTTCACAAGTATTTTCACCAGAAAACTTTAAAGATGTTATTCTGTTTCCTTACTTACCATGTTGCAGATAGAAAGTCTGGTATCAATCTTATTCCATCCTGCATAATTTTTTTCACTCTGAAAACATTCAGAGTTTCCTCCTTATCCTTAGTGTCCTGAAATTTCATCATGGTTTACTTAGATGTCAGCCTTTTTACATTCATCCTG